TTTAAAGGAGAGAACGACAAAAATTCACAATTTTACTTCAAAGTTTTTTATTCAGATACACGCTCCTGGGCATACCTAAAGTCTTCAATTTTAAATGAAATGTGGTGTTCAAGGGGGTCAGGGGACTTATCTAAGACGACAATGTGATACCTATCATTGGACATCATTTTACCGTAGGGTCTAGTGTTCATCATACATATAATAATTGGAATAGGGAAAATTTTAGTTGACGACTTATATTTGCTACTAAAGACAATGCCATTTTTAATAGTCTCTAATGTTGAATAGTTTATCTTTGCCGATTTTTCCCTGCTGACTTCAAACACGATGTATCGCTCTCCGTTCCAGGCATAAGCAGTGTCTTTCAATGTTGTAGAGGTGAAATACAAGGAACTTTTTGTTGCCAGAATGTACTTTGCAAGAAAGGTCTTGCCGGTATTTCCTGTTTCGTCAACAACGAACGTTATTCTACGTGGCCCCTGGCAGCGAAGCAGACGCAAAACCTCTTCTTGCCATGGTCGTAGAAGTGCATTTTGAAACTTGTCCAAAATCCGTTCCTTAGATTCCTCATTTTGCTGCCGCTTGATACTTTTGTCAACTGAGGACTGACTATGTATCCAGGTGTCCCCAAATTCTTCCAGCATGGCATCTTCGGTGGCTTCTTGCATACGTCTTTCTCTCATCATTTCCAATTGACTTTTCTCTCTTTCTTTGAATTTGTTCTCTCCAATTTCAAAGAATCCTTGCCCACACTTGCACTGAGCCTTGTGCTTCCTCGACGAGCCTCTAGCTATTTCTATTTCCAGTCGCTCTGGTCTCCCCTCAATATTGAGTATTGTTTCAACGCTGTTCACTCTTTTTTGACATTTGAAAATGATATATCCACGGAGGGATTGTGCTTCTCCTTCGTTGTTCACCTTCGACGCTATAAGATACTCGAAGTCTTCGCTTCGCTGTTCCAAGCGCTCCATAACATCATCTGGAAAACACTTGTAGACAAATGTCCAACACTTCGCTTTCGCTCCTCTTGCTCTCACTGCCATCGTACTCTTACTCTCCCCCAACAAACTGACAGAGTTTCTGCCTGAAACTTATAGGAACCAAGGAATCCCAAGGGTGAAAAAGGAACCAAGGAACGTGAATTTTGGGAAATGGTCATCATGATCATCATCATTATCATTATCGTCATCATTATCAACATCATCATCATCATCATCATCATCATCATCATCATCATCATCATCATCATCATCATCATCATCATCATCATCATCATCATCATCATCATCATCATCATCATCATCATCATCATCATCATCATCATCATCATCATCAATTAAATTAACTAAACTACAATTTAATACTTAAAAAAGCTCTTTACATCTAAATGACAAGTTTTCTAGGCCAACAGGATAGGTTTTTCTTTTGTCTTTTAACACTACGCAACAGGATAGGTTTTTCTTTTGTCTTTTGACAAGGCACTAAAATCTTTTGCTTCAGATGTCTCAATGTTACATCATGGCCTCTGGTTTGGCATGGTACACCACCAGGGATCACCACCATGGATCACCACCACAGACCTGCCTCCTTGGTCAAAATACGTGCCTGTGGGTTTGAATGGCGGTTGGTGCTTGATTTAGCCTTGACTTTTCATGCAGCTTGAACACTTAATGTTTTGTGGAAGACATACGATTCAGCAAGTCAAATTGTGCCAGGAAACAAAGTTTAAGTTGTATAACTCGCAAACTTAAAACATTATAGTGGGACACATACTAATAGAATACAAGTACCTCAGTCGAAAAAAGCTTTTTGGGGCCTTTTCAAAGCTTGATATGCATTTCGTCTTATTAGCATATATATTGTACTTGTGCCAAACTTCATGTTTGTATCATAAATGCACAATTCCACAGCTATGCGACTGTATTATTCATTAAACTTCGAAGAATAAAGTTTTATACAAAATGCCCTGCAGGCTCAGTCAGTTGGTCAAACATATATCATGCGTGTTTCTGAAATTAGAAACTGGACCCTAATCTCTGATTCTGAGTTGCTTAAAATGTACCCTTTTCTCTGACTTTGCCAAATTTTGCAACCCTTTTCACTGAGAATATTCTGAAGCTCAAGCAAGTAATTTTGAAACCAATATGGGTAAGAACCATTCTATTTCTCAGATTTATGTTTAAAGGCATATTAAAGAGCAGAATTCACTGATTTTGGTTTTAATAAAAATCCCTTATGGTTCTTAATGTATATTAACAAAATCAGACAGCAGTAAAACTATTACTGCAACAAATTGCTTACTAAGTATCAAAGTTACTTCACAACATTGTGTTTGATATTTTTTACAATGGAATGAAAAAGTTGGGTCAAATTCCAAATACCCTGCATTGCGTGAAAACTAGCAGATCATAAAAGCTATATTTTCTATTACAAAGTAGATAATCAATGCTTCTTTTCTATTTGACTGAGATTGTGCAGCACCATGGCCACTATTTGACATATAGTTTAAAATGTTGAAAACTGCAAATTTGACAGAGAATTCTATTGAAAGGAGTAATAACTACAGGAGAAACACATGGAAAAAATCACAGAATTAGCCCATAGCCTATTTCAGGGGCGGATCCAGAAGAAAATTTGACTGTCTCACAATCCAGCTGAGGGTTTGGGGTCCTGAAGGTGCAGGGGGGTCACAAGCTGAAATTGCTAATTCAACATCATTTTTTCATTACGAATTCTCTGTTTCTTTATTGTGCTCTTGATGATTACAGGCATTGTAGTTGCCTTACACCATTATGTTTTCCAGAGAGACATAAAATGTACTCTTGACATTTCTTTACACAAAAATGATAAAAAGGGATCAGTAACTAGAATAGAAGCAAGAAAACCCAAAAGTACAATGACATCAAATTATGAAAGTAGGATAGCAGCAATATAGAACAACTATAAAAGAGCATTAGGCAAGGAACAATAATACTATCCCTAGCAAGTGATAGAGCACAGAACAGAATAAGACATATTTTCCCATTGATGCATATGGAGTTTGAGCTTTATAGACAGTTTCCATCTGTAGTGGATTTAATGTGAGATTGAAATATAACTTGCATCAGGCTTTTGCTTAAATAAATCTACATTAATATTCATAAAATTTACTTAAACTAATATTACTGCTGCTTGTCAGGTTATGAAACACTAAAAACATATATTTATTGTATTGCTGTTGAACACTAAAAACACATAATGCTGGGAATCCAATTTTAATCAAATTTGTGTTGAAATGGAGTCAAATAAGACACTCAAGAATATTGGTTGTAGTACAAATAAATTAGATAGAATTATTTGTGTACATTTTAAGTAATAATAAAGTTGCTTTTGAAAATTTTGATAGTTTCTCTCCAAAGGCAACTCTTTCATGAATTGCAAATGATAGTTCATAAAAGGCAGCCATTAGCTGCCAATTCTTTTGTTGATTAAACATAAAAATTATATTGACTCAAAAAGCTTTTATGAATAGAAGTAGACCATGGCATCTCTGAGGGTCCACTTTTGTCAGGTATCAGAATAAACCTATATATCATTTCATAATACATATCAAAATAAAAAAAACGTCCAAAAAATACATGATCATTTGAAAGGGAAAATGGGTCAAAAGAAGTGCTGATCGTTTTTAAATTAGAAAGGGGAATAAATTGTAGCCCTAAGTAAGATATTTCAAAATACAAGCATATGAACAATTTAAATATTTGCTTAGATCACAAGAAAGATCACATAAATTTATTCTACTACATGGTTTACATAAGTTAACATTACAATGTCATTTCTTACACTGTCTCTCAATGGCAAGATTCACCTCCTTTTGGGTGTTTCATCATATCATTTTAGGAAATTAATCGGAAGGCAGAACCACCAGGGAGAGTGTTGGTACCAGAGTCAAATTATTTGGACCTAACTAAGCATTCATAAATGAGAAATTGCTACAAGCTTTTTAATTAAAATCAAACAACGTCTCTCAGAAACCCCCTTCAGCCATCAACCCAAATTTTCTGTTGCTGTTGTTGTTGCTTCGTTTGTTGATGAAATTTAACCAAAGCAAAGGGTAATATGTAAAAAATTTCAGAACGACTGTTATAAGCAGGCTGTACAAAAAAATTTGCCTTGAATACCTCGCCGCAGCTACCCTCTCATTGACTGAAGGCTACACAACTACGCCTTTCTTTGAAAGAAAAGAGGCTGCAAACTTGTCAGTTCAGTGCAATAAAGTTGACAACCCTTTCAAGAGTTTCAAGTCTTGCTAGTTCTGTATGTTTTAACTCAACTGGCCCTCGGAACTCCTCTGCCTTTATTAGTTCTTCCACTCTTTGCAAAAGCTCCATTTTAAGGTGTTTACAGGAGAAACAACACGATTTTCATCACAAATTTTTCACACATCATACATTGCAAAATGCCGGGTTTGCACTGGGCTCCTTCGGGGTGGTGGGCAGCAAGATGAACTTTACACAACATACGTCTCACCGATGCCGCACAATCGCACAATTTGATTGGTGGGATGATGCCTGTGCGAACTTTAAAAAAACCATCAGTCTCACGGATACCCCGAATCTGATTACATTGGATCCCTGCGATTTCCCCGATATCATTTTTATGGATCCTTGACTTTCATATGATTACGTATACTGACTGAGACACTGAGACCAGGCCAACTACAGTAACGATACTTTGCACTAAACGAATGGTTATTTTTTGTACACATCTGAAAATCTGACTGTCTTACGTGCGAACGGTGAGACAGTCTGGATCCGCCCCTGGCCTATTTATTTTATATAAGTAAAGGGAATTATTATAATGTTAAACCATTCATGTCAATGTGCAATCAACTGACAAAATATGTGGAAAATGTAGTTTATACATAACATAAATATATATAATTTTTCATCCAGTATCAAAAAATGTCCCTATTATCTAATTCAGAATTCATAGTCAAGCACAGAAAATAAAATACGTACCCCAATGCCTCAAGCTTATTGTGCTTTCTGAGAGACTCAACCTTCTGCAATCGTGGAACCTCGTTATCGATTACCACATCGCTTCGAGGGTACAGGAATAAATTAATTCATGTCCAATGAGCAGGGACTTTTCTTTGTATGATTTCGACATTTTAAGTTCTTTGCATATTAAAAAGTAACCAGTTTTTTTCAGTTCTCAGCCATATGTTCACTGGAACAATGTTGAGTAAATGGGTTGGGTTGTTCACATTGGGACAAAAGGCACACCCAGCTAGTCATCAGTTTGCATGGTACCTAACTGTAGTAAAATAGCTGAAATGAGAAAAATTACGTACTATACCACAAGGATCGTGATTTTTTAATAAAGATCAGATTGTAGTTGTGTAGTAATTGTGTTAAATTGTATATAGGATTGATTTTACCAATAAATGAAACTGAAACTGATTAATTGGCAGTGTTAATCTGAAAGTGCAAAAGGGATTGAAAGTAACAAGTTTACAATTTTTAGAAACTATAAATTGTCAACAAATCTGTCAAGTGACTGATATATTTTCCTAGGCATTGCTTTCCATCATAGGTAAAAAATTATTTGATTAGTGCAGTGCAAGGTTTTAGCAACAGAAAAATGGAACAGCTGATTTCATACACAGCTGATTTCATGACCTGTTTGAGTGTAACATCCTTAAACAAAGACTTTAATTTCTTATCTGGGATTTGAGCAATAGACATAACTAGATGCTACTGCAGAATTTGTTAGTACTGCAATAACCATTGATTTACCAAAAATCCTCTCCATAACATCATATCAGTGAATTCCTACCCCTTTTGTGGTTCCTCTGACTGAGCAAAAGAAACAACCCTAATTTTGAGATTCTATGTCCTAGGATTCTAGCTTTCAGACCACCCTTTCTCAGTGTTTTTCGGAATTCACATGATACGCATTCGACAAACTGACTGGGCCCGCCGGGACAAAACGAAACATTTTAACGGCCATAACCTTTTAGTTATAGGTCAGATCACATTAATGTTTGAGTATTTTTACTCAGTTTTCCAAGCTCTTTCTGATAAAATCACCAGATTCGAAAAATTCGAAGATCAAAATTTTGTTTTTTCCACGCTTCCAGAAATATTTCTTCCGGTCATTTGCCCATACGGACTTGTCGTCAGATTTAGCTTAGCCGTGCTCGTCCATAAAACCCTTAAATCAATCCCTGGCTTCGGTAGAGAGTAGACGTAAATTAAACTCCATATCATTGATTTAATCTTTAAAAACGTGACTATATACAACTATAACCTAAACATAACGTGTTAGTTCATCACAGGGACGCCTGCAAAAGATAAGGGAAGGAGGGGCAGTGTTGGTGCCGAGGGAAAATCGTGAAATTTTTCTACTAACATAATTCCTAGGTGGGTGGGGGGGGGGCGAGGTTGGGGTAACATAATAAAATAGTAACTTGAATACAGTGCCACCCATACAGCTGGGTTTTTTTAACATTGTAAAATAGAGGTTTAAAATCGCGAGAGATGATCCGAAGACTTTAAAGAATGACGGTTTCTTGCGAGCGGCTATACTTTTCCTTTCCGTAGGGTTACCCCTCATTAGGATTACATCATGTTGCGTAGTCATTAGTTATATTGGCAGCTTCCCCCCCCCCCCCCCTCCTTATAGTATCTCGATAGAAAATTTCAGGTAAAATCCGCCCAGTGGAAGAAAAGCTTTAGGTATTTCAGCGACCCTTCATGTATTAACATTGATAAAGGATCAAGCAAAGATAGTTGCTTCTTTGGCTAAATATGATACTTCTTGATATGAAGGAAGATAAGAATAACTAATGACTTGAAGATTTGAAGATTTCTTGTTGGCACAAAATCTAAAAATCCAGGCACTCTTTAGGTAAAATTGTGTCTTGTGTCCATTGCCCCTAGAAAGGCATGCTAAATTGGCAATCAGTGCTGCTTGCTACCTAGCTTTAAAAGTAACTGACAACATGAATTTTTTCAAGACCACGGCGAAATTGTACCAGTTGTTTTTATCTACTGCTCAATTTGTTAGCAAAAATTAAAGAATTTTCGGTAGGATTAGGAGGATTGCTTCAGTAAAATTTACTTAAAAGAGTGCATTTTCCAGGGAACTAAAGCATAAAAATTCGAAAATTGTCTGCTCCTTCGGCGCCGCCTCGGGTAGTTGCCTGTCCTGCTATACAGATTTGGCAAAACCATTAGGAAAGTCCGTTATTATCATTTTAAAATGAATGTTGTGAATTATATGCCACGCAGTTGGATTGATAAAATGTATTGCAGAGGTTTGTGACAGCAACTTAAGAATTTCGAGTAATCATGTAAATTTGTCCGCTAGATAAGTCTGTCTGTACAAATGCTTATACTTGCGTACGTTTATGCGTGTATTTATAGGCGAACAAATAGGCGGATAGCTCATGGTGCTTATCAAAAATGGCGCCTTATTTATTCCTTCATACATCTAAGGTTAATGTCACGAAGTCACATTTCTTGCGTAAAGTGTTCAAATTCAGATTTTCTTGTCCTGTTTAGGATCAGTGGCTCTGTTTCTGAAAGGAAATGCATCAGGTAAGTTGAAATCGAATAAAATTAGCAATGAATAGGCACCGCGGGGCATTAAGAAAGATGTGGAGGGATAAGGGATGTTCAACCGCGAATCTCTCAATTCCTTACGTTCTTGGCAATAGTGGGTGCCTCTTCTAAACCTATACTAGCAAGTTTCAACCACTTGAGTTGTCACCCGCTAAACCCCAAAATTTCGCGCCTCTGATAGTAGCAACTACCTGGCTAAAATATGCTTCTATGTGTATTCTAATTTTTGCAAGAAATGATTTGTACTACCATGAAGTTCAATTAGAAGAAGAGTAGAATTCAGGTTTCACATATGATGATAATTCTGATGCTTGAACTTTATAATTGCTTGCTATAAAGTGTAAAGACCAACGAAATAATTTCAAGATTTCAGAGCCGTAAACATTATAACTTACCGTGTATGTAGTGATCCTGTTATGCTATGAATGTTTAATATAATTGGTCTCAAAAAGATAAATTCTCCAGATTCAATATTTTCACTCTAATTGTGGCAAAGTGCCATTGCAGCGTAGAGCGGCTATCAATGATGCATCTCCAGGCACTTTGTTGACAAACTATCTGAATGCCGAAAAGTTTTACGGACAAATTATTTAAGGAGGGATTGAAAATTTTGAGCAAACGGCAATCTTGAATCGTTTACTTGGACAATGATAATATCGCTTTAAATGTGAATTTCGATTGGGCCTATACTTTCTCAAGTCTTCCACCTGAAAATCCCAGCAACCCCAACCCGCCAACCCCCCACCCAAATAAAAGCCTGCATTTTCACCACTGATAGCGACGGCTCTGTTGAGTCGCAAAATCGAGATCAAGCCTGGAGGAAGCAGTATAGGGACAGTAAAACACGGCGTTTGTAATTATGAGTCACAATGCACGCAACACAAACATGTCTAGATCTGACTCTGAATTATCTCATTACATGTATTCCATTTATTTTCTACAAATAGGCAATGACGATACAATGATGAAGACTTGCTATTTGCCAATAAAATATTCGTTTCGATATAATTATATATTTACACAACCCCACATATCATTCAAAACAAGGATTTAAAATACGATTCTTTCTAATACTTGACTTTGCTAGTACGGAATACTATGTTGGTTGAATTGCCATCTTCTGCGAGATTTTATAACAATTCTACGCCGTTCTCTACTCAGGCGAAAAACAGAGGGGTCAGTCGTTTGTAATTCTCGATTCAATAGATTCATATATCTACATAGTGTGTTTGATTCAGATAACTCGAATCGTCGATAGCTGTACGTTTCGTAAACTCGAACTGTTTCTGCATTCCCCTTGAACATATCCGAATACATTCGAACCCCCGACTACTCGAAATTTCGTCTTCTCGGACCATTTTCTTCCTTCCCTTGGAGGTTCCGTTATCAAGATCAAGAGGTTATTACCTTCCAACAGATTGAAAGAAAAGTAGATACAATTAACTAACAATACCAAAGGCAGATATAAAGTTAAGCTTGATAGTCTTCGTTGGTTTTAATGTTGATTTGAGACTAACTCACCGATCAAAAATGGAACTACGAAGGTGTGTTTAACAGTATACAAGCATGTCAGCTGTTTCTAGTAAGTGATAACACTATTTTCTTGTCTCGTTCTTCACAGGACGAGGTTGCAACATAACAAACTAAATTTACATATGAGAAAGGGCTAATAGTATTATATATTGATCACATGGGAAGATTTAATCTTTTATCGATAATACTTAATTTTTAAGCAAAACTAGCATGCACGACAGAATTCACTCGTCTAATAAGGAATCGATTCTTGATGACTGAGCCTTGATCGATCGAGAGATGTGGTCAAGTCTGAACTGTTCAATATTTCATCGTCATCTAAATCCGATGTCATTTGTGCTAAGTAGGAATCCATGTTTTTCATGCTTATGGAACTGTGGAGACTGATCAATGGGTGAAGCGAAGGTACAGTCTCTACAATGTCAAGAAGACCTGCAAAGAAGATAGGTAGCATTATTTTTAATGAAAATGTTGCCAGAATTATCAAATCTTATAGATTTAGCCTCATTTACTCTGAGGTATCAGTCAGTAACAGAAAATGTTACTCCTGTCATGTCCCTCCATTAAAAGTTTAAGGCTGTGAGCCCCTTCATGTCCATTCTCCAGTTTTGAGTGTTGACACCATTCATCCCCTCATAAACCTTTCAGCCCTACCATTACCATTTACGATGTGATCCCAACTCTTTGGCTTGCTATAGACGCTAGGTTTTAGGTATATAGATGTTGGATGAAACGAGTAGCAAATTCAGGCTCCTTTACCAACCTTATGTTACAGCGCAGAAGGTTTTTGCATAAAGATCGTAGCGCACGCAGCAAATTTCATCTGTATCGCAGAAAATGTAGAAAATGCAGCAGAAAAGAAAGACGAAGACTGATGTTTGGTTTGCATAACTAAGGTAACTTTTCTGACTTTTTCATAACCATACAAAAAAAAGCTTTTTTCGTTTCTCTGAGACACACTGAAATGTTTAAAGTTTCTTTACATTTCGGAGCCAGCGCTGCAAGTTGGTTAAATGTCAGACATTCCCAATATAGAGATATTTTCAAAACGTTTCCTGCAAGGTTTTTGGGTAGCTGACTGGAAAAGGGCCTTGCAAAAAGTATGTTTTTAATGCGTTCTTCCTTGCAAAAATTATAACGCAGAATGCTAGCAAAGACTAGAAACATTGCGGTCATATTATCATATCTAAACACGAGTATGCTTTCTATATGCGATTATCAAATCTCATATTTGATGCAAATTCTTATAGTTTGATTTTTCTTTAAAATGGATGACTAAAAATAAAAATGACCTGGGCCACTGAAAAGTGCCAGACAAGCTTTTGATAGCAGGGGATAAAACAAGGGAAATTCAAAAGGAATAAGACGGAGGAAAAAGTCTACTGGATGCATTTCTCGTACTAATCGAATACCAGAAACGAAAGAAAATTGAAAAACTGCAATCTTAAAGCCCAAATAACATCTTAGTTTCATAAACTCATTGATAGACAAAGACTTGTCAGCATCAACAAAATAATAAGAAAAATCCATTATTGTTCTGTTATTTCACAGTAATGTACGTAGATAAGTACGTTATTGGTACGTGTGAGCTCTTATAAGCATCCCAAGTCGTGTTTGCAAATCATACAGTAACGTCGAAAGAGGTAGCCTCATACAGTCCATAGTGTTTCATTATCATCATTGAACTGCATTGTTTTAAACAGCAAAATCAACACTGTTTGAAACGATTCAATTCAATGATGTTACCGAAACAGTTGTGGCTGTCTGTACGCAGGTTAGAGAAGAAGTCGCTAGAGTGTCGCAGTTCCAATAATTGCAAAACTACCTCTTTGATAGGGAAGTGCTAAATGGGCCGCAACAGATACCTCGCCCATCTTTCAGTCTCAATAGGGCGAGGTATCTGTTGGAAAATTTATATTCGAGGTTTTCATATCAGCGGGGCAGTGATGGAATGGTAACGCAGGGCGAAGCTAAACTTTTCTGACAAAAATATCGTTATGCCTTTAGAATTGATCAAAAATATGAAAATATTTCAGGGATATTTGATGGCCATCAAGCACAAGTGACAGAAGATAACGCTATGCCTAGTTTTTTATCCTAAAAACCAGAGAGAAACTTCCTAGCTAAGCGGAGGAGCAAACTGCCGAGTGGAGGAGCAAACACCTCCCGCCATGCCACTACATAAAACACTAGAAACAGCACAAGAATTAAAATTCAACAAGAAGGAACGAGTACAGAAACGTGATAAACCTAATTAAAAATTATATCATGGAATTCTATAAAATGATACATTAACTTTCTATAAAATGATATATTAACTCCTATTTAAAACGTTTTATCGAAATTGCAGCTTGATTCTCACGCGAAATACAGCGCTATAAAGTGCGATAGCGAGGTCAAAAACCAGGTTCGACTTACCATGGCTTCGGAAGGGCTGAGTTAAGATTGGCTCAGACATTTTTCTCCTCCGGGGTAATACTGGGACGAAATCAGGATTTTGCTGTTCTGGTTGGTGCAAAGTAAAACATAAAGTGCATAATGAAATAGTGCTTAAGATCAGTTGGCAAAAATATAAAACGTTACTGTGGAGTAATGTGCAAGGGGAAAACCAATTTTAAACAATTCTTCTTCGTGACTTGATAAGCGCCGATCAAAATCTGTTTAAAACAATCCTGATACTATGCTGAGAAATGACTTCAATTTAATGTTAACAAAGTAAATAAGTAAATCCTAAAAAATATCATTTTTTATACAACAAAATAAATCACCTGCGCACTAATTTGATTTTCTGACATTTTAAATTATGCTTACCCATGAGGGTTCTTAATCTTTGACCTCAATTTTTTAAATAAATATTTTTTAATAAAAAACGATTGATGTATGATTTAATAAATGAATTTATTGAAACTAGACACAATTTCTTTACTATAAAACAACCTCTTTTAGTCCCCAGTTCTCAAGCCTACCAATCCCAAAGTTCCACTGTCCTCAATTTTCTCAGTCGTTCGACCCACCAGTTTTCCAATCCTCTAGTCGCCCAGTTTCCAAACCTTCAAATACCTCAGTCCTCCGATCCCCCAGTTCTTCAGCCTTACAATGACTTGGTTACTGAACCCCCAAATAACCTCAGTCCTCGGAACCCCAGTTCTCCAGCCTTCCGATCCCCTAGTTCTCCAGCCTTACAATGCCACAGTTACCGAGCCCCCAAATCACCTCAGTCCTCGGAACCCCAGTTCTCCAATCCTAATATCCCCCAGTTATCCAGCCTTCCGATCCCCCAGTTCTCCAGCCTTTCCATCCTCCAGTTCTCCAGCCTTACAATCCCCCCAGTTCCCAAACCCTAAAATCCTTCAGAACCCAATCCTCAACTTTCACAGTTCTCCTACCCCCATTTTCCGCTCCCCAGTCTCCAACCCAATCGAAACACTGCATTCACGAGCACGTACTTAATTGATTGTTTGTAAATCGTCACGAGAGTTGCACTTTACAAGCTATGATAGATCACTTTAAATTTAATTTACACAACAAAATGTACCACACTTATGAAACTCACAAAAACACGTCGAAATTTCTTTCATATTTATATGCACAATCTACCATTTTATCCACAACTTCAAACCATTTTAAAATAATAATAAAAAGTTTCGTTTCTAGGAACAATAGCAATCATTGTCGATGCCTATAAAACCAATTTAAAGTTCATTTTAAATTGTACCCCTCTTTTTGAAAATGAAGAATTTTCTTTAAATCCTGCCCAATATAGGAGATTATTTTCAAATAATGCCTACTATATTTATTATAAATTGTTTTCAAAAGGTGAGTTGAAGATTAAATTCTTTCATAATAGGTAAGAAAAAGTGGAAAATGTTGTGTCACGGCTAACATGCGTTTTACCTACAATTAGATTAAAAATCGAGCGATTTAACCTTTATAGGTAACAAAAATAATTTAAAGAAAACAACAAATCAACTGCAAGCGCGGTCAAATTCAATGAGAAACTACCGTGTTTTCAAAGTTGACCGTATGATCCCGAGCAGTAAAAGGGTTTGCGGCAAAATACTCCACGTACAAAGTTTGTTTAAAGACTCATTGCTAACAATGAGCCACTGCGCTACGCAAGCATCCCATAATGCATTTTTAGACAGTCTGAAATCAACTTTGGTTAATCCGTAGAAGTTTACTGCCATTGATCGTCGCAACGCTCGCAAAGGCCCATTGTTGGCAATGAGTCTTTAATGTTCAAAGCCGCAGTTTACACAACTGGCCTAGGAATTGACTTTTTTGTTGTAGTAAGTATAAAAGAACTGGAGCAGGTTGCTAAGCAAATAATAATGTCTTAATAGGTAGTCTACGAGTGTCATTTCCAAGAAACGTCAAAAGTATGCAATGCAAAATGATATCTTCAGTGCTTCTGTAAAACATTTTTTAGCAATTAAAACACACTTCAGAATTAACCAATCGCACCGTAAAATTTTAAGATAGCACAAAAATAGGGAACCCTTTTGCTGCACATTGGAAATATCTAAAGCAAAAATGCAATGAAGGAATTATTTAGGAATAACAAGATTCTTTGTTGTTGAGCTATTTTGAGATGTGTTCCATGGTATTAGGCAGAACAATCTATGATACAGCTGTAGGAAATCAAACCAGCACCAAATGTAGGAAGCATCTGTGGAACAATGTCGATAATGGTTTGCCTTATCCATGACAACCATCCAACACCAACAAGAATTACTCAAATCTTAAGCAAAATCGATGCGCAAATATATATTTTTTAGTTACTATGGTAGCCATTAGTATAAAACTTAGAATTTATACGTATAAAAGACGAAACTTTATGATTGGTTTTGTAATAAGGGAAAACCTTTATTAAATATGAAAAGCATTTTTTTAATTTTATAAATGTAATTCAATTGGTAAATAAGTGTTTACCATTTATGTTTTATAGGAAGGAATATATTGTTGAAACTGTATCCATAAATAAATACACTGTTGACTGAATCTCTTTAAAAGAAAATTCGCAATTAATCTTTGAAGGTTAGAAAATTGATGCCCCATTTTAATCATAAACCAAAACAACAAGGAAATCATGTGTGTTCTTAAATTGCAAAGGAAAACCAAGAGCCTCCTTTCACGAAAGAGGCCAAAGTAAAAGCGGAGACGAACGAAATGAAATGTCGTAAGACTCACCAACACTCCTCGTCATTAATGGGTCAATATTCTTTTTAGCTCGCAAGGATGAAGGCGTTGAAAAAATTGAGCTTTGAGACGTGGAAGTAAGCGGTGCACTGCAAGTTCTGAGATTTTCTTGAGACGAGGATTGTCTACTACCGCCGATTGATTTGATTGATCTGAGTGAATACTTTGGCACATAGGGAGGAGGCATCGCAGGACCTTTGGAAGCAGAAAACGACAACAAATCAATTCAATATACAAACGGATTATAAAAACAATACCAAAAAAGCTCAAGGCAGAAAAGTTTCTGAAAAACATCACCATTAACCGTGTACTGACATTGAATAATGGTTATTTAAAATAGAAGACACCTCAAAACTTTCTACTTAGTTATTAATTGACAGCCATTTTAGAATTTTGGAAGATTTTGTTGGCACACTTTCTGGCTTTGGCATTACGCTCTCCTAGGAACAGAAGTCCTACTTCAACTTATACACTGTAAATTACTCGTATAAAACCGACATATGAAGTAGCACCTTATGATTTCACACACTACATTGGTGTACACTATTCTTCATACCTGTTTTTAAATATATGTAGGTGAAACAAGCTACTAAATTAAACACTTCAAGTAGGCAATTTACCTAAAAAGCAAATTGCCTAAGAGTGTACAAGTGTATCTCTCAACTTTTGCAGAGTTATTCCAAATATAGCTGTAGCAGTCTTGCTTGCTATAATACAAGAGCCTTACCTTGAAACTTCATAGGGGGCGGAGAAGATCTTAGGCCTTTAGTAATTGCCTTGTTGTATTGCAAAACAGTGACTGGCATGCGATGCTCTACTGCAGACACAATTGACTGGGTGTCGTTGTCTCCGTCTGAAGATCGCCTAGTTCTTGTGTGTGAAGATTCTGGATGTTAAAAGAATGATAATTCAGAAAATACAACTACAGATAGTTTTTAAGATTAAAAGATGGGAGGAGCGAAACGAACAAACAAGTTCGACAGTTAGCTTAATTGACGGGGGGTGAGAAAAAACGAACAAGAAGTACAAAAAAAGCGACAATCAATTGTGAGCAGGGATCAAAATCGTGACTAGAAAATTATTTAAACCCCCTGGCTGACCATGCAAGATAGAACGAAAAGACTCCTAACAGTACAGCGTTATCGGTTTATTAGGACGGACAACTCGAGTACAGGTATAAAACACAAAGAACAAGCTCCCACGAACATCAGATAGTTTCACAGCATCATGAAGCATAACTAGATAATTTCACCTGCTATTATCTATCGATAGATACATACCTACTTGAAATTTCAAACAACATGCTTTCATGCATTGGTTCAAGATAATTCTACATACTTTCTTTGGCCCTTCTTTTATCATAATCCTCTTCGGTCTTTGAATTCGATTGATTTCTCCCACTCCTTGTGTCTGCCTTCCTTTTGCCAATTTTTATGATCTGATCAGGAGTCTTTAGGCCAGGGCTGAAATAGAGCTCCACGTGAAATCTGTTGTCTGAATGTGGATCTGCCATCGGATCTTCATACTGCATCAAAACTATTTGCGTGAGATAACTCAGCTCTGAGACCTCACCGATGTAGTCACATGCTCTTTTCCATTGCTCGTCATTGATTTCCTTAAAAAGTAACAAATATCAAATTTCTCAAAGGAAATGGAAAGTATAGGCGGTAATTTCAATCTTGCTTTTTGAGAGAGAACTGGTTTAATATCAAAGTGAGCTAATTGTACAATCCAAATTATATCTTTTTTACACAAAATTTTCTATGAAAAAGTAAACCTTTGCAGTAAACTTACGTGACTTTTACTAATTGCGCCTTGCTAATTCAGTTTAAGATGGCATGTTTTTGTGTACAAAATATGACTTTTAAATAGTATGATATGAGATTTCAAATTTATTTTGAAACGTAAATCTATTTGCAAAATGTTAAAAACCCGAGAGCGCCATCCATGTACCTTTTGAAGCCTGACTATCTTTTTAATACAACTGAGAATACAACTGGCGTATGTTATATGACAAAGAAAAGAAATTAACACATAAAAAATTTTTAGAATTAAGTTTTATGGAAATTCCTTGAAAAATCTATTATTGCTTACTGATTCAGCCTTAGGATTAATCTAACTTTAGCAGAAATGTCAGAGAAACGTAAACTTACATCACAAACTTCGCCATAACGAAGGCCAGCTAGCATACAGTGCACGTGACTCTCACTGGTGAAGTACAACCTCGTTCTCACGTGTCGATGAGGAGTGACAACATCTTTTGAATATCTTTTAAACAAAAATATTATGAATATCTATATATAGAAACTTTTTTGTGTATGCTGGCATGAAATATAAAGAGCAAAAATAGTCAGATTGCCTATTTGTTATAAAGAAGATATCCATGCATAAAAATCTGCATTTTTCAAATAAGCGAGGGTAGATTTTTGTTCAACGCAAAGGTTCAGGTTCCATTATAAAATTAGTGCTTTCTAGTCATTCTTTTGATTTGCCTGTTTTGCGGTATTTTGAAATTTCAAGACTTGATTAGCTACACCGAAAATCCCAGCTTTCTTGCGATGAGGTCAAAACCAGGCTATACAATGTGGATATTTTAATGGTCTAAAATTACTGTTTAGATTGCAGGTTTGAGTATAAAAACAGGTTATTATAAATTGTGCTTCATGGTGTCCCGATAATCATAAGTAAGCAAGCTGAAGAGAATCTAAAATATTAAAATTAAACCTAGGATCCAATCTGTGCACTGTTTCATTTTCATTATCCACCGTGTGTTTCAAATCTGCTCTTATTTTCTTCAGCAACCGATTGCAAACTTGTTTTGAAATGTCTAATTTCTCTTTCTTAGTTATGCCATACTCCTATTTAAAAGGAAAATGAGAAAACATGTTTCATATTAAACATTTGTAAAAGCTATATATAATCAACCAAGAGCATAAAAATCCTCAGAATATAAAACGTCAGAATAAGGGTCTAAAAGAGCAAGATGGAATTTTTGACCCTAATTCTGACGTTTTATATTCTAATTCTAAGGAGTGTGGGACGACAATGCTTTTAGTATGTTGTAAAATTTTTGCTTTTTTTAAAGGCTCCTTCGCTTTAACTTATTAGCTACCCCTAATAAGCAATATGTAGTTGGCAGCTGCGATGGGGGCTGTTTTCTAACCATGACACTCAAGAGCATCATCTGCTTGTTCCAAACGACTTTTCCCTTCGATAACCCAATGATCACTTCGTCACTGCACGATTATAAATGGCATTGGATGGTTCATGGAAATTATCTTATTACAGCATTAAAGGTGAACTGACACGCAAAATTAACTTGAGCTCAAATGAAAGCATATCGAGCATAAATACCTGATACATTATTATTTTTTCAATATTCAACACAGTTTTCGAGTTATTGAGCGTCAAAGTTAGCCACCGAACATTTTCCGAGCACGGACGAGTTCACCCGAGCCTTCCGCATAATCGTGACGTCACAAACACCATGTTCACATCACTTGAGCAACACGACAGTCTGGAAGGCCGTACTTTTATGACTGTGCAGATGAGCATCGATATATTAATTGAGTAGGTTTTGGCTCCATTTCGACAACCTAATTGGAACACAGATTATGACTCCTTTACAAACCTTTCATAATAAGGTTTGCAAGAATATCGTATTATTCAACGCGTTTGAGGCCCTTCCTCCGTCTTGCAGGACCCAGTGTGTGGCGGGCCAACATATCGTATAAAGGTAGCGATAAATATATTAACAGGATTTTTATTTTCTGGAAACCTAAGTAAAACACTTTTATTTTGTTAAATACGGCTGCTGTTAGACTAATTTATCAGCACCCCCCACCCCCACCCCAAGTTAATTTCGGTCTTTGATCCTGATTATCTTCGAATACGCAGTAAAGATTCAATGAAGATTTTGAACTCATTTTCGTTTTTTTATTCAATCACATGAAAAAATTTCAGGGGTTAAGAACCTGGTACGATCGAGTCGCTATTTGCAGGAAAACAACTTATTTTCAACTCCCAGGCCGCTGCACTCCTATAACTCGGGTGAACCGATGAGTTTGCAAACCCAAAATAAAATAACGTTCATGATTTATATGGATGTAGAAATAATCTATCGAAGTAATAATATATCGAATTTATTCGAAAAAGAAGCTAGATTCATGATAAAATGATAAGATTCTTACATTCGTCCGCATGATTGACTTCAGAATTGAGAATTTCTTCGAGCAGTATTCCTTCCAAACTTAAATTCCCTCCTAACATAACATAGTACCAGCCAACACATATCCATCGTATATTCAATCAGCCAATCAGCCTCGAATTTTCATGTATCTTGGATCGAAGGCTACGCAGATCTCCTCGAATAGTAACTGAACAAGATGAACTGAACTGTCCAGTCCGTGCGTGATTTCCATTCAAGGAATAAAAACATGGTGTTTGTGACGTCACACGCACTTGGTCACATGAAATGCCGACAATGGTCGAACACTCGACGATTATTTCATGACATTTAGAGCGGAATTGCGTCAAAACGGACAATTATAATTAACCGAAAACTTGAAATTAAGATTCCATGCATCGTTTTCTACATTATATCAAAAAATAGTTTTGCGTGTCAGTTCTCCTTTAAAGTATTTTGATCTTCCACACTTAGGTCAATTAGCAAGGTTGAATTCAACAATCCCCTTGTTCTTTTTAAAAAATGTTGGTTTGCTATAAAATATGTATGTGACTAAATGAAAATCACAATCTGCCAATCTTCCATAAGGTGCCGTATAGGCAAACTATACACGCTATTGGCTTTGGCGGTTCTAAGTCACAACTCCGAGTTACATGCTTGGTTCGAACATTAATCAGGCTACAAAGCGTAACTCGTGTGATATTTACCTAAGGAAGAAGTAATAAAAATAGAAGCATTAAAACGAGACATGTAGTCGTTTGCCGTTTCACTGACTTATTGCAGGCATAGTAAGCAATTGAACAAAAACGTACCTGAGGAATAACGATGTCTGCTAGAGACTTTGACATCTCGAACAATTCAGGGATGTTCTTCAGACCTAATGACCTAATAAAAATTCATATAAATGAAAATTTTTTAGAGCTTTGGCTATTCAATAAAGTTAGTGAAGATAAAATTGAACATGAAAGTAAAAATCCACAGGTATAAATGCTTATAACTGAATTTGATATAATAAGTTTGCTATTTAATTGATTTAAATGATACATTTAAAGTTCCCATTATCAGATGTCATTACCAGCCTATTCCGAGGTGACTTAATTCATTTTGACACAAATTTATGCTACAAACCTGTTATGCAAGTAATCATATTTCACACAGTCATAGATATCTGGTATGAGGCTGATATCATATTTCCCATCGCCCATTTTGAAATCCTATAAAAAAAATAAACAAAATTTCAATTTCAAGATTGAGAGACCTTGCTTTTATCTTAATCGAACGGTTGACTTTTACATTAAGTCGACAGATAGCAGTTGAACTTCTTCTAATGTAAGTCAACAGATGCCAGACCATCTGTCTATAATAATACTGTACAAATTTTAAAAGATCTTTTTTATCAACGATTATTTTCTAAAATTAGGCCATTTACGTTTCCTCTCTTGGACTGTGCACGTATCAGTTGTTTCGATTTTTACAAACGCTTTCTGTCAACACATGTAAGCTTCTCTACCTCTCTCTAAGCTGCTAGACAGAGAATTCAAAAAATGCTTGGAAACATAAAAATATAAAATACTTTATATATGCTTTGCAAAACAAAAATTTACAAGCACTGGATGACACAGTACCCAATGTGCAAATATGTATTGAATCGAGCAAGCATATAAAGAAACGAATTTCTTCTGAAGTTGGCTTTATAATGAGACATCTTTTAAATGATAACACAAGTGAAAATAAACAAAGAACGGTGCCAACCTTCTCGAGCTTCTGCCAGCGATGCTCCATAAGCCTAATGCTTTCATCGTGATATAAGATCGGAGCTGTTAATAGAATAATGAAAAATTCACATCAGCACGTATCTCACATCTATTGGAATATCAAAGAGCTTACTCTATTAAATATCACGAGCTTGTTACCTAAAGAAAAGAGCTTTAAAAGAGAATTTCCCAAAGTACCATTTTCATATACCGTAATTGTTAATGAAAGACCAAAACTTCCCTCAGGTTAATGACATATTGACCTCTGCAGGTAAATTACTTAATATGTACCGTTTGGATCAACATCTGGCTTTTCACACAACGCACTGATCTGGGCAGTCAATGATTTCACCCCGTCATAAACCTTTTCACACATCAAATGTGGATTTTTGATACCATTCAAAGCACGTAGTAGCGAATTTGCATTGGTTGGTGCCAGCTTAAAGAAAAAACAAATATAATCAACCATATTGTCTATCAAGAGCTCATGCAGCAACGAGCATTCCCTGCAACTATAATTATATTTATCCGGCTGCTTTTTTCTAACAACAAACAAAACAGTTTGGAAAAAGCTTTAAAATCCCCCCAGCCAAGAATGTATTGCTAGGAAAAGAAAGAGGAGGGTCCTTGACACCAATTCTCAAATACAATGGCATCAGCTAGAAAAGCCCCTTGAGCTCGCTTGCTCTACAAAGTTCCCCCTTTGCTGAAATGTACCAAATTTGTTCCACTATCTACCGAAACTCGTTACTCAAAGTAAAAATTTCTCAATCAGCCCTGACTATACTACCTTCCAACCTAAATTTTCTAGGCTGAAAAACCTGATATTACGGTAAACGCCAAACATTAAATTTGCAAACAAAAAGAACTTACTTGCTGTCTCTGTTCTTCTGTAAAGTCGTCTTCGATATGCATAATATGATGCAGCTCTGATTTTACACTAAAATGGCAAACATTGACATGAATCAGTTGTTTATACTAATTTCAAAATCCCGTAGATATTAAGCTAATATACCTTCATGATGATAGGTCATAGCAACAGTATAAACAGCATGAACAGCAATGGTGCTAAAGATGAACATTGAGGAACTCCTCATTCCACGCGTTACGGTCTCAGTTTGATTTGATATTTCCACTTCTATAGAACTTCATATCTTTCTAACTCACTGTAGCATCTTTAAAGATACATCTGCAGTAGTGTCCAGCATTCCATTGACATATTTATCATTTTTCACCAGCGAAGCGAGAATTGGAGGCAGTTCACCTTCAAGCTGTAGCAAGCCCTTAAACGAAACAAGAGCATTAAATCTACCCGAAAATTCCAAGACACATAAACAAACAAACATACAAACAAACAAACAATAAGGGCGGTAATGCATAGATCTTTTATTTCTCACTTTTTATCCTCTTAAATAGTATTTAGATGTCACGTAACTGGGTTTAAGTACAAAAAGAGCTCTATCCCTTGCCAATTCCTTCAAAAATTTGTCTTCACCTCCAATGTTTGTATCATCGTATTTTGCATATTAACTTGATATAACCAATCTATTTTTGGTACAGATTTTATAGAAGATTTCAAATATCCAAAATTAAGCATGAACTGAACTTTGCTGACTATTTTTTCCACATTTTGCTCTACCATTGTAAATTAGATGCAATATAATTCTCAACAAAGAGTAGGAAATTAAATAAGCACTCCGTGTAGCAGATAAAATACAGTTAATACTTGCTTTAGCAAAAGCAGCTGCTGTCATTTGCACTCTTCCTTCATCAGAAGCATATATTTTCAGATCATGCCTATATGTGCTGTGGAGGCGCAAAAACCCACAACCAGGTATCAGCCCATACTCGCCTATTGGAAATGGAAAATATTGACTTAGAAATCGATGAAAAAATATCAACGATTAGGCAAGAAATGAGTATAATGATTCATAAAAAGATTAACTAGTTGAGTACGTAAATTATCAAGTAGCCCTTTAAGCAGATCGAGAAAAAGTAAGAAAGCGACATGAAAGTTTTCGGAATTGGTTATCACTGACTTTATAGAGAAAATTTGATAAAATGATAACAAAGAAAAACACTGAATCCCTTCAAAACAGGGTAGAGAAAAGTATTAACATCTATACGATATTCAATAGTACTCAAATATAGCTTAAATAATGCATACGAAAATTAAAGTATATTAAGATCTCTGATGGCGCAGCAATGGTATTATTTCATAAAATCAATGACCAAAGTTGATAGGAAAACTCGAAAACAAACTATGACGTTTTCTATCCTATACAGGAGTATATTGCTAAACGGATAAAACACGATGCCTTTAAGAATACAGAGTAAGTACAGTACAATCAACATTGGACAATAACTACAAGAAAAATAATTTTAAGATGGTGACGTTCGTTTATCACTCGTACTACTCATGCCTAAATGTGCTTAGTGGATGGTTTCATCTCTCCTCTGGAAAAGTAAAAAACTCTTCTGCGACAAACATTAAGTTACAACTACAATCTCAAATGCAGCTGTAGCTTATATTTAGGACTACTGAAATCATGAACCAATGTTCCTAGAATAAAGCTAATTTCTGTTAAAACTCCCAACCAGCAGGTTCCACATATTGAGATTTCTATGCTTGGTCAACTCAGAATCTCTAGTTTAAAAACTCAAAGCCATGTTTACTTAATGAGCAAAAGGAATCTCTGAAGTTAAGCAAACGTCTGAAATGAAACTTGAGTTCTAGTTAATCAGGATTCGAAATTTTCGAAAATTCTCCATTACAGCCAAAATGGGCTACACAAATTTTTGAAATGCATGCATGCTCGCGGTTTGTGGGAATTTTCTTATGGGAATTGTGCCTTATAGGGAAAGTAAACACCAGGCTATGAAAATAACATGAGTAAACCTGTTCTGCCAGAAAACTATTTCTAAAAAATTATGTTACAACAGCTGAATCTATTAGCCCTACTTTTACATCAGAAGCAACCTTTAACCTATAACCTAAATTTTAAACCTTTGACCTGACTTTTTTGACATAACAACCTATGACCAAACGACCTTTGACCTTTACATTTGATCAGACATTTAAGAGAGCTGAAACGTAGCCTACGATTTGTAAACCTAAGGACTTACCGTAGCGATTACTGTAGAGGCCATAGGCTAAATGCAAAATAGAACACTATTAATACAAGTCCATTCAAATTCTTAAGAAATGCTTATTGGAATTTTGTATCAAGGAGTTAAAAATGAATTGTAAGCCATTGTGATGGCGGGAAAATAGGTAACATGAGTTTTAGGGTGTTTTTTACTGAGAATTTAAAAAGAAGAGGACCCACGAACTACTACCAGGATACAAGCAGGCAAGAAAGGCATAAAATTCTACTAATGAATCAATATCAAATTACTGAGAACAATAAAGGACTGAGCAGTGATCTATTATGACGTAGCTACGCTCAATTCAATCTTAAGCATGAAAGGTAGAAACGGTCATAAACTATTACTTTTTATTAAGTTAATTTCAATCTATCAGCTGTTTAATATTGTTGATATTTCCGAAGCTACTAACATACAGTGTTTAGGAATGTGGCCTTTTGAAGGGAAGCTTCACTTAGACGTGGAGAACATACAATTATATCAAAATATTACCATAAGCATTTTTCACTTATTAACCTATTGCAGACATTTAATAATTTACGATTTTGGCGTATTTTACACTTTTTCTAATCTAAATCAATTAATTCCCTTCTATGTTTTAGTTTTAATTTTCGCTGTCAAGTTTGGTATCATAAGAACCTGAAAGGAGGCCCTTGGACCACAATAAACTTCTTAGATTAGCATAAAACAACATTGTTTGGAGGGAAAATGGGGGAAGCAGTTTAAGATATTAAAATATTTAGTAAAATGTACAAAGAATTGTTGCAGGCACTTTATTTTTCTTTTTCAATCTTATGTTTTGAATAGAAGAGGGTTGTAAAAACTAAAGTGGTACTGTGACATTATCTCGTAGGAGGTCTCAAATACTACGCTCCTCTAATTCCACTGCATGTCGCGCTGAACTGAAATCTCACTAATATCAGAGACAATACACAAACATTCCACGATCTACAAATTTTTGCCGTAACGTACGGTGTCTGTTAATTACCAACGTTTTGAGACTGACTCTGCCTAGCTACAAAGACTGACACAAAATTATCTACTTAGAAGATAGTAAAAGCACACTTGTACAGGGGCAGCTGCAGAGCAAATCATTTTATTCGACAGCTTACAAAGGTTGAATAACAGTGATTAAGTACTCTTAAATATTTCAGAACTAGAAAGAAATGCTCATTTTGTATAATAACAACAATCAGCTTTTGTAAAGTAACTGCGATACTTTCTATAAATGTAATGATCTTGCAACGCTGACAAAACCTGAATGCCTCGTGTACCTTATAAACTGGATCAGAAACTATAACTGAATGGCAAGATGGATCACAAACTGTGAACAGCTACTGTTCGCAAAGCATAATCTTGATTTAATTAGCGAGGAAAGCATAGGAACTTTGTACAATATCTATTTTAAGTAGCTGACACTTAAATGCAACTTGCATATGCAGTCTAACTATGGTACGAGCAGCCTTGTGTGTGTTGACTGAACTTTAATAAACCAGATAAAGAGGCAAAAGGTCTACTTGATGCTAACAAGCAAAAGCTCTCACCAAATAACTTCAATGCATTGCTAGTCAGATGGTTTTCAATTATTTAACTATAGCCTTCAAGGCATTAATCATTTGAATCTGAAATCTAATATAAAGACTCCACTATATATAAGACTCCACTACTTGCTATTACTGAAATCAGTAATGTATAAAAAATACGAGCCTAATTTCGATTCTATTTAGAATAATTAACTTAAAGCTCTTAAAAAACCAAGTATCTTTATAAAGAAGTGAATGAAATATGTATGGAGATTATCGATGTCTAAAAAATTTCTCTTCTGTCACTTTTCTGGTAAAAACCTTTGAAAAAATTGATTGACACCTTTCAGGTACTCATGAAAAAAAGCCTACGAAAAGAACGAGTCGATATTTCAACGGTTCTTGATAAACGTATTTAAGGCCAGGGATTCTTATGTCCAAAATCAGTAATCAAGCTTATGAAAATATCATTACAGATAACGATAAATCAAGATATCTATTTTCCGAAAAAAGGAGTACTTTTTAGGCTCACCAACTTATTCCGATAAACTCAAACTTCGTTAAAGAGTTAGGATGAGATGATATCAAAGGATGACATTATATTTACACCCATAAAAAATGAAATGAAAAAAAAATGAAATTTTGACAAATGAACAAAAACATTATTTGCCATGAAAACTAGCAAGCACGGAAGTTTCAACTATTTCCAATGACTATTACAAAAACTAAAGGCTGCTGAATACAAAGGTGCTCTTATTCTTATAAAATATGTACTTTGCGTGTGGTACTTCATCCAGAATAACGATAATATAGTTAGCAAATAAATTTAGTACCAGAATGAAAATATAATAGTTTGATCACTAAAAACACTACATTTCGAGCATGCTATATTATCGTTGCTCTTATTCTTCTCCAAATTTCATAAAACAAAACTAACTACAAACTTGATTCACTAAATATACATATAGCAGAATAACTGAATGAAAAATACACACCAATGAATAAAAACTGAGACATGCTGATGTGAACCAGTGAACCAAGACAAGTGCATTTCAAAATGGCATTGAAAAAGCGAACATTTTACAACATATTGGCTAAAAGCTTTTTCGTCTGACACTCCTCAGAGCATTAAACATCAGAATAAGGGTTCGTCAGAATAAGTCCAGAAGAGAAAACGAACTCCTTCTGTCTACACAATCTGCTAGATAGAAAGACGACCGGGCTCTGCCAATTATCTGAAACATGTCTTCATTATAGAGTTTTGCACAATCTGGGTTATCTAAAAGACGTCAAGTTCTGTACCGCTAAAAAAACTGTTCACAAGTACATTCCTCGTGCACGAACTGTAACAACCGTGTATATACATATAACGACATAACTCACAATGAACTATATAAGAAACTACATCTACACATAAAACTCGAAATATTGGATGCGGTTTGTTCTTCCAACAATAGCGTTCTCGTGATGCCCAATAATTCACTAATGTTTATCCTTATTCAATTTGTGTAAATGACAAATTGAAGCAGTTTAAGCAATATATTTAAAGACACCGATATAATTAGAGGAAATTCAAGTATCCGCAAAAATATGAGTGTTATTTTAGCTCGATATGATGCCGCTTGGATTAAACTATAGGTATTTTATGTGCCTCGATAAAGTTTAAGTTTTAAGAAGCGTAAGTAGGGTCATTTAATATTATATACATGGAGATATTTATCTACTATCCACAGGCTATGTAAAAGTGAAAAAAAACAGACTTTCTTTAAAAGAATAAATATTATGTACAAACAGGAGTTTATTCGCCAGCTTTTTGGAAACAGGGGAAATTCTTGTTAAAAAGGGTTTATGCGGAAATTCTTGTTAAGCTGCGTTCATCTGATTAAAATCACACTTTTAGGTAGAAATAGGTTCTGTACAAATTGGAAAGAAAAATAGGAAGAGAATCATACCTTGTCCCCCTGGATACATGCATCTAAAGGCCCGTCCAAGCTCCTCTGCCTGCTTCTTTCCCATTGGAGTCAGTTCTCCACCCCACTTGAGTATGAGTAACAATGTGGGGTTGTTGGAATCATCATGCAGGGGGTCAGAGTCTTTGTTCCTTCCTTTGAATTTCTTTTTCATGTCGATATTTCGCTTATCATTCAATGACTTCAATTGCAGTTTTCTATTGATACCAGAAAAATGACCATACCTAAAACAAAAGAAAAATCATATTTTTGAAAATACAGAGCCCCAGATGCTTATTTCTACAATGAACGGCAACTTTAAAATGAAAAGTTTCAGTTTTGGAGGCCAATGAATCTAGTTGTAAGTGTAATAATTTTAAAGACATAGAGCCAAATTGTATTGCCAAGGAGATATATGAAGAAAAGCTTATGACCTAATACTACCTGTATATTCAGATGTTGCCAACTAAAAGAGATATATCTCTTCAAAAAGACGTTGCTTGTGTAGCAACTGGAAACCTGAAACGACTATCTGCTGCAAACAAGGGGCAGGATCCGTGTTCGACCCACTATATGACTCCAACTTTATATCTGTTCAAGATGAAAAGGCAATATAGCTTACATCTCAAGGACGCTCTTCATCTGCATTAACTTTGCGGGATTCTCGCGTATTTCTCCACCTTCTTGTGATTCACGCAATAGGTTGCGTGTTATATCGAGCACTTCCTGCAGATCCTTTGGTGCTTTTAGCTTCAGCTTTCCCTCTTCCGGTCCACCGAATTTGTAGAAAAGATCAAACCATCTATGAAAGAAAATGCAGTACAAAAAAGATAAAAAAATTCTACAATCAGGATTCAAATCACAATAACAAAGAGCGGGAGCAAAGAAAGAGTCTAATTGTTTTTATGCAATTCACAAAGAAAACAACAAAGGTGATATATACAGAAAGGGATTCATAAATAGTATGTCTTGAATATTCAGATTGCATGAATGGCCCTATATTAACACGTTTTTAGTCGTAGGCAAAATGGAGCAGTTGGCTCTACTGTAGGCCGTTTTTTCATCAGGTATCACATACGTAGTGTTTGCATGAGCATCCATAGACCCAGAAGATACCACAGTGAAAAATATGAAAATATATTATAGAATAAACAGAGAATATGTAAGAATCTCGGCTAGAGACTTCCAAAAGTAGTTGAAAGGAAAGGATCTATAATGGTGCATTTGGGTTCCAAGTCATATAGGAATGGAAACACAAGTGAGCATGCACTTCTTATCAATAGTTCTACTACCAATAAATAAAGCACCGAACAACTTGATTTCAGGCATAAAAGAAGAGAATTGACTTACAGTTTATGATGAACAATCATTTTCATTTTCTGCTTAGGTGTTCTATCCCCATGCCGAATGATTGCTACAACGCATCGTAATTCCAGCATTGTTCCTTCGGTGGTCATAACAGGCTCTTCCTCGTATGAAGACAACTGGTAGATAAGTGGATTAGGTATCCATAGCTGTGGGGCTAGGTTCTGAAATATGATGTCCGCCAATATCTGAGAGCAGTCGTCGTAGTATTTTTGGGAGGTCTTAACAAAGCTGAAACCATTGACGTCACACACATACGATTTGCCATTTGAGCGGAGAAGATCGAATCCGCACACAGTTTGCTGTTAAAATAAAATACACCAAATATGAAGCATAAAGTTGCCTAACAAACTAATAGGAAGCTTATATTTGCTTGGATATATATCTAAATTTTAAAACTGCAAAATGTTTTACAGCAGACAAAAGTTCAAAACTAAAAAAAAGTTGTGAAAACTTCTTAGTTCTCTACCAGTAACATTTGCTGTAATTCAAGTTCTTTAAAGTTTAGATAGGTCTATGGAAGAAGTTGAAATAAAGAAATATTTAAGATGCCAAGTGTATACCGTAAATCCTCGAATTGGCCCCCCTTCGAAAAAGCCCCCCCTCCCGAATAAGCCCCCACCCTAGAACTAAAATTTTTCAATAAGCCCCCCCTTGAATAAGCCCCCACTGTTACCGTTAATTCTCGAATTGGACCCCTCTATTTGATGAATTTTTGCCATCTGATGATGTCTTTGGCATTTTATTGAATTACCACAAATATTCATACTTAAACGCGGTTTTTTAAAAATGTCTTCTTAATGTCTACAATAATTTTATAAGCCCCCCTCGTATTAGCCCCCCTTCGAATAAGCCCCTATTCAAAAAGATAACAAATAAATAAGCCCCCAGGGGGCTAACTCGAGGATTTACGGTATGCGAACTTTTCGTCTATGTCGTGTTCACTTGAATGCTTACTTGGTGGCACATTTTAACCAATTAATTTTCTCCATTATTATCCACTTTACAGGCTCTGTCTGTTGACAATAAAATTCACAGGAAAGTTTTCTTAAAGAGCAGAAGCTACAGGTAGTCTAAAACTTGAAAAAATGTCGACATAAATTGAAGAAGAGAGTTGGTTGGGCCATGCTAGATGAATTAGCTAGCTGGCTGATCTTTATTCCAGGCAAAACATGAATACCAAGTATGGAATTAGTGCGTAGTCTACTGTGAAAAAGCTTAAGTGGCCAATATAATATAATTTAATTTTAATATAATCTTTTTCACGCCTTTATCACTTTTGATATCAACAGTACAAGATTCTATTGTCAACCAAGCTCACCTTGAAAATAGAACAGACTTGCTTAGCAATTAACTTCTCGCTTGCACTGAGAATAACAGGGTACCTAATTTCTTTTCCTTGTGCATCTCGTTCCACTTTCCCATCAAGAGCCGGCGACTTTCTTGCCTCTGAGTGAGCGTATTCCTCTCCAACTGTGTACACCTAACAAAAAAGAGTAATCATACACGTTTCACTGCATAAATCCTGAGCACCAATTATACCACGAAAAAACTTTAGACACGTTGGATAGGTGATGGATAGGAGAAGAGGGGGGGGGGAGTGGTGGAGAAGATACTTTGCTTTAAGCGAAAGTTGTTTAGTAAAAGCTTTGAATGGACCATCTAAGGTACGCTAAAATTTAGTGAAGAGTACATATTTTTGTGCTCAGAATTGATTGTCACAGTTAATATTCATTGGCCTTTCAACGCACTTATGTAGTACAGTCGTTAAATACTGACCAGAGATCAGGATTCGGTAGCCTTCGAAAGAAGTCGCATCTCTTACTTTTAAGTTGGAGGGCTCTCATTGATCCTCGTTCAATTTTATGGTGATATATTTCAGAATCAAATCGCTTTCTTTTCTACTTTTCTCACTTAAGATACTTTCACGCTCTTGATTGTTTTCAACCCCCTGGCCTTTCAATATTTTCTGCTGGTTAAAATAATCCATGTGAGTTCTAAATGATCCTAGCGCCAAAATCGTATGAAAAAAGTTCGTATCCATGTCAACTGCAAGAAATAGTGGAGCTTCATTCACTAAACTTAACAAGCATTTCAGATTATAACGTAAGGGAACACACCTTTACATCAGTTCCAGAAGTAGCCATGTATTCTTCATAAATGTAAGATCCAGTCCTTCGCACCCGGCTTTCAGAGGAATAAACACTACTTCTACTCCCTATTTTCCTGAATAATATTTGACAACCACCACCTGCAGACAGGGGGTAGTAGATATAAATGTTGTGATCTTCAGCACTGACTGGCTTTTCAACGAAGGGCTTTGTAAATATCTGTCCATTTATTTCGATAGTATCATCACATTCAATGAGGTCATTCTCGCTGTCAGCTGGTTTGTTGTTTTCATCCCGATTAAAAACAGCATATCGAGGCACTTGAATACCCGCATCCACGAGCATCTCGTAAACTTTGCGTCTAGAAAACACATGGAACAGGTCAAGAACAAAGTTCATAAAATGTACTTAGCCAATGATGTACCTAGCCAAAGTAAATCAAAAGTTTTAAAAATCGAAATATCTATCCAAGTAGCAATGTTCATAGCCCTTCCCTAGGCCTCTGTCACGTAATACAAACTCTCTTTAGTGTAAAGTGTACTATCTCACAGTATTACTACATGTGTAATGAACAACGATACACAGTATTACTACATGTGTTATGAATTTACTGCTCAGTCCTGATATACCTTAAACCAACTTGAAACAAATGAAGCTCTAGAAGCAGGAATTTTAGATCATTATATTCATTATATTTTTCTAGAAAATTTCCTCAAACTAAAAATGAAAAAAATTTCATATGAAGAGCCAGGAAATATGTTGAATTCCCACTTTTACTTTGATTGTCCCTATTACATTGTAACAAAAATGATCACTCATCAAGAAACCATTTTAGCACAAAAAAAAAAATTTATTATGATTCTCATTTCTTCTCTATCCATTTGACTTCACAGTTAAATTTGCATAGTTTAAGGGGTTCTGAAAACAATTAAGCTTTTATCATTTCAAGTTCAAGGATATGCTCAAAACGGTATTCTCCGACCAAAGATGATACCGACTGCTTACATTTTGCATGGTTCTTTAATGGAAAAACAATGTTGGACAGTATGGGACCAGGAACCGTGCAGCCATTGGGCTAGCCAGGGCTTTAGCCCGCCCCCTCTCCCACAAAGACTAGAAAACTTTTGGAAAGTTTATGCTAATGCAACTTTGGAATGTTTACTCTATAGGAACCTAAGTGGTAGCAGTTCTTCTTGACAGGGAATCCTTTTGCTCACTTTCTTGGCGTTCTTTCTTGTTTACTGATACGGTGTATTTTCTGACTTTGTTAGCTTGGTGTTTAATTATCCTCAAGCTTTTCATGACCATTTTTTAAGGTAATTGAAATGTTCTCTGAATTTAACTGTTTATAACCTATTTGTAAGCAAAAAGGGGAGGGAAGCAAGTAACTTCTAGAAGGCGCGTTTTTGAGGGGTTCTAAAGCGTGTGGCCTCAAATATTTTTCAGCCCCCCCCCCCACTTTTAGAATGGAGCCTGGGGCCTGTATGGGACAGGCAGAAGCAATGTGCGGTAATAACTGGGTGTGGTACATTGAAAACTTGATATTGTTGCTGGATATGCCCTCTACTAGCTTGTAAACAAAGCTGGGTCACATTTTGTTTTTTCAGTATTTTCGTTACAAAAACATGCAAAGTTAATCTGAAAATGCTTTTCACTATACTATTTATAATCTAAATAAAAGGCTTAACATAGAAAGTCTTTTAATCATATTATATTGCAATAAAAGGCACCTACTCAGGATTTACTACTTAACAAGGATACACACTGTCATGCAAATGAAATTAGCAGTAATATCTTTACCTAACCAAAAATCAGGAAAAATAAGACATTACTTTTAGAAGGGAAATTTGCCAAGTGTAAAAGAAAGCTCAGGTACTTTATCATCAAAGAGAGTTTTGAATTTGCCAAAAAACAAATAGAACTTTTTTCAAAAAATCATGAAAGTGTATCTTTTATGTAAGCACTACGAGTCATTCCTCTTGCAAATTCTTTAAACATATGTCCAAAAACTTACAACAACCCATACCCTCTCCATCCCCATTTTACAATTTACCCAGAAAAACCTTGAGCACTTAAGCTAAAAACGTTAATATTCATGGCAAGAAATCTTTTTCCCAATTTAATTTTTTTGGAAAATCTGAACTGATATCAGTTAGGCTGGAGCCCCAGGTCCTTTTAATAGTTTTCACCCATGGTTCAGGTACAATAAAATGGCTTCACTGAACAACCTAGCTTCCTTGTTTCCTACATTTAGATCTTATGGTAAAATAATTTACAGTTGGGATTTGCAATTTGCAGACAGGCAGCTGCTGCCATTTGCTGTCTCTAAAACAATTTAGGGCAGCAGTTATGACCCACAGCCAATGCGATGGTGCATTTGAATCACCGCTAAAACAATGTAGTCCCTCTCCTGGGGATTCCTCTTTTCAGAGCCACATCTCTTGTTGAACAAAATATGTTAATGGGGCAATGATGATGATTCGGAAAAGTTGCAAACAGGCAGTCCCATTGGCTGCTTTTCATAAAAGCTGCCTTTTATTGTTTTTTGAGACAGCACATCAAACCTAGGGGTAGCAGCTGCCTGTCTGCAAATTGTAAATCCCAACTGCAAATTATTTTGCTAATTATGCATTAGACAATCACACTGTACTTAAAGTGGTATTTGTATGAAAACATCTATAAACATCCAAGCTTACCTATCCATAAGCAAATACTGGGTCTCCAGGTCATTTAAAAGAAATGGCTTTCGAAGTTCAGTATATTTTATTGCTTTGTGCAAAGGAAATCCAGTGGAGTAGAATGAAATTAAGCAGTCAACAATTGGCCAGTTTTCAACATCCTCGTTTAATATCATCTCATCTTGAAATACTTCAAAATGAAGCAAGTTACTTTTTCTGAGTCTTGTAAGAATCTGTTTCATTGGTCTTGAATATGTCTACAAAAATTGTAAAGTAAATAAGTATTATCAAGCAGTAGCTAATGATTTTTACTATAAAAATACAGTGACTAAATTTTTCTGTTATTGAGCATTGACTTGAATTCATGAAAAAATTTCATGACAAAGTAGGTTTTAATGAAAATAAACATTATGAAAATATTGTTTCTTTGCAAAATTGATGACTGATATGTAATGAGGAAATAGAAACATCTAGAACTGTTTTTAAAATCTTTATTTCTGCCAGTCTTTCAAGAATATTTAAGCATACTAATGCATCACTGAAATATTTTTATGAAATGAAAATCTTGAATACTTTCTCTGAGATTGCTACATTTGTCAAGACATGGAAAAAACCTGGTCAGGACCAAAGGACCACCTCAAGTCTTTTGATTTTGGCACATTGCAGTGTAATGATGAAAAATCTATTGTCTATCAGAAAACATATTGGGAAATTAAGGAATGCATTTTTAACAAAAGGCGGATGTATAGCTTTTGATAGGCAAAATCAAGGAAACTTATTCTAACAAAAAACAAAACAACTATAAAAACATGAACTGTGGAAAAATTGCAAAAATTGAAATGATTGTCAATTAAAAGGCAAAATGTAAAAGTGAGGTAAAAAGTAAAACATGTAATCCAGCTCTTTGGGTAATGCTAATTGTGCATACACTACAAAGTGCCTTGATGTGACAGGCCTGATACAAACGGCTGAGCAATAGATAGCTTTATCATTGTGATGAAACTTTACCAACCTTTTTATTCATTGCACAAACACCAACTGTGATTTTTCTCCCTTCCTCTAGATCTTCATTCTCATCCTCTTCAAACTCTGATCCATTTGGTGTTTTCTGATCAGATTGACTTGAAACTTTTCTTGACTAGAAAATGAAACAGGAATGAACATAAAAAAGAAAGTGAAATAAGAAAAGTAAAAGCATGTTATAATTAGAATCAAAAATTTTAAACAGTATAGTGCAAGAATATGGAACTCTTTGCCCAATTCACTGAGGCAATGTGACAATACAGATTTCTATAAAAATAAATGTAGAAGTTACCTCATGGACAGAACAAAATCAGACTCTTTAAATAAGTATGGTTGGATTCTAAAATAGCTTTTTAACTATCATCATACACTTAGTGAGCAAAAGTATTGCACAGGTTTGACAAATGAGTAAAGGCAACCACGTTGTAAACAACAAGGCGATCGATATTGAAACCACTTTTGTAAAGCCATTATGTGTCTTTTTATGGCTAAAAACCAATCAAATCAATTTTCAAACTGCTGGCAACACTTTTAATTTAAAGATTGAAAAAATTTACTTTTTCAAAAGTAAAAAATTTTGACTTTTTGTTGGACAGTCTCGTGGCTTTGAAACCTTTATGAGGCTTGCTATAAGTTTATCAGAAAGTCTTGTAACAGGTATTGTTAATCACAACATGATAAGTTCAGAAAAACATTTGTAAGATTGCATTCAGGTGTTGGAGTACCAAGTTGATCATAAATGGCCTTGTATTTGGTGGAAAGTGGCATATTTTAAGCCATTTTTATAAAGCCTACTCTATTACATCTAATGAGGCACTTGAGTGAGCCTGTTTATTGCGGGAAATTTGGTATTTTCATTAATAATGAGAGGACAAAATGTTGTTTTACGCAATTTGCAGCATTTTTTGTTCCCAATACAACATTACACTTGGTTGGAAAAGATGGCCTTGACGATTTGTGACACATTTTATTGATTTAATTCTGCTGCAACATATCACAAATCAGCAGCTATGACTAGACCCATTGCAGCTCCAAAAATTTTGAACCGAAACGATTAGGATATTCTCCAACAAAAGTGAAGAAAATGAGCAGTTCTTGACACCCAAGCATAAAGTAAGTACTCCCGAATTCAGTGTAATAAGATATTGCAAATTGCTGCGAAGATGAAATTTTTATTTCAAATGTGTCACAGGTACTTCAATCATCATGGCTCAATTTTTGTGATTTTGCAAATGTTGATATTGTTTAGAAATACACAAAAATCAAGAATATTCTTCCATTTACTATTTTCAGCATCAAACCTTGATAAATTTTCTGACTTAATCCAGTTAAAAATTAATCTTATAACTTTTATGACACTTGCTATGGCCACTTGAACTTTGGTTCACTAAAACATTTTGCTGCAGTGCTACCATTTCTGTTTTAGCCTGTGCAATACTTTTGCTCACTAAGTGTACATTTATAGCTCATAATTCAAATTTTGCACTAGGTGTTACTATTTTTCATTTCTGTTTAGGTTAAATTTAGTTTACTTGTACTTTTAATTTGTGAACCACTCTGAAAACGAATCTCCAAAATTCCCCTTGTACACACATGTACGCTTTTCGCATATCCTCCCTTTTGCGTACACTGCGTATGCTTATATCTTTTTCTCCCCCCCCCTCCCGTTTCAAGGTATTGAGAGTTTCCAGGGGAATTCAGGGAATTATCCATACTGACTCCTTGTTATAATATATGCTAATGCAGTTGTCTAATTTATGTAATAATGTGAAGCACATCGAAGCAGATTTAACATTGAACTCATTGTATTTAGCTTTCTAAAAGGCACAGCCTTTCACATACTTTTTATCGGAAGTTCATCAAACAGAGCAGATTTTAGGTAGGATGAAAATATGCAATAAACTTCCCATTAAAATCTCTGCCATATGAACAATAAATGAGCAAGCTTGCAAGGCTCAAATTTAATGTTTAGGAATTTCTTAAGCGTACATACTAAATACCCACTACACCCCCTCCCCCCTTGTATGCAAGCGTACAATTTTTGATCGACTCTCCCCCTCCCCCTGAGTGCGTACGTACTTTATGGATGACCCCTAAAATATAATTATACATACATACATACAAATTTGCTTTTCAGATGTTTAATTTTGTTTTATGAATATTTTGCTGAACATTGTGCTAAAAAAACAATGATTTATTAACTGCTAAAAATGTATCATATGATAGGTAGAGAGTGAATAAATAAATAAACAGTTCTTGCTTCTATAAACTACTTCAAAATCTAGAAAGTTGTCCGTATATATGATTACTGATATAGCTTTCAACTTAGTATATATACTTTGTTAACTTAAGTCATCTCCACCTGTCACACAATTTGGTATGGTAGACCAAGATAAAATATGAATCGCTCAGTTTTATATGCATCCCATTGATGTGACGATGTAAAGAGACGAAATTTTTATTGCAAATTGCAAATTACCTGTTTGTAACTAGGTCTTTCCATTTGCGGAGAATTTGTTCGGGATGAAGACTCGCTCTCTGTTCCAACAGAATCACATCTGTTCAACTGAGTCGGCCTTTTTGCGGCGTTGTTTTGCTTACCGTTTGGGGCGGATAAAGGTGTTGTCAAGTTGGATGCCTCGTCAGAATTCTCCCTGTCTTCAGTTGCTTGTTCTCCCTCTGATTCTTTATGGCAGCTTAGCTCTTCTTTAATTGATGTAGGATCCATACCTTAGTAGAAGCTGAACAAAAACTCTCTGTGAGGTGGATCTTCTCCTGGGTGACTGGAGTCTTACGATGGCCTCCTTTGTGGCCTTCTCCGACTGAAGATAATTGCCCAGATAAACTCTTCAGGCAGATCCGTTTCACATAGCTTGCTTAACTTGTCTGATCCATGCTCTTAGCAAAAAATACGGTCCAATTTAGGATTCTAAGCTCTATTTTGGGAAGAAATAAAGCTTTAGACAAACTTTTTCCCTTCTACCTACGGAAAGCATATTTTTTTCTTAAAACGAGGCCCCGATAAGATGGCGAATTGGTGAGATCAGTGGTGCGACCTGCTGATCTTCCTCTTCGCGATAAAGCGAAGACAAACGAAAACGACGGAGATGGGGTTTCTGAAAAGTCCTCGACATGAAAGCTATTGCCCATGCCATTCGAAATCCCCTTTTCTCTATGTCATTCATTAAAAAAGACACTCATTTTTTAGTTTTAATCAAATCCACATCCCAAGTATCGAAGTACATAGTATATGTAAAATTTTGCCCTAGTGAAGTTGAATGGAAACCTGAGGAGGGGGTGTGCAAGTTGTAGCTAGAAAATTTGGCTAGGGGCACCCACAAATAAGGAACTGTGGAGCGTTGAGAAACGTTGGTGGTCTAAGAAAGGTGGGAGGGCTAAAACCGAATAAAAAGTGGCTTGACTGGTGATTTATTGTAAATTTTTGCATTTTTGCCAAATGTTGCCCCAGCTCCTTTCTCCGCAGTGCCCGCCAACCAACCTGTCAACAGGGCTGTAGCTATTTTTGTTATTTGGGAAGCTCATGTCCCCTCCCCTCCAAAAAATTGAAAAACTTTTTTTTCCAATGATAAATGAAAGTGATAAATGAAAGTTGGTGCAAAGGGTGTTTGAACACAGGTCAGATTTTTAAAATACTGTTTCTGATCCAAGTTTTGGTACGCTTAAAGGATCGAACAATAACTTTTACATTTTCTTCAATCGTGCTTGAAAAAACTCTTTTTATCACAAGCAGTGGCGTAGGAGCCGGGGACCTAGGAGGCACGTGCCCCCACATTTTTGCTAAGCTTGAAGCATGCCCCTTTAATGGATTAGAAGTGCCCCTTTTGAGATTAATCACGTCATTACTCAATTTTTCATTGGCACTTTATACAATCCTGGAGCTTACTTTATATAAACTAAGCACTCACTTTGTTTTCATCTTTTAATTCTTGGATGTTGAATGACTCGAATCATTCTATCGATTGCCTTACTTTTAGGATGCTGATGTATGCCTTGTAGAAATAGGTAAAGATTTGATGATACATCGTATGCAAAATTTGTAAAAAATATAGAAAACGTTTTCTGGATGCTACAAATGGTTGGGAGTTTGAAATTAGCAAGCAAGTGAAGAATGGATACAAAATAGACGTGGATTATTTTGAGTTGAAACCAGAGCTCAAACTTTTTCCAGATATATCAAAGTGGCTTGCTTCTGAAGTAAATTGGTGAAAAAAGAACGCTGAATACAATAATTTCAGACCCTAACTACTGACAAAAGGCTCTCTATTCACTTTATAAGGAAATTTTCACAATATTTGTGTCAGAACAATGATATGTAGTCTGAGCACGACTGACAGTCTTTTATCAAAATTTCTCCCTTTAATAGATAAAATTTCCGGCTGAACATTCTCTGCTCCGCCATAGTGGCTCCAACTCTGCTAGACGACTCTGCAAAAGAGGCTGACTTGAATGCTTTTTCTTTACCGGGAAATTTCGGAACTACAACTTACTTAACTTAACTTAACTTAACTTAACTTTGAGGTAATCTTTGAAGTAAATTAGTCTATAGGTCTCAGAAACTTCTCAACTGATTCTTATTCTTCAAAGAAGGCGCAAAATTTCAAAAAAGGGGTGCTAGACTTGCTTCAACTCTATAAGGGAGGGGCAACTGCCCCTAGTTGCCCCCCCTTGAATCCACCACTGCCAAAAAGTGCCCTTGAAATGCTTAGGTGCCATAGGAAACGAGCAAAGAGAGCAGTGAGTGACCTTTTGGGGCCAGGATCTAAAATTCCCACATCATCTTCTTTTGCAACTAGAAACGTAAAAACTACAAACACACAACTGGGGCCGGGGAGTGGGGGCAAATTGCTCTCAGGGCCTCAAGGTTTAGGGGACCTCAAAAAGTAATGAAGTTCATTTCAATAAAACAGCTAGTAAGACATAACAAAAATATGCCTAAGAATGATTGAAATGATTGCAAGAAAATGACTGCAAAAATATTTTGTAATGCATCTCTTTCTTTAGATAATTAAGAGCATGGTAGCAAAAATTGTTCTGCTCGCTTCGCTCGCAAGGGGCTTCATCTTTCCATCTTGTAAGAGGGCCTCCAAAACCTCTCGACGGCACAGCTCAGAACTAAGCTAGAAAATGATATCGATTGTGGCCAGGCTTCCAGTAACAGCCTTTCTTAACCTTTCTGGAATATTTGTTAGGGTGCCCCTTAAACAGGTTTTTTAACCTTGTTTCCCTTTAATCGTATGCCCCCAAACTTTTATAATGCTTTCTACGCCCTGGATCTCAAGGATTTCAAATCCTTTACAAAAGAGGCATAATTACTAGGACTAGGTTTATTTTGTTTCGGTTTTCAGAGGATCTTTATTATGAGGCATTCGAATCATCGGACAGTGGCCTTCTTGCTTTTCATAGGCAAGCATGTTTGCAGAGGTTTAACTAAGAAAATGCAATTATGCTTTCGTGAAAATATGAAATACAAATGGCATTGTGGGAAAAAAATTTCTTTTAAATAATAAAAAAGCAGTCATTAGATATGGTTAGGCTCAACATACTTATTATTTAAAACTGTTATTTCCAATTAATTGTTATCAAGAGCTGAATTACTTTTTACCATACTAGGAGTTTGCTCTGTTGAAAATTTAAGATTTAGAAAGTAAATAATTAAAGGGTAAGCCACCAGCTCAAATGCTCTTTGGGTTCAAGAAATACTGGAATATCATTTTAGTCTTAAATGCAAAAATATGGTTGATCTATGTATGCCTGTTGATTTGTATTTTCACAAAGTCTCGAAAGAAAATCTCCAGATTTTCAAATTTCATTTTATTCCAGATTTTGAGACTTTCGTTTCTAACTGAAACTCAGAAGCACTTCCTAGAACTCAAGAAGTTTACATATGATAAATCAAACAAAGTATTTTTTAAGTTGGGCATGTCTGGGGGGGGGGGGGGGTAAGCCTCTGTTCAATGGAGATTATCGTATATTCTTTAAAAGGTAGGTCACCGGGGCAGGAAGTCACAGAGGCTGGAGGCAATTTCGCTCATTGCAGATATGTTAAAAAGAGCTGGGGCCAAATTTGCTAGTTGAAGGAAGATCCTATCTTAACCATTCACTCACCAAAAACGCTAGGCCTTAAGTATCTACAGCTTTGAAGTTTTTCAAACTGTTCCTTCAAGCTTGTTTGTGCTTCTTTTTCCATTTTTGTTATACTTTCATCCCTAGTATCTCTTCTATAACGAACCTTATGATTTTTTGGTGCGTAAACATTGCTTTTCTCGCTTACAGTAAAGGATCTTGCGCGTCCCCATACCCTCGACTCAGCAACAGTTGTTTTTGAATCTATAGAAATATCTGGAAACATAGACGCTTTCTCGAACTCCAGTATTCTGTCTCTGTCAGGGATGATTTCTAAGGACTTTGTCATCCTTTCACCCACAGTATTTGTTTGGATTTTTGAATGTGATAATCCTTTGCCAAATCCAATGTTAATCATTGTTTTTCTCCTTGAATCAATATGTTTGCTGGGCTCTGACTGCCTAAGTGGAAGTAACCTAGGCTCTTCTTTTCCAGCAAAACTGCTAGTTGAAACGCTTCTGTCTCTCCTTAACCAATCATTTTCAAAAACCTGTTTGCTTTCAACCTTTCCACCGACATTTATTGTCGTTTGTTCTGGCTCGGCCTTAGTAACTCTCGGTCTGTTGCCATGTATCAGGTACCCTATACCCTCTGTCGGTCCATGTTCCTCAGGAATGTTTGGTGTTTTTTCGCTGGTTCTAGGCGGAATATGGGAATGCTCGGTGAGGCGTCTCTCTAGCTCAAACTTTTTCCAATTCAAAACACTGATTTTTTTCTGCTTCTGTTCACGATACCTTTGTAGTTGTGTCTCAAGCTGTCGTTGTTCATGTCTTGTATGCCAGCTAGCATTCTCCCAATGGCCCTTCACCACCCTGTTCAGATCAACCCTCTTTCTAGGTCTGTGGCTTGTTTGATTGTCTTTGCCTTCCCAGTTGGCCATGCCCACAAATCGCTTTCTTTTCTGTGTTAATGAATGCAAATGATAGAGATCAGACGTGAAGAAACTCTTCTGCTTACAGACAAGGTAAAGAGAAGAGCTAAAGACAGCCCTGTTCACATCAAACTCTCTGTGTGAAGTCTGTGTAGAGTTGACAAGCAAACATTCTATTTATCAACTGATGACAGCAACTGCGCGACAAGCAAACTAATCCATCCATACAAAAATAGATAAAACCCTTGTACCATGGCGGGTCTAGGCAGGGCCACCGCCCACCATCTTAATGAAACTTCAAGCACAGAGTATCAAGCCTAGCCCTTTTCAGGCCCCCTTTCAAGTCTATTTGCTATCAGCCCCTGTGTCAAATAACTTCCAAAAAAACTTTGCCTGGAAACGTAGCCAGCCAAAATATATATTTTAGCAGTTTCCTATCACCAAGGATTAATTTAAGGTGCAGTGATGACCAATTTGTGCAGTGATGAATCGAAAATGTGCAGTGATGAATTGAAAAATGTGCAGTGATGAATTACTTCACTTTTGAAATACTCCAACTACTACTGATTTGGATGTTTTTAGAATAAAGACAAATGAATACAAACTATAATCGATAGTCAAACGAGATAATAGAATCAACCTACGTGTAAAACTCAACTAAAGCCAGCTTTAACAATAAAAATAATATACAGTTAATCACAAACGCACTTCATAATGCAAAAAGTGTTTTTTTAAAAGATAGAAAGAATACTGGAAAAGAAATAGATAAAGAGAATAGTGCAATAAATCCTGTTATTGCTAAGATTCCAAGAAAAAAGCCGAGGTCTTTGGGGTCTTATAAAGTAATCATGTAAATTTTAAGATTGGAATTGATCAAATGTAATAAAAGCATGCCTTGAAAAAAAACAAAATGTTTAAAATGATTGCAAGAAAATAACTGCTAGAAATATTCTGAAATATGTTTTAAAATAATCTAAGGGATGTGGTCACAAAATTTTCTGCTCGCTCCGCTGCAGGTAAGCTTCCTCTGTCGGGTAATCCTAGGGCCTCCGACAACTTTGGATTTTTTGCATTGCATGGCCAAAAAGCCCCAATGCCATAACCACCATCAAATGGTGGCCTGCTTCTCTTCTTTTGTATGAAATACATTACGCCACAATAATTGGAGTGAATACCATTTCTATCTTTGTTTTATATTTGGATAAACATTTTTTTTGGTTTGGGTATCCATAACGCTAGCCAGGTATAGTTTTGAAAGATTAGTAGCAGTTGCGGATTTGTATTATATAAACAAACATCATATTACATTTAAAATATGTAATATACAAGGCTGTGCTTTGGACAGTTCTTAGAACATTGAAATATGTAACATGATTAGAGATCAAGAGTCTGAAAACAGCATTTTATGAAAAGAAACAGCTAGAAACAGTCGATTTGCCTTTTAAGGATCAATCAATAACTTACAAACACAGTAATTGCATTCCACTCCATTTCCACACAAAAAAATACTATATTGACTCCATAGGGTGGAAATTAAGAAAAAATTACCTGTTATTAGGTTTGCTACTCTGTTTTCTTTTGGCCAGGTTTGATCTGTTCTGGTAAGATATATACATAATAAGTGGTAGCTGTAGTTAGGCCAAATTACACTGAAAATGTCCCTGAAAACAATGTAAACATTGTTGGTCCGTCCAAAAGAGGTCCAATCAAAACCTAGCCACACTCTTCACTATTGGCCCCGAAAACCTGTGTTTTACGCTGTTTTGTGCAGTGATGAAAATTCCTTAAATTAATGCCTGCCTATCACCTGCTCCAAAGCACGAAGCCAGCACTCCACTGAAAAGTTTTTTCAGAGGGATAAGTGCTTCCCCTTTTTGCTCAACTGATTTCCAGAAAAAATCTTATATTTACGCAGAATTTCTTCAAAAATGGAAGAAAAATTAATTTATGACTTTCGTCTGTTATATTTGCTTTCACCAAACTCAAGAAATTGTTTTGATACTCAAGAAACTCAAACACAAGACACATGCTTGCTTTGATTAAGTTATTTTCTTTTGTCTAGTTTCGAATTATTTCCCTTGTCTAGTTTCGAAATTTTTGAAACTTTCGAAACATTTAGGCATTTAGGGATGGCGGGTAGCAAAAACACTGTTCTTAAAAGTGACGTCTCAAAAAATATTTTTGGAGAATTCAACTTTGAACCGAATGTCCGAATAGAACACCACGAATTACCTCTAAACATACAAAATCAGCTCAACATGTTACAAACTGGGCGAGGTATGATCAAAAAAGATATTAAGTTTTGTAAGTTTGCTATATATTTCTGCTGTTTGGCATGGTTCATCAAGTTTAGAGCATATACAAAATTACAGTGATTTGCTGGGGACAGAGCTTGTGCTCATATTTCCATATCACAGCCAGTTTTTGACAAATCTAACTGATTTTGAACATTAAGAGATCTTTCAGGTTATGCGATCCAAAATAATGTCATAACAACTGTACGAAAGATTTTAATCATGCGGAGGAGATTCCATTGTCATTTGTTCCTTTCTTCATTTTAAGTTGGTATAAACAATATAGCTACAAAGGGTAATTAAAACCAACGAACTAAACTAAAACAACGTAACGCTGCTAAAATTTGACAAAACATTTTACGGGACAAAGCTTGCATAAACCTCTCACTGACTAAGAATGCAACCTTTCAACTTTTTCAACGCATTTTAACAATTTCTTAACAATAACAGTTTCTTAGAAAATCCTTCCAATTTTCTTTTAATTCAAATTGTTTCTTTTTTCCTTCCAATTGGCCGAAATTCCCAAAAAGGATAAATCCACCCAAGTATAAGCACTGGGCCTGCTGCTTTTTGCCGACTAAAAGGACGTGATTCCCTTTTTTGGGTGTGGTCCTAAGATAAGTAACTTTATATGCTGCTTTTATCTGTTTTTATTTTAGTATTCAGAATTCTAAAATTTATGTTTTAAGTATTTTCAGCGCCATACTTTGAGAGTTGAGCTGCTACAGAAACCTTAACAAATTACAAAAAGATTATAGTTACACTACAGGGTGAGAAAAAAATTTTGTGCTGACGGACAAAGTATGAGGGGGGAAAGTGCCCTCCTTAAGCAACGCCCCTGACGGGCAATGCCGAATTAAGATCGGCTTGTCAACTGAGCGAAGCAAAGGAGCTCGTTGCTTATTATTTAAAGGCAAGATCTTAAGAAACGGTATTAAAGAACCCTCAAAAATTTAATATCTTGCAATGGATACGAAGCAAGGAATACTTTATTTATTTCACAAATTTAACGTATTTAATAAGCTTTATATCTCCTTTTTCCATCCGACAGCTAAGGTGAATAAAATTCTTTTCAAGAATCATTACGTTTGCATTTTATGAAATGATTTTCAGGCTAATAATTGTTCCATTAAATAAATAAATGAAAATTTGACAAAGCAATAATTTCATTATCATTTTCTAAAATCTGAAAATTCACAAAGAACTCTATCTTTTCTGTATCATTGCAACGAATAACTTCTACAGAAAAGTTTACAAAAAGGGAAAAAGAAAGACAAAAATTTACATCTAGGCCCATCTAGTTCTACCCTTGGAGCTTCGGTAATTTGGCGTTCATTCACTGGACGGTTGAATGTTCGAGGTGAGAGTGCTTTGAAATCAAAGTAGTGAGGAAAGCACTGCAAATGGTGACGTCATCGTGTCAACTCCCAAAGTATAACTTGAAAGAATATTACGAAGTACGTCCAAAGTATAAAATTATTCAAATATGTTGAAAATTGGATGAGATATGGTCAATAAATGATTAAGTTTGCTAACCGATCACCCCTATATTTTCTCGGTTTACAAAGTTTAAAACCGAGACCAAATTGCAGTTATTCCGGCCTAATTCAGCCAATTTGTAACACATTCGACAAAATTTGCCCATTCGGAGATATTATGTGGTCAAATTAACAAATGTTTAAGACGTCATCTCTTTGGAACTGGATGGAAGTCTAAAAAGGAAATCAATTAGTATTCTTCTAAAATATCATTATTAAAAAACTCCTCTGTAAAAATTAATAACATACTAGTGTCAATGACATTACGCAATACATCGTAAAACGATACATTACAAGAGCGGTCATATTTTTGTTTTAATGTACAAAAAATTATCCTGGAAAGATGTACTTAGACTTAGATTTGCAGATGTAGAATTTTCCAACGCAAAGAATTTTTAAAATACTCTAAAATGACACCATAATAAATTATTACATTTTGACACGAGAAAATATTTTGAAATCGAAAAAAAAATCATTGTAGTGGATTGACGGAGAAAACAACAGGGGCTAGTCAGAGGAAACAATACTCTGAGAAACTTTAGAACTAACGAGACTAGCCATGTCCCCTTAAGATCTACTGGAACGATTAGAAGTAAAAAAAGATAATTGGAAAAGTAATCGCTTCAATAAACAAACAAAGAAACATATTACAATTAAAAGAAGGACATAATCAAAAAAATATCTTTTTAACTTAATTTACGCAACAATACGCAGATTGTAGATATTTGTAGGACTTAAACCAATAATGCATTGCCTGAATTGATAGTACCACAAATAGACTATAAAAAATCCTAGTGATCGTCCTTTGTTGGTAGTATGTTTTGCTGGAGAGCATTGCAACTGTTAACCCTAGAAAATAGCAACACAATTCTTCGCAATTATTAATCAAACTTTGGTAGTTAACTTGGCACAGGAAATATTGCCTGATAACATTATAATTTACAACTCGAATGCAAGAACTATATTATCGAAATATTAAGAATATCTAAATGTCTTGCGTGCGTCTAGAAACCACCAATGTTTAGAATTTATTTGAGAAAATCAAGATGGTGACAATGCAATAGATAGGGGCAGGGAAGGAGCTTATGAAAAAGAGGGAAAATGCCACCCTTCTTACGTGGTGCATTGTTGAGATATTGGTAAAGCTGGTTTCAGGGATAAAAAATAGTGAAACAACGTAAAATTTTAAACCCTCTTACACCAACGGTTGTTGATTTTAGGTATAGCTGCTATATGCTATATGTAGCCCGTCAAATAAGTCTAAGGGATGTTACCTTTTTTGATGAAAAATATATTCATTGTTATGACAGGACATCAAATGTCCAAACATTATTGGCTTTAAACGAACAACAATGGCTTTGTATTAAACAAAATTGTACATTCCATTACGTCAAAATAGCGATCTGCCATCGATTTTGATATCTTTACCCAATGCCAATGCAGTGTTCTCTCCAAATATAAAGACACCAACAACAATGTACACACAAGCTATTAATACGAGCGTCTTTTCTTTCCAAGTCAGCAACCTTAACCCAATATTGACCGATTGCAAGAGGCACAGTCCTACGAACAAAGATCAGGCATTGGGTAACTCATCTCAATCATCAAAATCATTCTTATTGATAAACTTCTATCCCATCAGTATTGAGGCTTAATTTTGCTTAAAAATACTCATCAAATCAAAAGAGTACCGAAGTGATGACTTAACAAAGATACATTTCTTAGAATTTTTCAATTTTGCCTTTATAACCCAAACAAGCATGGCTCTGGCCAAATTAGCACAGGTTTCTTCCCCATCAAACCACTGCAATTTGGTTTTGGTCCACAACTTTTTGAATCAGGCCTGAATAACATTGATCCGTTGTCAAACTTGAAATCTTTTATTAGCAATATCTTGCCCAAGTTTGAACATATCTTCCTGAATTTTCATTTTAGGGGGTGTTTTATGCCATTTTTTAGACGAATGGTCAAAATTAAGAAATACTAAAAATATATTTTTGATGACGTCACATTTCGGTACTCGATACTGGTTTTAATATATTTCTGGGAACGAAAAGTAAAAAAGTGTGGAATTGATATAAAACAATAAAAATCTCTGGCTGGGAGAATAAAAAAAGGGTTTATTTTCAAGGAAATGTTGAATGATTTCTGAGAAAAGTGGTCAACTACAAATGACTGTTGTCAGCAGGTTCCAACGACTATTTTGTCCATAAACCATTAAGTGAATAATTTAATTAAATAGACTATTATTCGTATAAAAAGCAAATTATTAAGCAATTTGAGCAAGTTCATATTACATCCCTAAATACTAAAAAATGTGTGATGCAAATATTAGATGAAAAATATATTTTATGCTCAGTCTAAAAGAGTACATTTTACAAAAACAAGATTACAAAGACGATGCCAACGGGAGCATGATAGGCATGGCGACTCGTTGACCTTAACAAAGACAATACCAAAGGCTAGCACCAATAGCACCAAAGGCTATACAAAAATATCCTGTTCAGGTCGTTCGTTATAGATCAAAAGTTAAGAGGCTTCTGCTTGGATAGAAAATAAAATGTCCATAAGATTTTGGTTTAGTCTTTAGTGATGTTGCTACGTTTCGGTATTTGCTGGTGCGACAAAAAAGGTTCTGATGTTTGATACAAATATCAGATGAAAACTATAAACCATTTGAAGATGATAAAGAGTCAAACAAACCTGGAAAAACAAATATGAATAAAGCTGCAATGCCACCAATGAGACTGATTGCCACGCCAATGTCTGGGATAACTGCCGCTAAAATAAGAGTCAGCGCAAACCACGCGATAGTCTCTACAAGCCTTCGGGATTTCTCATGCCGCTCAGCTTCATCTGGTCCCAGACCCCACCACTTTAAAACAATGTCTTCAATTGCAGTCCTGCGTGAAAAAATGAATATAATCTCCTTTTGGTAAACGCTATATTCTAGAATAGCGCCAAGATTGTACGTACATATGCAAGACTAATTAAGGTATAGTTAACCGCCTATCGACAGATTAGGGACGTCGAAACAGTTTTCTTTACAGAAAGAGGCCAAAGCAATTTGATGCAGTTAATTGATTAGACAATCTTTCACTGCCTGAAACAGGGAAATCTCGAGTTACCTATGCGTTAATGACAACGAGACTGATAGCATGCCTTCCCGACGTGCAAGAGAAACACCTAGCTCTTTCATTAACGTGAGATTTTTTCTTTTGATTCAATTTACTAAACAGGAGTTTGAGTGCTAGCTGCAATGCGATTCTCATTGGCCATTTGGGCACATATGCAGCATGAAAAGTTGCTATTTCCTTTCTGTGATGCAACAAAAAAGCCTTTTAATGAATTGCTTTTTGCAATTTAAATTAAACAAAATGATTATTCCTGGCTATGAAAACTAGTGGAAGTCATTTAGACAAGAGAAGCAACCACCTACCTGGCACAAAATGTAATAATTGCAAACGATGAGAATATGATGAGGACAATCATAGCCCTAGCTATATTTGCAGGCAGATCATCAGCGCCGTAGTTCAGCAGGATATCACTATTTGTATCCATTCCGAAAGATAGGTAGCCAAATACACCGCAGAGTGAATAGGCCGTCGTACACACGACCATCGCTGCGACACACACGAGAAAAAATCGCTTCATGCTACGGTTCTTTAAATCAGCGTAAACAGCAACTGAGGATACGTGGCACTGCAAAGAAAATTTAGATTAAAATATATTAGACGCAATCAAAATATATCGACAAAAGAGTGAAGCTATTTTTCTATCTAAAAAACAATGCCACAACAGACAACAATAAAGGTTTCTGCAAACAACTAACTGTGGCAGTTTCTTTTAAGATTTCATTTTTTTGAGATACCAATGGAAAGTGATACAAATTCGTCAACACATATACCAGGCTTTCGTGGGAAAAATATGGCAGGCGTGCTAACCACCGCACGCCTGAAAACACCCAGGCGTGTGATGGCGTGTGACATTTTTTCGCAAAAGTTTATGGTTATCATAATAGATCTACGCAGAAATTGCCAACACAACAATGATGACACCAATAATTTTGATGAAATTTATTTCGCTGAATCCTTAGCATCACTACTAACATTTTAACACAAAAACATGTTATTTCTGAAGACTTGAGCAAGTTTCTACATAGTTTTCATCAGCTTCGATAATATACCCTTAGCAGAGTCATTTGGGGCTTGGCGTTCATCTGGTTGTATTAACCATTTTTGCGTGTAAATCCATGCCCCAAGGGCCCTCGGTTATCAAGCATCACAGCTATTTTATGTAACTCACTGGCCAGATGTCGATAATCCATAAAGATAATGCATAAAAGATAATGATGGGCCATTTTTCATTAATTTAAATGTCGCCAAAATCTAGATTTTAAGCAAAGCGAAGTCTGAAGGGGGGGCTGTATTTGGGTAGCAAAATCCGCAAATCCGCTACTTTTTCTCACATAATTGGCAAGTCTGCTACTTTTGCTAAATAAGCAGTTAAAAATGAAAATCTTGTTAACAACACTTAACGTTCGTAAAATTCGGAGACAAAAATGTCTTTTATAGTCTTCTGTGTTTGAATCTGTTCACTGAAATGCCATAAAGCCTTGTAAAGGTGTTAACTTTTGCACAAATCTCTTTTCCATTTTTTGCATCATAAAAAGTGCATATTTGCCAATGTCTGTTTTACCGATGAAAATAAGAATATTTTAATGTTATAGCCGGGTTTTATATTATCGGGATTCTACTGAAGATTAGTCCTATGATTATTTCAAAATTTTCTTTTTAATTCGCAATGCGGCCTTTTCGTGAGAAATAGCCCACGCGAGTGGCCCTTCGCTGGCGTGATTTCTCTTGCGCGAGCGATCGCTCTGATTCTGAACAAATTGATCCTGTTATAAGGTACCCTTTGTTTGAGGTAACACCAAATGAAAAAGGACTGCTACGATGACCTTAATGCACTCCAGGGAAAGACTAAACCCCCTTTTTAAGTGTGCTTCATTTAAACTTTATGTACATCACAAAGGTCATAAAGACGTTCTTTACGGATGATCGAAAAATGTTGTTCCATACTTTTTCAAAAATGCTTAAACTGCCCAGAAAATATTCCAAGTGCTATTGTAGTTCAAATACCAAGTACCCAAAGTATTCCTAAACATTCACGGTAGAATTGATTTCCAAATGCATTTTTTCATTGAGATGTGGTTAAGTCAGCTTACTTATATTTCCTGTGTTTTGATATACCAGCTTTGTATTGTCTATGTCACTTGCTTGGTTCACAAAAGATACAATTTACCATTTTGCACGAGCGATCAAACACTCGCGTGGTTGGGTTTGCGCGAGTGCTGACACGATCGCGAGTGCCTGACAAGGTGTTAAGCCTTTTTGAAATGGCACGAAGTAATAGTACCAAGGAAAGATTTACATTTAAACCCATCTCGAAAAATCAACAAAACCAATCATTGATAGAGAATTTCGCACTCAGAATAAAGGAAGACGTGCGATATTTTGCACTCCTCGAAAGCAGTAGGCGTGCGCCAGGGCGTGCGCGTGCGATCGCACGCCTTTCTGACGAAAGCCTGTATACCAAAACATCAAAATATATACATGAGAAGCTTAACAAGCAATCTGTTTGGTAGTTCTTGGAAATAACAGAAAAAAGGACATACTTGGTAACCAAAGCATATCACAGGAATGGCAGCCATTGCGCTTGTAACGTTTGCTTGCCTGTTGTCTTTACTGCAAAGAAACTCTATTTATTGGTTGGGTTCATTCACAATTCAGGAAAAAGATAGCAACATGAAAAAACAGAGCAGCAAACTTTCCCTAAGATTGTTATAGCAGAACTGCCAATAGTATGGAAAATGTTGGGCTTCAGAATTGGGGAACTGAAGTGAAGAAAACCTTAAATTAACTCAAAAATCTGAAAGAGCAACTCTTCACCAAGGATACCCAAAAAACAAAAGTATAGTTTACAGAAAAATTGAAGACAACTCTTTTAATAAACAATAAGTAAAATTAGAAGCTTTTGAATAAGACAAAAGATATGCAATCATTACCTATGATCATGGATTGCTGCAGCTGTAAAACCAGTTGCAAAATATTTGTAGACAATCATTCCAGTAATGTAAAGTGCACCAATCCCACCAAAGAAACTGGAAAATCAAACAAGAGAAGAACAAAACATAAGATGGGAGGCACAACATTAATAGAAGTTTCTTTATAAAGACTATGTTGAACAGCATAACAAGTTAAAATAAAAAAAGACAAATCAAGTGTGGCAAAATCAAAATTAAGATACAGTTTACATATTGTGAAGGAATACCGTATACACATTTTGAAGCCTGAACCATGATTCAGCAAAAAACTCCTATGCATTTGACAATGCCATGCAATCTAATTGACAGAACATTTTGAGATGTTTACCTGCAGCTAAAGGAATAAGAATGATTTCTTAAATAAGTCTCATTATCTTTTCTTTTTAAAGTCACCCTTGTTTCTTCAACAACATTTCAACCCTGGCAAAATACACAATGTAAGCAAGTTGTTTACCTTGAATAGCTGAGGACAGCAAGTCTTCTAGGAATGCAAAGAGGCAATATAAAAGTGCATGATATTATTCCCATTAGAAACCTCCTGTCTGTGTACCATGGAGGATCAGTCTTTATGTTCAGTGCAAATGTAAGAACTGTAAGAATTGGAAAAAACTAGTCTTCAGTTATTTTCATACACCTTTCATAAAATTGCAGATATGACAGAGGATATATACAGACATACAGTTAAGTCTGTTTCGAGATCTCTGCCTAGCACTGAATTCTGTTTACAGATAGTACTTATAGTAATACCAGGCTTAAGTCACAGCATTTTGAGAAATTATAATAAACTATCTTCATAAAGCTGAAAAAATGGAATAATTTTTTAAAGGAAATGCTTGACAATACAGTAAAGGATGAGGCAATAAATATAACAGAAAAAATACAGCACAATGTGATACAACATAATAAACCATTAAAAAGACAAAATATATTTCAAGAAAATTAGAGGAAAATACTGTTATAAATAGTACAAATCAAATGAACAAAAAAATTTAAATCCCAAAAAAGTCTCTACCATATATGAGGTACAATTTGATAAAAAAACTTAGTAATGATCATGTCAATGATCAATGCCTTTTTGTCTAATGTAAGGTATCATTTCATACCAAAAAGAGACATTGAATGAAATAAACAAAGCTTCTTATCAATTGGTGTATTGTTTGGAGTGTTTTTTATCAATTATCGATTTTTATCAATTTCTAAGAATAGAGATACCAAGACCTGTCAAGTTTCAGTTTCAAAAATTAGTGTGTGATGGGGAAACTGGGGGGGAGATAGAGAGGGGGGTGGGCATGCTTGGACTACTATAGGACCACTAGAGCAAAGCAGGGGCAGGATAAGAATTGATCCTGACTGCTGTACAGACAAAAGGATTTGAAATGATTTCCTAGGATTTGAAAAAACAACAAAAAATTTGAATGGATCAAGAACTTTTTTGTAGAATACGTAAGGATTCTGCTATGATGCCTGTGAGCATGAGAAAAGAGACCAAAGTGTGTTTGTCTCATACAATATGAATGTGTCTCGTGCAAAACGCCTGTTTCTCACACAAAATATGTGAAACTTCGAAGGTCAATTTCTTTTGTGATCTACAATGCAATATTGATTTAAAAGAAAATATCATTAGAGCATGATCAATCCAAAAAGGCATACGAAATTGAAATGTTAGTGAACTGACCTTTTGAAGCTTGTTCCCCTATGATTATCAAGTATGTTATACAGGAGCCAAAAAAGTAGATTATGATAAGCACTTGAACAATCATTTTTGCTTTTGGACCACACATGAAAAGAACCACATCTTGGTACGTTGATGCTTCAGATTTGCCAGCACATCTTGCAACAATGAGAAAAGCGCCAATGACGAAAATCAATAATATCTACAAAAAACCCAAAGATATCATCATTTCTACAAAAATAAAGATAGATCTAGTTTAATTTCTGTACAATGTACCAGTCAAATGGAAGCTTTGACTAATTTCTTTTTTCACACTTGTTCCTGGTGCTAGACACTGGGATAGTCCTATAAAGGGGAAGGGTATTATCAAAAGCACTATGCAGTGAATCTGATGTCCTATGCTCTAAAGAGCATCAGACTGGTGAAGGATTTAAATGTTTTTGATTTAAATCTCAATTTAAGGATTTAAATCAAAATTAAAGGGGTAGATTTAATGTGTCGCACATGTCACACGGAAGACTGTCAGAGCTTAAGTATTGAGTGTTCCTCTTCAGTCACTAAATAAAGCGTTTATATATACTGTAATCCATCTTTTCCCCTACAGTCAACACATCCCCTCCATATCCAGTAAACATGGACACCAACTTTGGCAGAAAGGTTTGATGAAGTGAACAATCTAAATCTTTCAGATCATGCTAAACTTGCAAAATTTGGCCAGTCCTGGCACCACCCTTAGCCTTGAAACCCCCTTGCTGTCTCCACTTCCAGTCCCAAAGAAGGATGTCCGATTGAGGCCTTTCATCAATCAAACTTTATCAGCAGTAAGGTACAGTAAAATTTCACCAGCTGTACAATTTGAAATAATGCCTCAAAGAAGCAGACAATACAAGAAATTGATATTCCTGACCAAAATAACTTTCTCGAGAAAAGTGGAAGTGGTGTTTAAAGTTTGTTCTTGTATATATATTTTTGTTGTTGGAATAGTTGACATGGTTGAGTATTGTTAGGGCATTTAAACTAGTCTATGTTGCTCTGTTTCCTAGGGGCTTTGCCCCCCTCCCTAAATCCTGTCATCAGCAAGGGAACAACTTTGGGAAGAGAAATAGAAAAACCCTATAACTAATGGACCCTGAGGCACAGAGGTGATTGAATAGGAAGCAACCCTTCAGTTGGTAATAGGGAATGTTATCTACTCTCTTAGCAATAAGACATACATGTTAAACGTGGGGTGCTCTCTCCTCGAATTAACCTAGCTGCCAAGAGGGTCCCTAAATGCAATTCCCTTAGTAACACTCCCTTGATACAAAAGATATAATACATTTTGTTCTTCATTTAGTAATTATAGTAATACAATCATGTAGTAATTAGATGATGCATTTTGTCATTGTGCACTAAAAGAAATATAATCTAGAAAGCTGTTTGGTATGAAGATATTTAGATCGCCAGACTGGAAATAGCAAATAGCTATACTTTATGGCTTGACCTCGTACATCTTGCAAACTTTTGGTCACTGATGCAGGGTTTTGACTTAATGTCTAAGAAGGAAGAACCGCAGAATAGGCTGTCTGCAGGATTCTGTGAATCTTGCAATGAGTGTTGTTATGAAAGATATACAGGAACAAAGCAATATGATGACGAGAATCCAATGTCACAAGATAAAGTTTTAAAGTAAATTAAATTTAAGGAATATACTAATATTTCGCCCTAGCATACAGGGCTTCATCAGAGTTTTGACTTAAACCTGCTCAAGTCAACTTTGGGACAAAAATGAAAATAATTGATCGAGTGCAATACTAACCAAAACATACCCTTTCAACAAACTTTCTAGGTGCAAATTTTACCGGCTATTTTGTAAACGACTTTTGAGAAATTTTAACAAACAGATTACCCTTTTGTATAATATGGCTTAGCAAGCATTGTAAAATAGTATTTTCTGTTAAGTGGGTAGAAAGGCTTCAGCAGCTACTGCTGCCTAATAACTCAGAATCTATGTAGGCTACATCAGGTATGGATTAATAATTTTCCATTTTTTCTATTGTTTATTTGCACTAAAACTGAGACAAACATTATTTGTTGATGATCCCTCAAACTTTTTCAAGGGAAGGCATCCTTATTGGGTTGTAAGCTTGTATGAAAAGTGTGTGTAAGCCAGTAATGGGGAAACATAGCAGATCAGGTTCAAAGTACTGTACTTTACTGTACTGTTCTTACCACTTGCACCGTGATTGCAGTTTGCAAGCCACCAGCATTCATGTAAGCCTGAGGGATGTTCAATATTCCAGCACCAAAAGCAGCATTTGTGACAAGAAAAACAGCACGGTAGGGTGGCACAGTTCCATCAGGTAGCCTGGAAATGACTGCTCGCATTCGGGAATTTTTTCTCGAAAACGTTCCATAGTTACTGGGTAAAGGCGGCAAACAATCTTCCTCTTCAAAGTCCATGTCAGGTAGGCCAGTAGAGGTTGCTTTACCACTAGATTCAAACCCTATCGAGTCTTCAAATTTTGTTGGCGTATTGATGGGCACATATCTGTAGTTCGACGAATTCTTCTCGTGGGAATCTCTTGCGTCAAACATACTTTCTGACGATTCTTAGTTTCAAATTCTACAGCTATTGCATTTAGTATCACATGACTCAACTCAAAATGTTGTGTTGCAAAATGGATCTGCGAACAGTGTACTCATAACAAAACATACCCACCTTAATTGCACTTTACCACCATTTGGTGGCAGGAGACATAGAGTTCTAAAGTGTGACGTCATCAAAAACCTATTTTTAGAATTTTTGAATTTCAACCACATAGCGTAAAAGATCACCATGAAATACTTGCAAATATGCAAAATTGGCCAGATGTGTCTAAAATCGGTTGAGATAAGGCTAATGAAAGATTTGAAGTTTGCTAACGAATCAGAGACCAAAATACAGAGGTTTGATGGGGAGAGAACCAGTAAACATGTGGCCATATCTCTGCCATTTCGTAATACACTTGCCTGATTTTGCACACTTAGAGGTATTTCATGATGATCTTTCAGGTTATGGAGTCAAAATTCAAAAATTCTAAAAATAGATTGTTGTGACGTCATCACTTTAGAACTCTATTGCGGTCACAGAATAGAGGTGCGGTGCGGTCGTGCCCTTCATCTTCCCAAGTACGTAAATGGGGGCAAAATCTTTTTGTATATACATATATGTTAGTTGGAATTAAACACCTTTAATGACATCATAAAGTAAGTTATCCGCATACCCCCACACCAACCAGTGTTTTAGATGAATCTGATATCGACGTCAAATTTATACTTTTGAGAATGAGACCTCTAGAGGTGAGCTGAGGGATAACACCGTCATCCCATTCCCCGCCCAGTGCCTCCTAAGATGTAATGGAAACCATAAAATAGATTTTTATGGAACCTGTATCACTTCCATATCCATCTTACCTTATACTAACTGTTTCAGAGCCTTTAGTGTAAAGACCATTGATGAACCATTCAGCCCATCGACCATCGCCATCGATGTTTCCTCCTCAACATTGCCAAATGTCTGCAGCTTCATCTAAGTTCATCTAGATTTGATCTAAGTTCATCAGAGCTTTGGATGCATTTTTCAACGTTTCTTTTTCCTCTAAGCAAAAGTCTTTGAAATTATTAAATACGTGTTAGATACATGGGCTCCGACAAATGTTGAAAACTGGGAGGGGGGGGGCAATGGGAAATTTTACACCCATAGAAAAGATTTTGAAAAAGCTCTATTGACCTGCAAAAAAGTAGGAGAAGGGCCATGGCCCCCTCGGACCCACTTCATCAGAAGCCCTAAGATACCCAGCAAGTTTCTACAAAGTGTTTAAAAACCAAAATAATTTTGCTAGAGTTATTCCTGTATCTAGGGTTAATTTAGGAATAAAATAAAGTGCACGGGCGACGAAAAATGGGGGTCCTTGTCTACCGTCTGTAGAAACTTTTGCTTAAGCAAAGCAATTAATGTCCGGGTTGCTGACGAATTTGACTGTTTATTCACCTTTGGAAAGCTGCATACTTTACCCATTGGCTCTTACATAGCCCTCCCAAGATGCTTGTTATTATCAACGAAGTTTCACGTGATTCCAATGCAGATAACGTTTTTTAGAGGTGTGAAAAAGGCTTCAATGAGATAAAATAAGAGAATATAAAAACAAGTATCCCCAGTTTAAAAATGGCACAAAGGGTGTTACTGAGGTGGGGAACCATTTTATACCATTTACAAAATTTCGCGACTGTATAGCTAACAGCAAGGAATATACTGCGATAGCGTTTGTTACAATGATACCGGTGTGATTTGCTTGAAATGCTTGAAATATAATTTCACATCTAATTTTGAAAAATTGTAATTTTGTCAAAGAAATATCTCTTTTTACTTGTTTTTCTGACCTACTGTAGATCAGATATTGTGCCACGAAATGGTACTTGGAGGTGGCGCTTTGGGGGTACTCCATCAAGTTTAATGAGAGAGGCGGGCCCGGCGGGGGAGTTCTCTTATTATGGCCTAACAGGGGGTCCATCAGGTAAGCATTCGGTAAGACCTCAAACCGACTGGAACCCTGTCAGGACTAGACGGGAGTATCCTCCCGGAGAAGGACCCACCATGGTCGGGCCCGACGCGCAAGAAAATTTTTGAAGTTGAGCCTTCTAGAATGGCTAAAAATGCATCTCCTTGACTAAAATTTAACAAATTACTTAACTGCTCAGTATAGATATTTCGACGACTCAGAAAATCATTGATTATTGATTTATAGGAAATATTTTGGAGGGGAAGAGTCATGCTAGTGACAGACGTCGGGGAAAGAAAAAGTGGTTCAAATTGCACATCGATGTGAATAACAAGAATCTGTTGTATTGATTGAGAGAATTTTACACATCCAAAATAGTAAAAAAGACGGTCAAAAATGTTTATCTCTGAAAAATGGGGGGGGGAGCACTGAGGCGCCGTGCCTGTAGATTTTCTGCCCTCTCTTGTGATTTTATAGGTTCGCATTGCTTTAGTCCCCTGTTCCCCAGAGAATACGACTCCCTCCCATTCCCATCCATCCTTTCCCATCCCTAGAGGCAGTGCTTCCACTTTTAAGGAAATTTTCTCAGATTAAGGAAATTTGGTCCGTTTAAGGAATTTTTTAAGGAAATTGATATTTTGAGGAAATTTTAAGGAAATTTTAATTTCATTTTTTATTTTAATTTTTTGTGATTTTTTGCTTTTGGATCGTCAGAACAGCTTTGTTAAATCGATTTGATATGTGAAATTCTTTATGCACATGGGTGTTTTAAAGAAAATTTTCTCAGATAATCCCTTCTCAGATAATCGACTGCTGTGTTGTTGGTGTAGGTCAGCTACTGTTAACTATTTTTATCAGTCCACCATTCTTTGGTCAAGAAATGGTGGAGTTAAGCGATAAAAATGAAACTTAATTACGTTGAAGCGAAGGTAAAGCCTTCCAAAAAGTAATATGAACAAAAGTTTCATGATTCATGGCTTAACAATCCCTACATTCAAGAAATGGTTGAAGAAGATAACTAACGACACTGGCAAATTTCAACCTTGGTGCCAAGTGGGTAAGATGAAAGTATGCTGCTCTAAAGCAGCTCTAGCCATATATCAAGACTCTGCCCATAAAGAAGTTATGGCAAGGTCTGCAACACTGGAAACAACAAACAAGAAAATTGATTCCATGCCTGGCCCAAGTGACAAGGAAGCTGCAAGTGACTTAAAATTGCTAGTTTCATTGCAGAAAAAAAGTGCCTATCAATATTTCCCAAGGATAAGACATTAAGCAGAGTCTCACTTGGAAAACAGAAGAAAACTAACCTTAAACGTCAAGTTCTTTTTTTTAAGAAAAGGTTGCCAAAAACTACAAGGTCTCCACAACAACACGATCTCCTTGATCATTGACGAAAAAAGATCGATCTACACAAAGTCAGCTAGCCATTCTTGGTACATATTTTGATACCGAAAAATATCAGATGCACAGCATACTTATAGACATGAACGATAAGCTTATAGCTGAAATAAAGCTTCAATTTACTGAAAATTGTTATGTTCACTCTAAATTAAGTTTCGAACTTTCAAGAAAATATCCGAGGAAATTTCAAATGACGTCTAAGGAAATCTGAGGAAATTTCAGCCTCGTTTAAGGAAACCCGCAATGTCATTTGTGGAAGCACTGCCTAGAGGCCCCATAAAGAAAGGCGCACCTCACGTATGGATGGATATAGAACGTATGCTACACAATTTTCAGCAATACAGAACTTATCTTGAAAAAGAAAGGGTAGTCGAACGTCTGTCTGATCATGATCAAACATTGCGAGGTAAAGTTTCGACCTGCGAGGAGCGTACTTGGCCTAACAGGGTGACGGTTTCGTCTCCAGGTCATGTTGCTAATGCTGATAGCAAGCAAAATAAAAAATGGGAAAAAGCCTCGATCCTGGTTCCGTTTGTTGTTTGTGAAGATGGACCTCACATACTTGTCACCGTTCGTAGTCCTGAAGTGGCACATTTTCCAGATGAAACCTCATTCCCAGGGGGGAAGTGGGAAGAGGGTGACTCGAATCCTATTGAGACAGCTTTGAGAGAAGCCAGAGAAGAAATTGCTCTATTGCCTGAAAATGTGACAATTATTGGTTGTTTAGAGGATGTCTGTATATTCCCAAGAAAAAGAAAGGATGGAGGAAGTCGTGAATATTGTTTGTCAATCGTTGTTGGTGTCATAAATGGTATCTGTCACTTGTCTCCCAACAGTGACGAGGTAAAAGAAATTATGATTTGTCCATTGAAAACACTCTTCCTGCGACCTAATCACGTCCTTTACCGTGACCAAAAACGTAGAGACATAAACATTTTTTCCTTACAGATAGAACTGGAGGGGAAAACATGTATTATATATGGTTTTACAGCGTGGCTTGCTCTTCTTATTTGTGCTATTCTAGATTTGGTGCCTGCTGACTGCAAGCATGTCTACCAGTGCTTGGATGTAAAAAACAAGCCCGCTGTATATGACAGTGCAGGCTTCAGAACCCTTCTCAACTTTGCTAAGAAAATTCACAGACAAAGTGACAAAATTCATCCTATGGGAAGCAAATTGTAAGGAGTGTATGAAGGACAAAGTTTGTCATTAAAGCAATACTATACTTGAATTACAGCTACTATTGTCATTTTTGCATTGTAACTTACAGTTTAACATTGTATATAAAGATATTAAGTAGTTTCCTCACACAATAAACACATAGTTAGGTGTTATGGATCATGAGCCGTCAAGGATAATATTTTAGGAGTATAAAGCAATCAACAACACTGTAGACTGAAGAGAACTAAGGTACCATCTTTGTTGTTATTTGCATGTTTTCAGTCTAAATTGGACTCTTGGCGTGTTTTTTGTCATTCTAAGTTTTGTATGATTAAAAATTTATTTTTATGATTACTGTATCTTTAGAAAAAGGTTTAGAATGATTTTTTAGGTATAATTCAAAACAGACAATATTGTTGTGAATTGAAAATGCATTTTCAAGTATTACACAGTGTCCATTCAAATAGCATTTATTAATTCTGCAAGCCATATGCTTCATATTCATATTCTTTAGAATATCTTGTACATTGCTTTAGTTTCCAATTCTCACTTGTTGTTTTCCAGTTTGTCTTTCTGTATGTTTTTTTAAATATCACCTGCTATTGTTGTATCAAATCATTATTAGAGTTTAATTTAATAGTATAAATCACAGTCAAAATTTTCACTCCAAATTATGATTGAAGGGATCTGACTTCTTAAAACAGAATGTTATTTGGATTTGTAACAAAGTAATATTTCCAATTATCTATAACCTTCAAATACCTAAAAATGCTAAATGATATTTTCACATAGATTCTTATCTTAAAGGGGCATATGAAAGTATTATGCAGCTAAACTCTTGAGATTTAAAAAGGAAAATCATGTTGGTCTCGCAAGAAATGAAAATTTTTCGAATCTTCAACTGAAGAAGTCACAACCAAAATGATGAGGAATGTATTATCATCTGAAAATTTAATCTTTTTTATCATTTTGACTTCATGTTCTATTTTTTGTTGTTGGAACTATACTAACATATGCTGCCTGCTTCTTGAATGAATTGTGCCTAGAGATAACCCATGCATTTGAAGTTGCCCTTTCTAACCCATGCATTTGTAGAACTGCCAGTTGTAAAATTTGTAGCTCATTAACATTCATTTGAACACTGGTCTGTAGACAGAATTAATTGGTTTTGCAGTTTCAGCATTATTTTTTAATATAATGGTTTGTTGACTACATTTTTTCAAAAGTTTTTTCCTTAGAAACTTCTTATCAATGTGTTCATATTACTACTAACCCTGATTAAAATAATTTTTGTCTTTATATGTATTACACTATTGAAAAACATTTGAAAGAGGAGGTGAGAAGACTGTTTGGAGAATCTTTGTTAGAATTTAGTACAAATTTGCAAAACAACTATTTTAGGTGAATCGCCATGGAAAACAAATTTTGAAACAGTTTTTATATTGATCTAAACTGCCTTGAAGTGCTTCTAAAGTCCAAAAATCACATCTTTTGTTTGAAACATTTCAATGAATTAACCTATTTTGGAAGATAGAATGTGAATAGGCTTAGAAAGTACCAAAACACAGAATAGAGGAAAAACAAAGCATGCCTTCAATGATGTCAGGAGGTGTTACTGATGTTTCTCAGGAAGCATGAAAATACAATAGGCCTAACAAAGCAGCACAATAACAGCCCATCTGGCTAGTGATGGAATGAAGCAAAAGTTAGTATTGTATTAGGCAAAAGCAAAGTTCATGATGAGGAATGTTTAGACCTAATACAACCAGAAAAAATAGCGTTTATTTCAGCATGTTTTGAACAGGAGTTGGAAAGCTGCTGTCATAACAAGCTATCTGCTGTGGTGATTTGATTTGGCCTAGTTACACAAATTATGATCATGCTTAGAGCTCACAGAGGGCGAATGGTGACATCAGGAAGGACTTTATGAATTAACTTTCTCTCTATATATATATATTTAATCTAGCTTTGTTGTACTTGATATTGTTACCAAATGAGAACTCAATTTGTTTAAATTGTTGTCAACTCCACTTCTATGGCTGTTTGTGTTGATCAAACCATGTGACTCTAGGCCCCCTTTTACATCACAGATTCCTTATTTTGTTCATAGCTAAGGCTTCTTTGCAAACTTTGAATGGCAATAGCAATAAAATGAGATATAGCAATTCTGAAAAAAGAATGGGATCTAGAATGGTTAAATGTATCTTTTAAATTAGAGTTATTTTTGACCTTAGAAGCAATTTAAATCTTGTAGAGTGACTCTTCACAATGAAAAGTTTGCTTTGCTTCTGAACAATTGTTGAAACTTCAAAAACCTTTTTCAAATAACTCTATGCAAAATTGAAATGAAAAACAACCAAAATGGCAAAATAATATGACATTGAACAATAAAATTTAATCTACAGGTTAATTTATGCTATGTGCATTTAAGAAAAATTCTCAATGCACTTTCTATAAAATTATCTAATGGCATTGAATTTTTATTGTCACTGTGGTCATGCAATGAATATTTCGGAAGAATTCTAGCCAATTTCTTATCAATAGTTGAATTTGCTGCTCCTTTATCTAAGATGAGTTCAAGTTCGTTTAAGAATGCATTGCAAAGCTCACGAGGCGCATTTCCTGCCCCAGTAAAATCAATGTCCTTGTAAATAGACGACGCCGTATTAACAAAATCTTCACATCGCAAAGCAGTGGTCACGTCACTTCGAAACAACGTAAAGGATATGCTCTGTTTTTCAAATTTCATCAGACGTTTAAGCAGTGGCTCTGAATATCTAACAGGCATGTTTTGTGTCAACATCACTAACAATTCGTTGTGGAGTTCACCTTGCAAACTAGTTTGAATCCCAGACTCCTTGTTTTTCTCTTTGAACCTATTGTATGCTTCAACCAAGTTGCCTTCGAACATACTGTTTGTATAATGAGTCATTCTTATTTTTTCGTACGCAGCTAGTAATATGTTTCTTGGTTCCAAAAACACACCAAAATAGTCGCTAAGAAAGCCAATTGGGTCTTTGGGCCTTGCTTGTAATAATGCTATTACTGCGTCATGGACCAAAACATCTGCCCCACATCTACTCATAAAATCTCTTGGAGTCTCAGTCTGTGAAGCTTCATCTGGTAAGCAAACTGTGTTTAAGGAGGCAGTACCCGAGGTTGATGTTAGCGACGGTTTTTGTTTTCGTTCCTGCGCCATATTTGAAAATGGAAAATTTTGTTTCTCAGAACCTCGTTTACAAATTTACAAATGAGGCTGCAGTGCTAAAACAAAAAGTTTCATACTTTCGAAGAAGGGCAAAGAATAGTTAGAAAAGATAAAGTTGATACAACCGGGCAATTCTTCATTACAACATCTACTTTGCCCGATTTTCTTGGATATCTTGATGCTCTGACTTAGACTTTCTACAGAAGCCGATATCGCCATACTTTCTACAGCATCACAAGTGATCGTCAAATTTGGCGGGAAAATGTTGTCTTTATAGTAGAATCTTGTCTGCAGTTATCAGTGCCATCAATGAAAAGAAATCGAGATCGTTAAGAAACATGGTACAGATTCTTGTTCAAATGTGAGTTTCTTGAACCACACTGTTGGTTTGAATACTTTAAATACCTCAAATTAAAAGATGGCACATACACTAAGCAAAATCCATATATGCCAATATGATTTCCTCAGCGTTTAGGTCCAGGCAATTTTCTATTTAGGAATTTCAATAACAGTTAATCATAACTTAACAGATGTTCCCCTCAGTGGCGGCGCCAGCTACTGCAGAGTGGGAGGGTAATGGGCGTGGCCAGTGAGACCACGCCCTAATCGCCTCGTTTCAGTGCTTTCTACCAGGTCAAATTTCCTTAGGAAATATGATCTACCCCTACCTAGTGCTTTTTAACTCGTTTTTAGACGAAATATGTAGAACATGTTTCGACAAAAGTGGGGGGGGGTAATTACCCCCCTAAACCACCCCCTGGCACCGCCACTGGTTCCCCTTGCCTCTATGTCAATTGAACTGCTTTAATTCATATGGCTCTTCCCTGCCCTTATAATTTACTCCACAGAAAAGTACAGGTGCGTCTCAAGTAAGGAAATTATTGATGAGATCTCGCACATAATCCCCTTTTTACCCATGAGAACACTCATGAGAACAATCATGAAACCAATTTGATTTTGAGATTGTTAGTCTCACAAGTGCCACATTGCTAAGCGGAGACCTCACCAAGTTGCTAGCTTCTGTAACTGACCTTATTCTTATTAATTTTTTCACAAATTGTACTCAGTAAATTTTTGACTTCAGAACTGCATTTTCCTACATGCTCTTTTTATAAGAACACTTGGCTCCAGTTTCAGCTTGGTGTTTCTTATTTTTTACATAAATTCAGCCTTACATTATTTTGTTTCCTGTGCATAGTAGTGTCTGGACATAGCAGATGCTTGATAAAGTAATTTATGCTATTTTTTTATTGCTTTCTGTTTTTCTGTTGCTATTCTTTTATTTTTAAATGTTTGCTGGTTTTTTATTTCTTGAATTTTGCTGAATTTCACTCTGCCTTGTTTCTTATATTGTCCCTTTGGGAAAATCTCAGCCTGATGTTTCTTATAAGGTTTGTCCTTATAAAAATGTGTGTAGTCCTTTTTGAACTTGTAAGACTTATAATTCATGATATGTGTGATTCAATTTTATAGGCTTGGTGAATATAAAGAATGGGGTATGGTGGAATTACAAGGAGCATTAGAAAGTCAAGATGACATTGGCTTCAATGGATTATATATAGGAGACCTCCACTTTGATGACAAGGTTTGATTCATATATTCAATGTGAAATTTACCTATTACTGTCGGCTCTGCTTATAGTCACTCCACTGGTTACAGTTACATAAAATTTAGTCCAAAACATGCAACACTGTTCAATTTAGCTCTGTTTACAGTCACACTCTGCTTGCTGTCACATTTTATCAAGGAACATATAACTGGACTATGGTGTAACTATAACTGGAGTTTTTGATACTATTAGAGTTGTGTAAAACCTATAAACAGGGAATAAGGTAGAAATCTCTACCTTCTCAAAAGCACTTTTGAGAAGTGAATGTATTGAGATTTGCTAGAAATGATCTGTTCCAGATCACAGCTGCCATTCCTGGTTAAAAAGAACCTAGGACTCAAATGTTTACCTCTTCATATGCTGATTTCAGGTTTATGAATTTTTGATTTCATTGGTAAAAAATTGAAAGATAGGATACATTTTGGTAGGTTTCTATTTTCTCTTTATAGCATTTGTCATTAGTAGGACTAAAGTTTTAAAATAAAACATTGAAACTTTGCTTGCTTGGTTGTTTATTGCAAACAATATGAAGTAATTTGCAATTTTCTCCATCCTATGTTACTGGAAATTGTAACTTCTCCAATGTGCCAAGATTTAAGCAAAACTAGGTACCTTTGAATTAATAAGTCTTACCCACTTTAGTGGTGATCAGGATCACCCCCTTGAGCACAATAGCTATATAAATTGAACTCTCAGTCAAGAATGCAGATGATATGGAAATTTTATTATTCAATTGTCAGATCCTCTTTTGCCATCTTATAAATGCTTATAATCAGTCAGATATTAAGTTTATTTCAATCTTTAAATCCTTGATTTATTTGTCATTTAGGGGATTCCAAATTTGATAATTGGACATCACTTGTTGGTAGGGAAAGTTGTCGAGCTTGAAAAACCATTTGCTGTTTTAAAGAAAAATGGAAAAATGCAAGGTATGACAAATGAAATTGAAAATTCAATGGATATAGACAATCAAGACAAGGAAAATGAAAAATCTGAGAACAAATATGAAGTTGTTGCTTTTGTTAAGAAGAAAATTATCTTTAAGAACCGACCAAGACCTATAATAACAAATGTAACAGTGAAGAATTAGTGAAAGTTGATGTAATGAAAAATTTGATATTGGTTACCTAATGCACATTGTAAGACTACAGCCATCTTTGTTATAAACCAAGACATTCTTTATGAAAATTCAAAAGTGACCAAAATAACAAATATGCAATGAATATATAGGTTCTGTTGAGCAAATATAGCGATGGATATTTATCAAAATATTGCACTGTTTTTGTTTCAAATGGTGTGTATTTAGATATCTGGGTCTTGTTATGTCAGCCGATTAGAATTTTCCGAGAAAAAATATTGCCTTTTAGACATTCTGATAATTCTTTAAAGTTAATGAATCATTATGTTGAATTGTGTCATAGTGATTTTGAAAACTTGTTATGTTGTATACCTTAGACAAGATATAATGGTCAGCATTTCTCAAGTCTCTGGGGCCCATAAACCAAATTTAACTCTTAGAGTTTCTCATGACATCCATTATATATGCTCGCCATGTCCTCCGCATCCACAGTTTCTGTTTATATTTATCGACAAGCAAACAGATTCATACAATGACATGTATAAAATACTCATTGTCATGCAAGATATTTTGAAATAATAACATAATTATGTTTTATTGTTAATATAGGAGAATACTGGTTAGAAAATCTGAGCGAACAAAAATTCAAAAATAAAATTTAGTTTGTATATAGGTTCTGAGTGGAGGCAGGTCAACACCGTGAAGATGTTAGGTAAAGTCGCTTTGTTGCCCTGGCTACAGCTCGCTTTTTATTGGTCGTTTGTTGCTGACAGTTTTCAGCAATGAAGCCGTGAATCAGATTAACTTCGGGATATCTCATTCAGGACACGAGATTATTTGCTAGATCGTATTTGAAGCCAAATGGAATCATTTAATCGGCCGATGTTTCTACGGGCCAAGAAATTTTAGACTGGACAAAAGAACATCGACGTAATTCGTTCCACTAAGTATACGTGAAGTATCAAAGGTTAATACACAAAAAGACTGAAACATGTTTTATTTGGCATTAGCAAGTCATAATTTCCCTAGAACATATTTAGCCTATATGTGATTTGGAAACCAACGTCAAAGGATTTAAAAACGAGAGGTTCCCGCACAGACTGCGTACCGTATTCCCGCTCTTCTAATAATCCCGTCGTTTTCTATACTTTGGAAAATCCCGCCTCTCCGACAATCCCGCATGCGGGTTTGATTAAAGAAAGAAATCAATGGATTGCAATGTCCTTGGAGTTTTGAATGATTTGAGGACATTCAACGTATTGTCGTTCTTATTTTATGACAGCAAGGGTTGATAATGTTACAGCCAATCTGCTTCAACTTTCCAACTAACTCTCGTCAACTTTTTTCACAATTTGCATGTTATTTTGCCGCATCAAAACAAAAGAGAACAGGTTGAGTTCTGTTACCTACAACGCCTTCTTTTCATTGATCTGGTTGTTTTTATTCCAACATTTCATCCTAATCTCCGGATTTTCTTTATTCTGATCTTCATCTTAGTATCTATTTCTGCTATGGCACTGATTGATACATGAGATTTCGGAGGCTATTATTATGTGTTCTTCGCATTGCTTGGTGATAAACAAATCAGACTTCATGATCTTTTTCGTTGTGACACCCTCTTGGGCGTTATCAGCCTGCTCTATCAAACGTTAAAAGCCTATGTCAAATAGCAATGGTGAAAGCATGCACCCTTGATGCATTTCTCCCTTGTATTCTGATTCAACCCTTGCTAATCTTATTCTCGAACGATTAATGTAGAGCGTTGACTGTTTTTAAAATGTTCGAGGGAATGTTCAATCCAGTGGCGTCGCGTGACCATTAACGCTGGGGGGTGGGGGGGGGGGGGGGGGGGGGGCGAGTGTAAGAGATGCAAATCCATATTTTACCGACAGAATTTCTTTTTTTTTACATTAATATTTTGTTATAAATTTAGTTCTACCGACGAGTTCTCTGAAAGGGGGTGTACGCCCCCCACACCCCCCACACGCTACGTCCCTGTCAATAGCTAACGAAACACTCAAAGAAAAGCTAGCGAAAAAAAAGAAAAATAGCTAAGGGTGCTTTTAGCCGTCAAGATCTTGGACTTGCTCTCTCCCTCTGAAAAATAAAGAAAAGAAAAAAAAATGAAAGGGCTAAATGGATAGATTACTAAATGGATAGAGAGAGACTTGTAGCAAGTCCATCAAGATCTGGCCATGTGATCTGGCCTAAAGATACGCTTACGTGTCAGTTGTTCAGATCTACACCGGGGCTAATTCGAAGATTTACGGCAGGGGTAGGCAACCTAAAGAATCCGGCCCGGGAAGAGAACTTTTGTGGCCCGCGAGATGAAAAATATCATATTGTGATTTTTTTGGTTGTGTTAAAGAAGCCCAAACGCCCCTTTTAGAAAATACTTCCTTCTTTCCACTTATTTTTTTATGAACAGTCTATTTTAGAGAAGATAACAATTACTATAAAGATAGATTTAGCAAGATAAGACACCTAGAAAATGAACAAAAATGGGTTCCTGGTCAAGACGATCTGCTACTACTACTTGGGATTCGATAGAGTAAGCTTTCCAAAGTTGTGTTAGAGTAAACTTTCTAAAAAGTGGGGGGCTATAGCCCCTGCCAGCCCAACTTATTATTGCAAAAAAGTGGGGGGCTATAGCCCCTGCCAGCCCAATGGTTGCGCGGTGCCTGCCTCTCATACATATTCTATTGATTGAAGATGGTAAAATCCTCGCTTTCAAGGACTTGCAAAATACATGCAGTCCGACGTACAGTACTTTAATAATGAGGCTCGATCAAACCTGCAAATATTTAATTTGTATTGTGTTTTACAACAGGTCAGAGATTACCTCTGTAAACGAAAAATCAAGATTTACTCTTAGTAGAAAAACAACTTAAGAAATCTGTAATGAATCTTATTCCCAACATATGTCATGAAATCTCGTCAGTTTTTGCGCACAAAATCTTATAAAATGACATCGTTCGAAAGTCGGTAGATAAAGTATGATTATTCAACGAGATATCCAAGCAAAGATATAATCCGCTTATTTGGAGGACTGTATAAGGAAGCATTCCTACTGAAACAAGAAGCTTCATGTTAATCTTACCGTCGTCATTTGCCGACTATCTGGCTTCTGGCAATGCTACCTGCTAAGCATGTTAGCTTTGGTCTTGAATGATATCGTCAAACGCTAAGGTATGTTGATGCTTGTTTTTACGCTCCTGAAGCTTTCAAGTGAATCCGAAATTCAAAATAAATACTGTTTATGAAACCAATGCCTAAGCAAAACTAAGTGTTCAAGAAACTGTACTTAGGCAGAAAACAAATAATTCTTACTAGTACCTCGCGAATGATTTTTATAAAGTTAAAGTCAGTGGCAGGATGAAGTCTGGTCAGTCGATGCCACCCAGAGATGATTAGATGCGCAAATGTTCAAGGGGAATAATTGTTCGCACCATTCTCCTAACCATGAGCTCCATAAGCTTCTAAATATAAAACTTTTAGAAATGTATGTCAACACTGGGAAAGGCTTTCTGTTACAACCCTTGCCTTTACATGATCGTCAACCGGGGTTCCTTCTAAGTTTTTTTGTCTTATAAACAAATGGTGTAATCAAAAACTGCAATGAATCCGGCTATTGAGTTGTAGTAGCTTCTAGATTCAAAAAAAGCAAGCAGATGAGATTTCGTTGAAAACCCCCGTTAATATAAAAAATCGAAAGAAAATATTCCATCAAACATGGTCTTATCACTTCAATACTACTTCTGCTATAAAGTTACTTTGACACTTTCAGTAATGGATACCGCCCATTAGCAAGGGCATCTTCACTTAGAAAGTATAAGCATAAAAGTTCACTTATAAAAACGTACGCTTCGAGACATCTAACACCATCCTTTGTGCAAATAATGCTTTCATAAAACCTTGTAGAAGCAACCAGCAGACATTGGGAACTTCTACACTGGGGTTTTATTAGTGACTTTGGTTCCGAAAGTGTCATCTCTAAGAGGTTTTGCTTCAGTATACCTAGAATTATTTGCTCTCCTAACATCATTAAATGCTCTCTCAAAACGATAGCGTAGTGTAACCTGTTACTTTGAAACCATCCGTTTGGCAGTAAATTGACCTAAATCCATAAAAGTGTTCAACCTTCCTCTAGCTATTTATGAAAAAATTATTTCACTTGCCCTCCTGAAAAAAATGTTTACTTTATCGACTTTCATCGTGTTTTAGCAGTGCAACCGCAAATTTTATTGGTTCTTAATTGTTGACACTACTTCTTATAAATAAGTTTAAAAGATTATTATAATTCAAGACAGATTTCAGGTTGAGATAATATTATGAAATGATTAAGAAAATCTAGCATACACAAGTAATTATTTAATGATTGACTGTACATTTTGCTGGTCTTTCCAGTCAAAACGTATAGGATTGGTCCTTTGTGTTAACAGCGTTTTGCGGGCAAACCTGGAGAAGGTGATATGCGATTGTATTGATCTGCTTTTGTTCTTGAGAAATCTGAGACACCCGACAATGTTTATTAGATGTATTATAAGTGGACTTTCGTGTATCTTCTATTTCCCTAGGCCCTTTATCTTAATCGATAATCCAGGACTTATTCTGTGACTGTGTGTTTGCAGATAAGTGAACAGATTTTCATCTTCAACATCCCAATTACTGGCAACAAAGATGTCAGATATATCCAGCCACCTTGGGCTTTCTGAGAACGGTAGCTTAGTAACCGTCCTGCCCAATGGAATGCGTCAAATCGTCGACACGGAAGGCTTGGAAACATTTGCTGATTTCAAAAGAAAAATTGAGCTGATGTACGGTTTACCATACGAACTACAGAATATAAAAATCACGAATGGCTATCATACTGTAGCGGACTGGGAACTGGTGAAGACATTCAAGGGGGGATCAAACACGGAAGTATTCGTTCGAACTGATCAAGAGTGGACAACATTCGTTTCCGCGTGTTTGCGTGATGCATCGATGACAGTTCTCGACTTTCTGGAAACAACAGAGACAGATGATATTTTTGAAAAAAGACTATATGTTGCCTTGTTTATAGCAGCTTCAACTTGTGATATAACTCTCGTTAGGAAATTGCTTGGATTAAGGCCGAATATCAGTAAGAGGACAGCCAGTGGCAGGAATATATTACACTTGGCTGTTGCAACTGGAGACATTGACTTGACAGAGGCTGTGTTGTATTATGATTGCAGCAATCTTATTCAAGCTGGAGATTCACGTGGAGAAACACCTCTAGACCTCGCGACGAAAGCTGATAATGTGGAACTTGTAGAAATACTTTTGTCTCATATTGATAAAAATAACATGGCAAACGCCGGCAGAAAGACTGATGGAATGTCAAGTAACGGACGGAAAATTTCCAGGGCTACTGGTTCGAATTCATTACGAATCACTGGAACGGCTGAATCAAAATTCCCTTACTCGTCGAGATTTGTATCTCATTCGACCCCTAGTTCCCCACAACTACAGAGGAAAAGCCAAGACCCCCCTACTCTGGGTCAAGGAAAGACAGATGATATCTTGGTGAAAAAATTTGATTACAGTTCAAGGCAACAACCTACTTCAGGTGAAACTGTTAATCTACCCAACATACTTCACGTGCCTCCAAACCAGAGCACCAGGCCAATCCCAGGGAAATTGAGCAGCCTGGCGCCACGCCTGTCTTCGCCTGTTCCATCAGCTCCGAGGAGTCCTAAATCTCGTAGAGAGGTTAGGAAGTTTTCAGCTCCTGACACTTACAACGATGTATTCCAACTTCACAATGGTCAACGGGGCATGCAACAGGTTGTTTTCCTACCGCCGTGGAGGCGCGGTGGGAGGTCACACTCCTCAGATGAAACGAGAGAAGCACCGAAAGAGCAACTGGAGGTTCAGTCACAAATGCCAGTTGCGACAGAAGAGAGGCATAGGTGAGTGTATGTACGTCACAACAAAGGATATTTACTTGTAGAAAAAAGCTTATTTGCGGTGATGCTACTTGCGTGTTTAATAGATCAAATTATCAATATGATTGAAGAAAATTGTCCCTGAAAATAACATGTCTAGAAAAATCTATTGAAAAGGAAGACAACTTTGATGAAGACTACCAGGAAGTATTATAAAGACTCTCTTCTGTTTGCAATACATTTTTTAAAACAGTGTTTTGACTAGAGAGGATACGTTCATCTGTCTTCAGTTACTCCCAATGAATGCAGTGGCGGAAATTGCGGTTATCTAGGGGACGAGTGCCCCCCAAAAATTTGCTAAATTTTCGGTGAAAAGACGCTTTCAAAATGAAAATGAGACAAGGATCGTAGCTCCATCGATCTGCATTTTTAGCATTGCCAAAAATATGAAACTGAAAAGCTAAAACTATGCGAACTCGTGGAAAATAGCCTGCTTGCAGTGGAAAGTTGAATGAAAGTGTTCCTTATCGGAGCTGCGAGGACTGCGAAGCCGATTTGTGTGGTTTGTTGTCTTTGCAGAGAAATACTACAGCTAACATCCACTATCTCGAAAATCCACTATCTCGAAAGTCAGTTATCTCGAAAATCTGCTATCTCGAAACCAACTAATTTTAACATTCGTATATTCAAAAATTTCTACGCTTTAACGTTTAAGTAAGTTCAACTCAGTAGTCATACACCCTCGTACAACTTTAGCTTTTTTGCTCAAAACGCCATGTTAAAGGATTCATCTACTAGCCCTCTGACTTCTAGAAATATTTCCAGGACCGCAATCTTGATACCTTTGAAAACTCCAACATGTCAATGGGTTTTCTTTATCATATGAGTTTCTATTTAACATTTGCAATTCTTTATACCAGATCAGAAGCAAGATCACATTCAGTAGCCTCGATATCGCCTGAAGATGTCAGTCGTCTTCAAGAAGAGGTTCGAGTAAAAAAGCCATGGAATGAATGGCGCCGTATCTCTTTGATGGGAAAAAAGGAGAAGAAGAATCTGTTTCAAGATATCCAGAAGCAAACAGAAGACGAGAAAAAATCTTTTGAAAGCTGGCTAATCGGTAAAGAGGTAATGAGGGAGGAATTTGAACAACATTTGCTGGAGGAAGAGCGTATGAAGCAGCTAGAAAAAGAAAAAATAGAGGAAGAGAGGAAAATGAAGTAAGAATTTGATAATTTTTTAAATTGAGATTTAGGATATAATTTTTTAAAAAATTATTTGCTTCAAGTTAAAAGGGATGTGCGTGATTGATTAAAAATCATAGCAGATTAATGCTTCGAATAGCATGAGCTTATGCCGATCAAGCGAGAGAAGCACGTGCAGTCAACATTACGAAATACCGCTAAACTTGCAGCTGATTTGCCAATGTTTTATTCTAAACGTCTGAAACTAAGTTTCAAGTTAAAAATCAAGCATTTAATATTATAGATGTCTGTCTTTTGTTCTTTTAGATGCAAGTCGTACAACACATGGCTTGCCGAGAAGGAAGTCGAAAATGAAGAATCGAAGGAAGAAGAAAAGAGAAAAGAAAAAGAGAGGAAAGTGACTGAAGAAAAACTGCAACTTAGAAAGACTGAAGCTGAGCGAAAGTATGAAAAATGGATGAGAGAAAAATATGAAGAAGAACTTCGCAAGGAAGAAGAGCTTCAAAGACTCATGCAAGAAAAATGGAAAATAAAAAAGCAAGAAGGTTTTCGTAGAAAGTCGGTAGCGACCATGAGTACAACGAAGAAAACACTATCTAGGTCCACTAGTGTTCCAATATCGTAATGGAGAAAAGTCTCGAGTTGCATATAGCATGCAGTTTGCTAAATACTATGTATAGATTTCGTAATTTGAATTGAAGAAATAAAAGGAATGGGCTTGAGGTAATTTTTAAGTATCTCAGGCAAATTTTTACCGGTAATTATAATAGAAGCTACTTATAACTATAATAGAAAGCAAGAAATTTAGATTTGTTTCTACGAAAGCATATTCATTGCGTGTTCATCAGCAGTAAAGTACCTTGCTTTATGCATTAGATAAAATAGGAATTTAAGAAGCTAGGATATAGATTACTAAAAACTTAATGATGTGACCGTTGTTCCTGTTGATTCGGATTGTCTTTTATAAAGGAACCATATGGGAATGCAGGGGCAAGCCCGTTCTGCAAGAAAACAAGAACATAACCAAGTATCAGTCGTTATAGTTTTACGAAAACATTCATGTTAACGAGATGCATATGTATTGATCGCTGTTGAAAAACTAAAAATATTCTTGGTATGAGTCCAGAAAACCTTAGTTTATAGTGAAAAGTATTTTTTCAAGACAATTTACAGTAACGTAACATTTTATGGTTTTAGCAGAGATTCGCAGTGAGGATATAACCAATCTAATTGAACCGAGGAGTATTAATGAAGATAAATTCTAAAATATTTTGGCTTCTAACTTTAGATTCGTGATCTATTTTTGTAAGTTGATATAATTATTCAGTTTTGTAGATTTTACAAAGTATGTACAAGGATTGTGATTTTAACTTTAACGTACAAAGTAGACATCAGTATGTGTATATGCATTGACTAAGACTGAAATAGCAAGCCCCATGGCAAGCCAGCTGCGAAGCCAGGCTCCTAACACCGGAGGAGCAAAGAGCCGGAAAGGTTAAGTCGCGGGTATTTCTTCGAGAAATTTTGAGGGCTGACGCTTTTCGATGCCCGTATTATTTTTAATACCTCTTTAGAAGTAAATGAAATAGAATTTTTGTAGGTTTTCCTCATCAAACTGTCTGGCAGTAAGCAAAGGCCCTTATAGGCAAAATTGGTGTATTATCGCTTCAAACTACCTGATATAGGACCACTTTTTAAAATAGCATCAGATGAAACTAACAAATTTATACCGAACTATGATGACAAGTCTTAAAGACCTAATGATATAACACGCGTGTAATACGCGTGGAACTCTCCTCCGAAGAAAATTATTAGCACGCACGTTTTGCAGCGCTTTTATTAACACTTTTTCTTTAAAAATTTCATTCAAAACATTTACAAACCAAAAAACACGACAGTATGGATGTGATTAATTAAAGAGAATAAAAAAGCAGCTTCGTATTTGTTCTTTCAGCAACCATAAAGTTCCATTCGTACGCATGCGTAGTTTGCTTTTGTTGGGTAATATCTGAAGTACCTCGCATTTATGACGTTACTGAAGGTATTCAGTATTGGTGTAAAATGATCGCAGTTGCCGTCAAACTCCTAAAAAGTAATTTTGACAAAAATCAATTCCGTCTCTAGGTAGATCATTCACAAAAGTTGATGCAATAGTACAAAGTGATATAACTCACCAGGTTAAACCCCCTACCCTACTCCCCAGTACTTACTTCATTTGACTCTCTGAGGCTATAGTAACCAGTACCTACTAGCCAGCTTCTCGGCTCAGCCTTGAGCATAGCTAAGAGCCCATCCCTACAGCAACCCCTACCGTCCCTAAAACCCACTTCCAAATTATCCAATCCACAGCAAATTGTCCAATCCACAGAAAATTGTCCAATTCCTGAATCCTTCATTAGATCTCTCTATAGGCCATTTGAAACACCAGCTCTGAAAACTCTGGAAATTGCTCAGGTCCATCTCTCTACCATTTGAATTACAATACTGTTACTCTAAACCACTAACTATTGTTACTGAAATTATAATGACATCTACTTGGAGTTAACCATCGCATCCTGCCTGGGACTAGCAATGCCTTTTACTGCCAAATATACTTGACAAAGATGTTAAGAATCATTCCCATTAGAGAACCACAAATGTTCTAACTCTGTTCAGTCTCATATTGCACATACCCTAATTCTTCCATTTTCAATATACTCGTACCAACGTCTTCTATCATTGCTGAATCTGACTTTGAATTTTGAAACTCGCTCAAAGAATTTATCACGGCCTGCAATATAATGTCAAATTATTATTGTGGAAAACCAACCGGCTTAGTTTATTACATGGAAAGTCTTTCGGGATGTTCGCCTTGGGACGTATGAATATACAATGGGGTTGCAAAAGTCATGCCTAAAATGGCAGCTGAAGCCATGGGCCTAAGCCGACAAGTTTCTAAAACAGAAGTTCAAGGCTAAGGGGGTTTTGATGCGAGAGCCTTCGGTAGGAAACTATTTGCGCAATTCGAAAGGCTTTTGAATGAAAATAAATTTGAAAGGTGATTTTAATGTTTTGAGATAAAATTGGGAAACTTTGAATCAGCGCTTTAGAAAAGTTCTCGAAACGTTATCGAAGCAAAAAAATAAACATCTACCATAGCTTGCAAGGTTTGAAAATGCTGTTGCATTCCAAAAAAAACTAAGGAGGATTTCTCATACCTTGTGTGGCAATGTATTTGATTTTTTTCTGTGAACCAAGATCTATCTCAATATATGGGCCTAACTTGTGTTTCCATGTTTTAGCGCACCAAGCAGCAATTCGTTTTTTATCAGCATCATCTTCATAATAGAGTCTGGCATTCGAAGCCGATGCTGACCAGCTATCTGCAAGAAAAGCAAGAATATCAATGTCATTTAGGTTTGATAGCCTACCAAAAGGCTAGAAGTTTAAAAGAGTTTTGTAACTGAGAGAGAAAAGTGGTGGCCAATGACAGATTAGGGTTCAAATTATCGTCTTTTGGGTGACGGCCTCAAAAGTTTGATTAAGTGGCCGGTTTTGAAAGATAACGAATTTTCTGTACTCTCTGTAGAAGCTGTAGAACTCGTGCGTCATGTTCAATGAAACAGTAGAGTTGATAGCTTTTTGATAAATTTGCTATCACATAACGACTTCTAAAATATATTGTGCCACAGATATGCCGATGATTAGTTTTCAAACAGAGGTTAGGTGATGTAAAGCTTATATTCAAACCAAGAATTGAAAGAATCATCCAGCTTCTTTCTTCGACACAGGTAGCTTAGCTTCTTGCTAAGGTTCAGTTCCATTTGAAATTCCATAATCAACGTTTTCAAAAATTGATCAAATAAACATATATCACGGTGCCTAACTTATAGTTACAAATAACCTGAAAACTTGAAACATTTAGAAAAAGCCTCTTTTTTGGTGTTTGTTTCTACTTTTCACCCGAAGGTAGTTTTTAGGACACTGAGAAGTCAGGGGCGGATCCAAGGCAAATTTGAAGGAGGGGCAGTTGGGGTTGGGGGCACTGAAAAATTGTCGAGAATTGGTGACGAGAGTACGATGTATACAGCAATTTCAGATACATTTTCGAAATAAACAACATAACTTTGAGGTAATACTTGAAGCAGATTAACCTATCGGTTTCAGAATCTTTTTCATTTGGTTCTTATTCTTCAAAAGGGGCACACAATTTCCAAAAAAGGGCGCCAGATTGGCTTCAACTCGTTGAGGGAGGTGCAACTGCCCCTAGTTGCCCCCCCCCCTTAAATCCGCCACTGTGAGAAGTTATGCTTATAAAGCAGTGGCCTGGACCTTCCTCTCGATGTGACCACACCTCGTGATTCATACGCCTGGAATTGAAGAGAGCTGATGACTCCCCTCACACTAAATGTAGGTTTGGTTATGTCCGACAATTTCTTAAAGAGGAGCCTTTCAAAAAGATTAGCTAATTGAAGAATGAACAGCCCCTGCTTCAGGAAGTATTAAAATCCCTCAAAACATGATGCGATTCAAGATAAAATTTGTTAGAAATAAAATGATCTCTACCTGCATGGGCAGAAAATTGTGTGTGGTTGCTTTAGGTAATTATTGACTGATTTTCTAAGTTTCTTACATCAATAATGAAACCTGGAGATTCTTACATATACTAGTTACTTATAAAAGAAGGAATTTACCAAACAAGCCTGGCTTCTGTAAAGATATTCAGTATTGAAGTTCCCAAATAAACTGAAATATTTACAAAGAGAATCTCTGGAATTTTCTAATTTTGTGGGACGTAGCTTTAATAAGAATTACAGAGCAATATAGCTACGCATAAACAAGTACAGTGGCGAATAACTTGTACTTCTTTCTACCGAATGTTGAATCATTGTTTTTACTAACCAATTTGCAGTTCTGAATTGGAAGTCATACTTTTATCTGGGATTTTCCAACCTTTCCCATCAAAACCAATGCCAAGTGGGCTCGAACAAGGACCTGAAACGAAGGGAACTCGTCATTAGCTGACTGTAAAAGAACTTAGTTCTCACTTGTTTTCGGATTGAACAGCAAGCTGTTGCAGTAATGATTATTACTTTCATTCTATCTTCAGGAGATGGTTTTTCTTTTCTTTGCTATTTCAAGTTTCTTCTGTCATAGATTTTAAGGATTTAGATGCTAATTCGGAACCGCAATTTAGCTGTCGAATAAAATGAAAAGAAATAAAGGCAAAAGAGTGAGATAAAGTCAGATAAAGTTTCCAAGTGCTTTGCGGTTTGATTATCAGACAATAATTATTATTAGTCAGCGAACATAAAGATTTTATAAGAAAGACACCAAACATCAACAGTGACAGCATTCAAAACTAACCTGCAAAACCTCATTCGTCATATTGTCATGCAATCAAAAACTGGTTACTGATTCAGAAGTTTGTTTTAAAGAAATAAGACAAGTTATTTCAGGTTATTATAACTTTCTCTCTAAAATAACTCAGTTTCCTTTCAAATCCTTGAAAAATCTTTGCAAGGTAAGAGGGAATTTAGTTAATTTCGAAAATGAGGCTATTATGACTCTTCGAGGCTGTCTATGTATAATGTTACCTGATGGTTTCTGTGGTTCACGGTCACAGTCAGTTTGCTTGCAAGATGCTTTGCAATTGGATCGCATCCATTTTGGGTTGCGTTCGCAGTGACCATGCTTTGCCCAGTCTTGACAATGTTTATTTCTATCTTTACACAGGATTCCTGGAAACATTATAGCTATTAATTTAGGCCATAAATATACTAAAATGCGGGCGGTACAATATGATGAATTTAAATAACGATCAATGTAAGTAAATTGTACCAGGAAAATATTTTTAAAACTTGAACCCCCCCTCCTTTTTCTTTGTTTTTTCTTTCCTTCATATTAGTGTGCATATATATACATATACATATATTCTGTATTTGCGTATATGTATATATATATATATCTATTTTTATTAGCTTTTTCCATATATTTCTTTTCCATGCTCTTACATCCGTCTTCCTATTCCATTCGTCGAATTCCATATTCCTTTAACGTTTTTTAGTTCTATCATCGCTTTTCTATCTTACTTGATAATGGGCTATGCTCGAAACGTCGTTAATTATTTCAAAAAAAATTTTTCCTGGTACAATTTACTTACACTGATCGTTAACTAATTTAGGCCGTTCGTGATGACGATAACGATGACCAATATGACGATAACAGATCTTGTTAAAATAGTAGCACAATGCATAAATTGCTAAAAACTGCTTATCTAACCAGTTGAAGGGCTCAAGGGAAAATGGAAAGACGCACCAACTTACTCAATATATTTTAGAAGGTAGAATATTGTTATGGGTGACTTGAATATGGCGCCGATTGCAGTGCTATAACCGAATTTTTGAAAAAGCATACATTAAATTCTACTTTTAACGTTTGAACAGTGTTTTCATTTTTAACATAGTTGGATTTTGCTGTTCATGCCACAGCTAGACCGTTCTTATTCATAAGTGCACCCAAGGTTTTTCAAGAAAAAAACCCATTATCTTGTTCTAACATGAGACCTGTTAACCTTTAGAGAAATGAATCTGACAAAAAAAATGGTGATATGCGATGTAAGTTTTGTAAACTAGGTTTAAATTTAAAAATAATATTCTTCATCATAAGCTTCTCTGTCCTTTACCTAGCATATGGAAGAACTGCAAGCCTTGACTGCAAAAAATCAACCTAAAATTCACCCTTAAGCAATAAAAGTGTCGTGTGTCATACAGCATCTTCTTCTTAAAAATAAGAGGGCAGAGTTAGGGAGAGTTATTCACTCGAACAAGCTGTCTCGTCCAATCATAACTAGCATCCAGCAGTCGCAGTATATGTTTCTGATACTTACCGATTCCCATCTTGACATGCAAAGGTTTTGGTTTATCTGAATAAGAAACAATAAAAGTAATCTTTGTTAAACTGATGAAAAAAATTCGTAATAAAAATGCGTAACATGTTAGAGTAAATAATGTTCCATCTCAATACAAATAATTACTTGCTCAAACAATTAAGACACGACAGAAAACTTCGAAAAAGAAATTTTCAAACTTTCTTTCTACGTCAATAGAGCTGTGCATCCATATTTTTGAAACTGTTCTTTATTTTATAGATTCATTTAAACCCTTTTTGTTTTCTAAATCTCATTTAAATCCCGTTCAAAGAAAAGATTCATGATATTCTGGTGACAGAAATTACCCAGATTTTAGTGTCCTTCGAACAAGCAAAGATCGAAGAGCGTGGAGACAGCTGTGGAGGCCACCCGCCAGCAGTGGCGTGAACAGGCTGAGATGATGATGATGAATGCAGAAATTACTTACATCTGGGAATATACAGAACCAATAATGACGTCATTTTAATTCTCAGCACAATAGGCAATAGTACGTACGAACAAGCAAAAATTACCTTTCCGGCATTGTGGGTGACAACTTTTTGGGCATAACTTCCTTACAGTAATGCTGATCGAGCAGTGTCCCCATTCGTACCAGTCTTTACACTTTGATGTGCTGTCAATGCACTTAACTATGGCAAGATAGAAATTTACCAAAAATATTAATGCACAATTAGATAGTTGCTAACGGATTACTGTTATTTTGGCTCAGTTCATAAAGTTATGAACTGAGGCCAAATTACAGAGGTTTGATGGAGCCAGAGCTTGTGCTCATCTGGTCATATCTCAGCCAATTCGTAATACCTTTAACTAATTTTGTAAATTTAGAGATATTTCATGATGCTCTTTCAGGTTATGGGAAAAAAATTCTAAAAATATACTTTTGTGACGTCATCACTTGACAACTCTATTTCTTAATGGATAGTTTTCAGTCAGTTGCATTAGAACAGTGGTCTGTGCTGCGACTGGCACAAGAAAGGACAGCCACCCTTTGTCCCAATTGAGCTGCTGGCATATTTGGAAATAATTGGTTTGAAGATAGCACAGAAAAGTTGAAAGCTTCTTCAAATTATTTGTTGCACCTTTGGATATGAATTCAAACACTGGGGTGGTACTTACCACTGTAAAGAATATTCTGAGCCAAAGCCATATTAGAGTCATAACAACTAGTGCGATAACTAGGCATAAAGAGACTGAAAATCTTTAGAATTGGTGTACGGACGACTCTTTATATTTTTCCAGATTCATAGCCAGAACATTGTATACTAACCTTTCTTTGCTTTTATTTTTAACTTTTTAGGAGGTAGTTTCTTTCTTTTTAGCAGTGATTCCCTGTCTTTGAGAACTGCTACTAGCTTCTCAATTCGACCTGTCAACGAGGAAGGAAAACTTTCGTATATTTTGCGTCAAGTCATTACTTAGTAAACTTGTTTGGAGACAAACAGGCGAAGGTCTTTTGTTGAGTGAGGCAGCCCTCCGTCTTAGGTCAAAGAGCATAGGCATGGAGCAAGACGGGGGCTGTCTCACAAATTTGAAGGTTTTCGGTCGTTCGCCTTCCCAAACAAACTAGGAAGAACAAATTATCTATATATATTCTTGATCGGGACTGCACTGGGAAGCATGCTCATGAAGTCTTCTTCTGAATTTTCGAAACCTAAAGTTCTGCTCGCCATTGTTTTGTCCTTCCACTCAAGCGCCCCAACACACAATTTGGAAGTTTAGATCTCTAAAATGGCAGCCTCTGGTACCCATACAGTACCTAATTCTGCGATTCCGTTATAGGGCAGTATTTACGAGAAAACCCAGATTGTGCAAAAAAACTATAATGGAGACATGTTCCGGATTAGTGGCAAAGCCCGATTGTCGTTCAATCTAAAATTTTTGAAATCTATCTACAAAAACATGAAAAATCTCTTTTGTGGGGGAGAAGGAGTTCGTTTTCAAAAGGCAAGCGACATTGATTGGGCAACGTCGACAGCCACGTGCTCGCGTTTCTGATTGTCCCATTTCGATCCACAACTGGGTATAGTTATTCCCTAGCGTAGAGTTTTCGGTCTGTTCTGACGTTCTATAGACATAGTGTCAGACAAAATGCTTCAGTATACTCAAATGTTTGCTTTTTTCAAAGCCTTTTTTATGTTTTGTACCACCAAAAGATTGTTAAATAGTTTTCGTGGAATCGCTATCACCCTCCCATTTGCGTAGCAGGCTTAGGATAGTTTTGGACCCGAATAGTACTGCTTCAGCGAGATAGCACTGTCCGAATGGAGTTTGAGATGTGTTAAATGTTGCCAGATCAGGAAAGCTGCAGTCCTTAAAGACCCTAATTCTTCTACACCTATGCACCAACCTGTTACCCATGCGCCCCTAGCATCCTAATAAAATACCTGTCTTTGACAAACCTTTTTTGCACAACGGATTGCAGCTCTGCGAACAAAGCTGCATAATGGCACCACTCAGCCTGCAGTAGCCATTCTTCTTCCAAGTCCTGCATTTCTTGGCTCTGTCGATGCACCATGCTTAAAAAGATGGTTGCATAAGCAAAAAAATTGATAATTTGGACAAGAAGCGATGAATACACGTAGTTAGCTGCAATGAATACTATGATTATGTATAAGCGACGAATAAACGTTGAATGCATTGCTGCTACTGAAAACTATGAAGACTATATGAAGAAAAAATGAAGAAAAAATGAAGAACAAATGAAGAAGACATTGAATAGCATATGAAAAATTCATTTAGAAATCTGCAAACTACATTAAGGGCATATGAAGAAGGCGTAAAGAAAAAATGAAGAGCACATTAGGAAAACATAATTGCTTCCGAACAAATAATAATCAGGCTTTCTTAAATCAAGAAATCCTTGGAAACATGACTCATTAGAACTCTTACACAACAGTGTTAGCAATAACGTTGACCTCCTACTCCCTAAAAATTGATCAGTATAAAGTCCTTGCGCTAATGGTTGCAATGATTTTACCTTTGATTTGGTATTTGGTCTCAATATGCTAATTTCAAAAAGCCCTCCTTGTGATGTTGCTGTCTAGTTTCCATACTGCTCTACCTGATGACGTAATTAGTTTACCCTAAACCTAACCCTAACTCTAACCCTAAACCTAACCATAACCCTAAACCTAACCCTGACCCTAACCCTTTACTTGAATAATTAATCATACTAATTTATGACTATTAATCATGCTTATTTATGACTATCAGGTCGAGCAGTATGGAAACTAGACAATTCCCCTTGTGATAGCCCTGCATAACTAAAAACGTTTTCTCAAGGGGTCTTGACATGCAAAGAAGAGTTGTTTCAAAAGCATTGCTTAGTCTCAACCTTATGGGGGCATCAAAGGCATCGAAGTTTTCATTGCAATTCCCCATTGACTAGAAAAATGTAGCTTTAGGCTACCTAGGGATTATTAAGTCTCATTCCATTCTTTGTTTTTGCAACATATTTCTTGAGGGAACATGTCTTGATTCTATCAGACAAAACAGGTTACCACCATAAGTAACTCTCTGAGAATGGTATTTTATTTAGTTTGCGATCATGCACTGTCAGATTTCATTCCTTTCACGAGTCGCTTCAGAGGGCAACCCAACACGTGTGCTTCTCAACACTGGCAAGGAAGGAAGAATTTAAAATGGCAATGGCCTTGTTGAGAAAATCTTCAAAATGGAAGTAAGTCTCATTAGATGTTTTAAAACTGAAGTATATCTTAGTAACGCAATTGAACTCATTTAGACCTTAATTGGTATATTTTGACATCATAAACACATGCATCGTGCTGCTGTCTTTAATGAGGGCCTAAATAAAGCCGTTCGAGAATTTATATCACTCACAGAATACTTAGTCAAAATGATTAAAAATCAACCTCTGCGTGTGACTTGATCCAAAATATTGCAGCTTTAAAGCCATACACGCAAAGCTTCAAATTTTTGCAAGCATTATACTTGAAGCGGTCAAGTAAAGGAATAATTAACTCAAAAAAACCTAGGTTAGAAAGGCTTTTATAGCCATTGCTTCATTTTCAGGTTTGACACATCTAGAGATGTTTTCCAAGTAGGTTCATTGCATAAAAAATTTTGTTGCGTTACAAAATGTATTTATAACACAAAAGGTACTTTCTTTGAAGCATTCATTATCGTCGCTTTCATAGAAAGTGCTCTCTTCTGTTCAAGTCGATAAAAAACAGTCTCTTGGCATTGTGAATTTGTTCAATATGTCTGAATTTTTGTTTGAACGGAGTGGTTTAATAAATTTCGTCCATAAGAATCGTAATCCGTGCACAATATCCTCACCAGTTTACTCATAGTTGACTTCAAGTCAAAAGATGTTTTATCGGTCTCATGGGCAACATACGTTCATTGACACATGGAAAGCTTCTTAAGAATAATTAAGATTGATGAATATGGTTGACATATTAATTTCTAAATATAGAATCACCAGATTTGTTGGTTTTCACAGGGCTAGTCACACAAAGGGAGCATTTCTTGCTTCATTGAGAAAGGAATTGGACCTTAAAAGATTAGACAATTCACTTAAAACCAACCATGGAAATTGGTTTTTCCAGATAAAAGTATGCCAGAAACTCGTGAATTAACTTCCAGTTAATACGTTTCAGTTAAAAGTCTGATTTGATTTCTGGCTCAGTTCAACTGGTGTTTTCGAAAGAAGTATTTTAAAGTCAATGGTTTTGGGCTTACCCTTTCTGCAAGTTGGGTGACAACTTCGTTGGCAATACTTCATGTACCACGGGTTTTGATTACATAACCCCACTTCAGCCCATCTACGGCAGCCTTGAACTTTATCAGAACATCTACCTAAGGAAAATTTACTTTAAAGGCAATCAATGTGGGCCAACAAAGAGGAAGGTCTTACTAAATGAATGTATTTTATGTACGATATGTCACACTAAAGACGAGACAATAATCTATAATTACTAGACAAAAAAAAGACTCACGCAGGCAAGGCTGACAGAGATATGGAATATCAGAAACCAAAGTCGCAAACATCTGCTTTAAAGCTTTGGATTATTTACACTGCTGAATGGAAACTGAATAATAAAGCAAACGTAACTTGAATTGTTGCCCTTATGAATTTTTCTTTCAACAACAACAATGCTGTGTTAAACTTTACTATATGCATGTTTGGTTCATAGATTCGGCGTCAAAATAAAATCATTCCAAAATATTCCATAAAACCAGTATAAAAACGACTGATATTTATCGTAACGAACTAATCAAAATCTAATCAAAATTCATAAACTTGTCAACAACTGAATGCTTTATGTCAAAAACTATTTGAAAAAAGACAACTAACCCAGTCGCCTTGCTTTCCTTCGAAATGGGGTAGTGGGGGCCCTTGTTGTTGGGGTTGGCTTTGGTGTTGTCGTCAACATTCTTGCTGAAGATTGGTGTAATTTGTAAAAAAATTGAATTAGTTGCAAATAAAGTAAGATCTGTAAGGAAAACACAGTTACAAAAAAGAGTATGTATCAAACGTTATTATCCTGAGTCTCATAAATATAATAAATTATTCGGTCGCTTAATAATATAATGAATAGTATCAAAAAGAACATAAAAGTGAGAAAATTGCTATATTTTGGATACATGGCAAGAAATGATAGAATGCAAACGGCACTGATAGAGGGCAAAGTTTGGCAGATAATGGTTGAGAGATATCAAGGTTTAGCATGTCTAAGAGTGGTAAGTAGGATTATTGGGAAAAGTCTCAGAACGGTTGCTGATCGAGAATGTTTGAGAGAGATGACTGCTGCTCTAACATATCATAGTTAATGAGGTATGTTAAAATTGAACTCCCTCTTCATTTTTATTTAGAAATATTCTGTCTATGCGCATGAAAGATGCAGCTTGAAAAATCTGTGAAAAATGAAAAAAGAATCACCATGTTTGCACTTTGGATGACAACTTCTTGTGCATAGTGTCATTACGGTATTGCTTAATTTACAGTGTCCCCAGCTAGCCCATTTTTCGCACTCTTCTTTTTCATCAATGCATTTAACTAAAAAGAAAAATTTGATTACTTGAACTTGTACGAATAAAATAGTTTCGAAGTTTCTTTTGTTCAGGCATTAGCCAACTGTATTCTGAGGTGCAATAGTTTCTTTGTATTAAGATACTCGGCTAAAACCTTTTTGTGACAGCACTACAATAATGATTAAAACAGATTTGGATTTCTAGAACGGAAAATATTGTGTAAACTCGCACTTTACTGGTATTTTATCTTCTATTTGCTCGTTATATCGATATATAACAAAATCTTAAGTACGGCAGTTAGGGCTCATAACAGAATTAGAATTGAAAGAGTGAAATGTTTCGTTTTGTATAAGGGTACAATATTTCGTTTTGTGATAAATAATGTTCTGAACAGCCAATTCCTATAGTGCGAAGAAGTGTCTGTATAGGAATGGATCTTCCTAGATAGTTGATGTTATGACGACGTGAGTTTTGAGGAGAAATTTATAGCATTTTATCTTCTCCATCACTGGGCATGCTCAGTAACGTTTAACTTTTCAATTTCACGCAAGAAAATGCTAAGGACGTTTCAGTGCAGAAATTAAGAAATAGTTAAGAAAATCTGAAGACTGAGCTGAGAAAATCTTTCTTTTTAAAGGTGTATGCTCAGGTTAGTGTTCTGTGAAATAGCATTGATATAAACAATCAGGTTATCGATATAAAATATGTAATCCACTCTTAATTAGGATAACTGCTCTTAATTTTAATTAAAGTCAGATAAAAATGTTTTCATTTACCAAACCAATATTTGTCAAAACATTATCTTTTTATACAATGTTTGTGCAACAATCAATTATCTTGTGTCTGAACAAACTATTCGATTCATATTGTAAACTATTTCACAAAGCTTACAAAAACATGTTAATTTTTCACCAGCGAAAAAGAAAATATTTCAGTGAAAGATTTCAATGGAATGGGAGGAGCATTCTTAAGTTTGGAACAAATTTTCTGTTTCCATACCATTTGTTAGACATTGCGGTGCCTTGCAGCTGTGCTCGCAATTTTCTCTCACGTGCAATGACGTCAAGCAATATCCATATCTAGCCCATGATCCGCAACTAGGCAATTTGTCATCACAGTCTAAAAGCATTAATTTAATTTCAGTTATAGATATAGCAAAGAGCGAGGAGCAGTTTTTTGAGTATAACAATGTCAAAAACCTGTAATTTCGGCAACTGTATTTCTAATAATGTAAAGAGAAGAAGCAAGAAATTCCAGTCGCAGATAATTGGAATTTTCCTCTGCCTAAAATTTAAAGAGCATTATAGTTCCACAAAACAAGTTTAAGTTCCTAAAAAATCCTAATGCTTATTATGACGTTTTTTCTCTTTGTTAGGGAAGTTAAGATCAAAGTTACAATGTTAGGGATTATTTTCACTGCATCTCCTTCCCCCCCCCCCGAACAATGTTGTTTTATGGAATGTCAGGAGGTTCCATGTAGTCCAATGAATTCTTTTCAGATAGCCATGATATTTAACTCTACAACTAACATTTTTTGGAGGGAGATGGTGAAGTGTCGGCCGCAACACTCAAGCAACTAGGCGTTCTAAGGGCTTTTGGCAGGGATGGTACCTATGGTCTAGGAAGATCATGCTTATTGTTATGATTATTAGGATAATTTGTCTATGGGCAATGCCTTTATAAATTATATCTCATTCACTATATATTTCATTTATTAAGTTTTTGTAATTGTAAAAACAGCATGCATTAAAAAAAGGAAAAAAAGAACTTTCTGTTGGCTTTGCATTGCGAAAAACCTTACCTCCAAAAGCTCTCTTTCTTCTGACTTTCTTTTTAGCTTTCATGGAAAATGCAGATAGTTTCGGTAAATAAAAAACCTAATGCAGAACAGTCTACCATATGTACAGTATTGCGAAGAAGGCGACCAGTTAAATAATAGTGCAGTAGTGAAATTTAACATCACATGAACGGAGAGTGAGAGAGATGACGTCAAAAAATTTTCTGTAGAATTCTTAAATCTGACAAACGAGCAGAAAAACAATGTGAAATACCGCTAAATATGCAAAGCCAGTTAAATATGTTTCTCGAGATGGTTAATAAAGATCAAAGGTTTGCTAATCGACTTCTGCTATGTTTTCCTGATTCACAATCATAGTTGTTCGATATGAAAGGAGCAGGTACTCATGACACCAGATATCAGTGTGATCTTACACATTTCATGGTGTTTATTTAGGTTATGTGTTACAAATAAAAAAAATGCCAAAGCTATATTTTTATGACGTCATCACTCTGTATAAACTACACCAATAAAAAGCTTGTTACGTAGCAGGTTATACCAGGAAGAAAATCTATCTTCATTGAAAGAAAGAAAACAGTGAAACGTAGAAAAAACACATGCTTACAACATTTGTAAAGCAAATTCGTTTGTATTGCATCAATTTCACTGACAAACGCATATGGTTGTTGCTTAACTGGCTTCAGTGGCGTAATCGTTGCATTACCATTCGTCGAAAATGCGTCCCACGAGTAGTGCATGATCGAACTGAAGTCATAAGGGTGTCCCAATGAGATCGAGTCTTTCTTTTTACGGAATTCAACTTTCTTATCTAAGAAAAATTGCGAAAAGCAACATCACGAAGTAAGCTCTGAGAATTTATTTCGATATGTTCTCTTTAGCAATGCATGTATTTTTGTAACCTTATTGTAATTATACCCACTTAAGCTTTTGGATCTTTTGTAGCTGTATGTACATAATTTAATGCTGAGAATATCGCTTTAGCCTCCCCCCATCACTTTTTGCAAAAAATGCCAAATATTAAGTATCAAACTACCAGAAAAGCCTCTTTTTATACGGTTTTAGCCCCCCCCCACTTTTTAGACCCCCCACTTTTCTCAACGCTCCGCGGTGCCTGAATATATATGAAAGAAATAAATCTAGGTAAATGTCATTCTAAGTTGAGTGCAAACTTTCTTAATTATTTATTCCAAATAACTTGTAAATTTTTTACAGATGTAGTCATTTTTAAGCCTATAAAGATCTAGGCTTCCACTATGCAAATCTTTCAACATCATGGGCATCCTAAACATCACGATTACTCGGCCCAGGCCCCATTGCTGAAAATTGAAGCCATTCTTTTGCCCAATCAATGTTGGACCCTTTGGCTAAGCATCCTTTAAATTTTCTAAAATTATAATCATCGGATGCTCTCTTTTGGAAGTTTTGCACCAGCCGGTAAAAAATCCTTTACAGATGGTTTGAAGTTACGAGAAGTTTTGCTTTGAACCAACTCCTGAACAGACTTTATTCAATAAGAATACATGGTGTGACTTGATTTACCCTAAGGCTAAACCATCAGCACACATGACAAGTGATAAGTCAGTTTTACAACACCAATTCCGAACAAAAGTAACTACCTAATGCTCCAACCATTTATTGCAGTATTTCTCTGGGATGGATTACTTGGGATGTATATATAGGGAAACTTTATCTACGCAAATATTTGACAGCTGCTTAAAAATGCACACCTGGTCAGCATAAATATGTTAGGAAGTTGGTGTTAAGAAGTAGCTTCATCTGCAACGCCATGAAGGGATGCAGGCGTGCAAATCCCCATTATTGTATCCATGACAAAATTTTGGAATTCTTAGTCGTGAAAAATGATCAAATTAACAATATTAGTGTGGTTTTAGAGGATTTTCATTTCAAGGAGGTCAAAGAACAAATACACATTTGGTTTTTCATGGTATTCTAACGTTTTTCACATAAAGAAACTTTGTTATGTACTAAGTAACAAGCATTTCCTTTGGCAAAATCTCAACCTGAAATGGAAATTAATTCCGCTTTCTTGGAATTTTAGTTTTTTGCCCGCTATTGAGCTAAACTCAGGACACCTTACCTTGATTTCCAAACAATGAATTTTCACTTACGTTCAAGGATATTGTCCCATTTCACATCAATGTACTTGTCCCTGTCCATTCTGGTTTGCTCGTGGTAAAAGCCAATTGCATGGCCAATTTCATGGGCCACTACATATCGAAAGTCACATAGATGTCCCACAGATATTTTGTTTTCCCCTCCAAGGCGTCCAACGTCACCCCAACAGCTATGTAAAAAATCAGCCAAATTCAGAAAAAAACGACTTAAGAATTTTCAACATTGGCTTTACACACCAGTGGCGGAATTTTGGGCGCGTGTGTGCAGGGGTTGAAATACAGCTTATAGCGCTATTGTCGGTAAATTTGCATATTTTTGTGGGTTTTGACTTCCCCTCCCCCCCAACCTGAAAAATGAATTTCCGCCACTGTTTTGCACATTATGAAAGCCATTTAAAATAAAGTAAAATATCAGACTCGTGATAAAGTTGTCTTAAATTCAATATTTTTCAGAGAATAAAACCAGCTAAAATACATGTAGGAATGATTGCAATAGCTGCCACTAAACGAGCCATGATTATCGAGTCTAGGTGTGACACAGTTTGTAACTGTATTTAATATAAGTCGTACTAAATATTCATAGCATATTTTTATAGCAATCCAATAAACACACAGTTACTAAATAATCCACTTTATTTACTTTGGGATTTTTTCTGTGTGAACTATAAATACACTACTTTGCTATTTATTTCTTCATTATATCTTTTCATTTTAATTCATTTAGGCCAATTTGAAAGCAGGGAATTTTGTCATTTGATTTTTGATGATGACACAAACTCTTGCACTACTTTTAATAGAATAGGTACAAACATGTCTCCTTGTTAGAACCCAATCGTGAGGCAAATATCTTTGTTCACGACATATGAGTAAATAGTAAGCATAAGATTTACTTGCAAATCTAAATCTACTTTAAATAATTACCTATTATCTCTAAAAAAAGTGAGATAGTCCTTCTCATTTGTATGATTCACGAATCGAATGCAGGTTTTTTTCTGCCATTCTTCCATTGCTTCCTTGATGGCTGAGATCGTCGAAGGTAAGTTCTCTGCAAAGGAAAAGACAATCTTTCTTACACCAATTATCATGTATGAAACCTAATACTACATAAGTAGGTAGTTGGCAAATACACAAAGGTGGCCGTTACCTCAAAATCTTAGTAGATCCAAAAACAAGCAGGACTTGAAAAAGAGAGGCAATAAATTACATGTGGATCAATGCACCAGTGTCGTTGGGTGACTAGCTGATCTCTGATAGAAACATGCATCTTCCAGCACTTTTACTTGCAAACCCTTGTAGAAGGCTGCCGTTATTTTGCTCGCCAAAAATATCGTCATTTGTCTTGCTATTTTCAAAATGATAGTTTGATAGTCATCCCCAGAACCAGGGTCCCAGGACGATTGAAACTTTCGTTAAAATCCTGTTGGAATTGTCTAATCATTTGTTTCAAATTTGTTTCTAAAATTACTACTGTACCCGTCGGCCCATTCATTTTGTAAAATTGTCCCAACCCCTTCGTTCATCACCTTTTCGGGTTTTGGATCTGTTAAAGTACGCTTTTAAAGAATATCGCAAGCCAGTTATAATAGTCGAGCGTAGATATCATCGCGAGATATTGCTATGCATGGATCATTGGAGAATCGTTTATATTTCAAAGGTGCAAGGTGCGAGATTGGCTAAGTGGTCGCGGACCAAAGATCCAAGGGCCTGGGGTTCAGTCTCTGAATTTACCCGACTTCACTCAGAGTAAGCGGAGTCGTGAGGTCACATTGAGCGGAAGGACCAGGAAACTGCTTCATAAGCATAGCTTCTCGGTATCCTCAAAGAAGTATCTTTTAAAAAAACTAGTGATTTTACCTAAACTGCAGTCAATCTTGTATGGGATGATGGCATTTGGCCAGAGGTTTGAAGCCACATTCCTTCTTTTTCTCCTTACAGATCTCCTATTCTTGCCCTTCATTCCAAGAACATAATCCAGTTGTGATCTTGTGAGCCTCATATCTCCTACAAAACTCTTTCTGAACCCATGTTCTACAACATCGTCTAAAATTTAAGCAAAATCAAAGCATCAAATAATGTACAACATCAAACAAACTATTAATTAACAGTCCCATCGGAACAATGTTATATTGGCGTAAAAACGACAGGTTTGTTGCGTTTCACATAAATAGAATATATAAATTGGTTGAAAAATCTCTACAGAAATTGCAAGGGAGGGGTTTTTGCATTTCACACAATACCTACCTAGCATATTTCAGGTAGAAGACCGTAAGAAAGCACAAGAAGTGAAGGATGGAATGTGAGTGAGGACTTAAAGATATGAAATAAGATATCAAAAAACCTTGAGGCCCAAAAGTGAAATATTGTGGCTACGCCAATGAAAATTTTATCTATTCTATGATGTTTAAATCAAATCATACGTGACCAACCCCGTTTGCAAGACCAATAAACCTAAAGTGTTTCGCAGTTTTGATTTCGAATGGGGTCTCAGTCTTGTTTTCGATAATAATTGTTTAGACTTATCAATAAATAAGACACACTTGAGTTGAGTACTGCAGTTGAGTAGAATTATGTAACATGTGATGTTACTGGCTGTTTTTCAGCAGAACAAGGAAACAATAAATCAAAGAGCCTATGATCAAACCTTTGCTAGTTGAAGGAATGCCTTTGGTAGAAGCGAGAAATGATGTAATGCAAACCAAAATTAGTGCAGCTCTGAGCTCCATCTGCAACGAAAGCAGAATCGTCATTATACATTACGTTCGTTTCTGGATAGTCTCTGCTGGTATGCTTCTTTCTAGCTTAGTTCAACAATCGTAAGCCGTTTGTACTTCTGTTTTTCTATAAACATATGTTGAAGACTCTTTTAATTACTGAAAGAACATTTAATAAAACCAAAATCTCTTTCATGTTTTCATGATTAATTTCAAGGTGAAAGCGATCATGATTTAAGGAACAACTGGCAATAAGACGGGATATTGTTCAGGATAATTGTTCAAAGATAAGAACGATATGAAATGACGATGTAGCAGGATCAGTTAAACAGTAAGGTCTTTGTAATGCTGTCATGTTTGGTCTGCTTCACGTTAACGTGACCGTTATTGTCATCCGGAAAAATATTGAATTGCAAGTTCTTAAAAAAACCACTGACGGGCTTAGTCGAAGCTGAGATTGCATGGAATGATTTCGTGACTGGAGAGAGGATCTTGTAGCATGTACGGGTGTTAACACCTTTGTGAAACATGCCCGGTGAGTTGGTTTCCTCACGGGGGATAGCAGGCAAAAATGATAGGGGGCAACCATTTTTTTCTTGGACTGGCAGAGGATGGGTAAAGTTTGGCTTGGCATTTGGTTACCCAATGAGCCTCAACGAGCACTGTTAAAGAAAACTTTAGACTTGACCTCAAAAGGCGATAAAACTTCTCGAAGAGGGAACTCGAGACTGACTGGGGACAGCTTGCAGGGGACGTTGGGAAAGGGAGATGTCCGGGTCATATTTCATTGTTCGAAAGAAGACTCTCCGGTCAGGAAATTTCTCACCGGGACGGTTTTCTCAACAGGAGTGTTTGTTAGGTTACAAGTCTTTAATTACATGGAATGATTTCATATCTGGGAAGGGTCTGTTATTATACGTGAAACGTTGCCCATCCCAGCTACCTATTCGTGACTGCAACACATTTTCCTGCAACACTGCTCCATGAATCATGTTTCCTGAGACGCTTTTGGAAACTCAAGTTTAAAATTCAATTAGAATTCAAACATGGGTAGCTTTAAAACCATATCGGTTTGTTTTCTACAAATAACTGTAACGATATTGCACGGCCTCCACTGCACAACTTCTGACTGGCTAACTAACATCACGTGATTATTTGTAGGCCGATAGGATCAGCATAACCTATCATAGGCTACAGCATTTTCTCCTTTAAATGAAGGTTATTTTGGTACACGGAGAAAGATTCAGAAAACATCTTTCGCGCAAACATTTGTCGTCACTATTTCTTCTCGTCCAGATACTAGACGAAACGGTTATGGGTTGATTTTTTCCCTTGTAATTTCTAAATTGACCAGTTCACATAGAATTGAATTGTATCAAAATAAGACAAAAATGGGATTTTGCCAAGTCCGGGGTTTGGTTTCTACCGCTGATTATGTTTGTTTGACAAGTTATTTTTATGACAATGCTGAGGTCCTAATAGTTTTAAGATAACACATGTTGGTGGTGGGAAGGATCATTATAATCTTGATAAAATTAGTTGCAAGATATTTTTTGGTCTATTTGCCAGCAAAAGAAACGTTAAATATAGTTCATGGCTTTTGTTTCAATATAATCTTTGAAATTTTACAGATAGATTTTTTTGCTAGTCTTATATTCTTTTTGAAGGCACACATTTTTTCAAGAGATTGTTATCAGATAATGATATTGTCAAAAGGAGTAAAGATACATGAAAAGTGAAGGGCATTTTAAACCTACAATATTAATAACTTCAAGCATTCATTCATCAATTTTACTTGTGACCTCTCGCCCCTTACAGAACTGGTAACGGCAACTGGTTATAAAAGGATTTCGAAAATAAACAGGGTCTTTGCCTTAAGACATGTGGAGATGGAGAATATCTCTTCATTTTAAGAGAAGCTATTTGACCTAAAAAAAACTCGTCTTAGAATCGTGAAATTTGGGGGTAGAAATTTTGAATCTAGGGAGAAGCCCTTGACGCCTCTTGTTCGCTTATACAAACAAATCTATCAAAAAGATAAATAAAATTATGATGGACTGTGTTACAAAGCAGGCACCGCGCAGCCATTAGGCTAGCAGGGGCTATAGCCCCCTCCCACTTTTTCGCAACATTAGGCTAGGAAATGTTTTGAAAGGTTTACTCTAACGCAACTTTGGATAGTTAATCCTCTGTAGTAGCAGTTCTTCTTAGCTGGAAACCTTTTTTGGTTAATTTTCTAGGTGCTATATCTTGTTTAATGATATTATCATTTTCTAACTTTGTTAGCTTGGTGTTTTATTACCCTCAAACTAATTCTATCTATTTTTATAGTCATTGATATTATCTCTGAACCACACTGTTTATAAAAATGGAGTAGAAATAAGCAGGTATTTTCTAAAAGGGGCGTCTTCCGGCGTTCTAGAGGACGTAGCCTCAAAAGATTTCGGGCAAACCCATTTCGTTCCCTCCAATACACCCGCACACCCTTTTAGACTGGTGCGCGGTCCCTCTTACAGAGTCTCTATTTTGCAACTGTGTGGACTTTATGGTTTTATTAATCCTTCTCATCAAACTCTGGATAGTTTCATGTGTTCAATTTTAGATATCGAAAATAGCTAACTGTCTTAATCTGTTCAGAATAGTGAAACCACGAGCAGAGTATTTTTGGCACACGTAGATATCCTCTTAAATAATTGTTCTCTGCACAGGATCTGGGAACAATTTCGTGTCAGAAGCGGTATTTAGCTCAAGCAGGTTTGAAATTTTGCAGGGGTTACAATTTGCCCAAGGGTTTGCCGTTTGTGAACCCGAAAAGATATTTTTGTATACAGGGAAACAGTCTTCACTGTTGCATAAGTTTACTTAAATTGTATTCGCAGGTTTGCAGGCTCCCAAGTGTCTTTTTAGTAATATGATACATCATTATCATACATTACGCTTTAATTGGTGTGGTCAATTCTGGCCTTTTCCAGCAGAAATTGTGAAGAAATTCCATCGATTTATATAAACTTCCTCTTAGGAACACAAGGAACACCTCAAGGAACAAACAAATTTTAGATGGAAAGAGCAATACTACACAGTGTGTACCCAATGGTCAATATTTTACTTAACCTAATAATTAGCAAAGGACTTTTTAAGGCAAAAAATATTAGTTTTTGTTTGAGTTTGGAAAATTATTTAAAAGGGTTTTGCGTGGAAATATTTACTACGCTTGCGCAGTGTATTTTAACGAAAATTTTTGATTTTGCCTTTTTATGTACACTTTGGCCTCAGCTGGTCATCTATCTGGCCTTCTTACGTAACTCCCATCTGGCAACCCTGTCCCCGATCTTAATTGATAACAGACAACAAGGGACAGTAAATATTATGCCGTTTCTGTCTACTTCCTGTATGTATGTATTACGCACACACTACGTTTCAATGTGATTTTGACAAAATATAACAAAGCCAACTTACCAGGCTGGACCTGATCGATAAAAGCTCGACAGCTTCTTGAATCCAAATTTAGACTCTGCTTACAATACAGAAAAACTGTGTATGCCAAAAGCATCAACTAACGGTTATAATATATCTTCAGGCAATGATTGGGAAGTGTTGTGGTGTGATGGCTTAAAGCACACGATTATCTTTCTGACCTTCGTCCGGAACAATTACTATTCTGTCTTCAATTAGTTTCTTGTTTGTTTTCCTCGACCAGCATGAGCCACACGCATTCATGCGCCATCCTCCTGGTCATTCTTTTGTCTATAGGCCAATATCATTTTCACAGTTCCGATAGGCCATATTTATATAAAAACAATGCATCTATAATACTACATGGTTCTGTTTCAAGCTGCGAAAACAGTTCTTTCTTAACATGCTGTTCTTCTTTATGAAGGTGAATTCACTTTTGGAGGTCATCGATCATGCGATGAAGTTGATTAAATTCATTTCATTGTCATTGTTCAATTAGGTGTTGTTATTGTTGCTACTAAAATCATTGTTATTAGATGACGACCATCTCGGCTTAGTTTAATGATCTTATCATTCTCGAGAAAAAGTTACTCCGCTCTGACCGCTCCGATTGCAATCTGCTGAACTGAAACTCTAACTTAAGGGTTTTTATGCTCCTCTTTTACATTTCGAATCAATTGACAATGTGTCATAGTCGCAAGAAGGCTAACCTGCTATTTGTGTAGGCTTGCCAATTAATGTAACATCACTTAACCTGTACGGATTTGCTGTTATCTAGTCATCTAATTATCTAGTCACTGTTATCGTGCTAACATGCCTTGTTAGGTAAGAGGGATTTTGCTAGGATTTGGAATATGATTGAAAACTTAAATAAACCAAAAAGTTTGTTTTAAAATGCGGGAGAATTCTGTTTTGATGCGTGTAAGCGTGAGAAAGGACCGAAATGCGTGTGTCTCACGCAAAATGCGTGACTTGGTAGGTCTGATTCTGTGACCATAGCCCACAATATAGTAGCGTAAGCAAAATGCTCGCCACAATTTGGGCTGAGGGGGCAGTGGCGGCGCCAGCTACTGCAGAGTGGGAGGGTAATGGGTGTTGCCCGTGAGACTACGCCCTATTAGCCTCGCTTCAGTGCTTTGTATCAGGTCAAATTTCCTTAGGAAATATGATCTACCCCCACCTAGTGTTTTTAATCCGTTTCTAGACGAAATATGTAGACCATGTTTCGACAAAAGTGGGGGGGGGGAAGGTAATTAGCCCCCCCCCCATATACCACCCCTTGGCGCCGCCACTGAGAGGGAGTAAGAGAAAACTTTCTTCACATTGCTGGCCCCTCCACTTTCGGATTAGTGGCGCTGGCCCTGAGAGACTTGTAACAGGATTGATTGTCATCAGTTGTTCGACTTCCTTCCAGGTCCAGCGGAGCACAGCAAAAGCTCTTTATTTCTGGAAATGCGGAGGAGATCTTTGAGACATCTTATTTGAAGTAGCACTTGTAAACAATTTCCATGGTTTCCAAGTTGAGAATGACTACACTGTGTTAGAAAAATAATGAAAGAAGAGAAACAGCCAACCCTAGGTGAAGTGAACGCAGCGAATCCTGTCGAATTTAGTAGAGATGTGCTTGATGACAATAAAGCTACATGGGAGCATGAAGACCTTGCAAAGGTTTGGTCATTATTAATTTCCGTTCAAATGAAGATACATTTTTCAACACTCACGGTCACCTCTCAGATTATAATTGTGGAATTCACCTTAACCTGATATCAGCAGGTGCATGATTCAAAATATACCTGTAATTCACACAAAAATAATATTTTGCTACAATCATCCTTCAATAAATCCAGGTTTTCTTCCCAAAATCACATGTAAGAAATTGTAAATTTGGAAGCTTAAGCTACTCTTTCTTAGAAACAACCAAGTGTATATAATTGCAAATGTAGAAAAAAGTGTGCTTGTAATTGGTAAGGGGGTATCATTTTCAGAATAAATGTTGTAATTGGCAAGGGGGTACCATTTTTAGAATCAACAAGATGCAAAAAATGAGCAGGGGTATCACAATTTTCATTAACCTTTTGTATGTGTCTCTGAATGTGACCACCATTTAATTTGGTACTTTTCCACTGGCATATTAGCCATGTGCGACTTAAAGATATTGCCTACTCAATCATCTTGACATTGACTTAAATTCATTGACTGCTCATATCTCAACAAAACTCCCATGCACCAAGACAACACAATAAGAAAGAAATGTCAAAAAGTGATAAAGTGTAAAAAGCTTTTGTCAATATTTTCATCAATTTAATTTGATTGCCTTTGGGCTAGATGAGCTCTTTGGCTTTGCAATTTTCACTACTTTGATTTCTTCATTATGATATCACGATTTTGATATTAAGTTCTGTATAGTTATATACTGAGAAAGGCAGCTTGGACAACTTCAAATGGAATTTTACATTCAATAACATCATATAGAACAGATTTTTCATTTTCAAAAAGAGCTTCAGCATATAGTTTATTTTTCAAAGCAGTTGAAACCAATGTTTTGGTCAGCAGTACCATAAAGGGAGGCCTTGGGGGACTAAGTCACCTTGTTGAAATCAAGAGAGAGTTTTGGGGTTAAGCCCCCTCCTAACAAGGCAGTAAATATTTGGCTTAGTATATTCCTTGCTTGACAATCTTGCTAAAGGGGGGCTGGGGGGCTTCAGCAAAATATATCTTAAGCTAATATATCTGAAAGTATTTAAAGCTAATCTAGTGAGCATGGTCACATAAATTTTCTTTTCTTTTCTGAAAAAAGGCTTACCTGGATCCCAGACAGCCTCTTGCCAGCCCTTTAATGTATTGCTGATGGAAAGAGTACCACATAAAATCATAGGCATAATATACCATCAAGTCTCAAGAGTTGATTTTTTAGTCAAGTAATGCTATTAACTCGAGCCCCCCTCCCCTCCTGTCCACTTTGAATTTCTTGGTGCCACCCTTGATTTTTCAATCTATTTCCATTAATGAGTAATTTTAATTAGCCTTTGAGAGTCATTGAATAGTTTGAATGATTTCATATACAGAACAGAGATTCTTTTGCACAAATGCAAATGTAGGATCTGAGCATGGGTGTTGTTTGGTTTTTAGAGGTTGCCTAGAGCACAGCTCCCCTTCCTACCTTTTTTGGGTAGTAACCCTGGTTTTAGTTACATTTACATGCAATGTAAGGATATAGTTGTCTTATACAGGTTCAAGTACTTGTCTTTCATGGCCATGACAAAGGCGTAAATTCATGCTGCTTCATGGATAATGATGAAATCCTGATTAGTGCTTCAGATGATCACACAGTAAAGATATGGGCAAGTTCTTGTTTGGTGTCACTTGTTTTGTTAATGTTTAATGCCAAAGGTGAAAAAATATGGTTCTGTAATGCAGAAAAGATTACACTTTCTATATGCCATTAGCTATTATCTAAAGATTGATTTTATGCAATTAAGTCAATATTCATTTTTCAAGAATTAGACTGACCAATTGTCACAAAACTGGCATCCAATGAGTAATTGACCCCAATGACCCCTGGTATACATTACTGAAGAGGTGCTTGGTATCTGATTTTTTGCATAACACTATATTTTGAATTCTTGCAGTAACAAATTGTGACTTGAATCAAAAGTGGTAATTTACTTCATAATTCCTAGCTTCTTAACATTTTGCAGTTTTGTTACATGTTTGTATGTTCTAAAAGTTTGAAAAATGGTACTTAATCCAGATCATTAGTAAAATATTTGTAGTTAAAATATTTCATCAGCTCATAGAAAAACAACATTAAGTTTTTTTAATATTTCCTGACCACTTTTTGTGTTGAGACTAGGTTAGGGTTCAATAAAGCAGAGACCCAATCCAGGTTTTTGCTCAGGCAGCAAGCTTATATTTAGTTCAGGTTTTGCTCAGGGCTTATTTCCTGAAAAGGCTACAAAACTCATAGACAGCATAGAATTTTGTAACTTTGGCACACATGAATCATCAACACTTCCCATAAACTGCCCCTCTTTCAGATTTGTTTTTTCTTCTTCACTTAGAGAGAACAATCTTCCCAATAATGTTGAAGCCTTTTGTGAGGAAATAGGATAAGTTTATTAAAGTTGTCTTCAATTCTTTGCAGAATCGAAAAAAGCAAGAAAATGTTGGAACCCTCTCTGGTCATGATGGCAAAGTAACTTCCTGCCGTGCATCATTTGATGCTAGAAGGTATAAACATGATGTTCGTTAATTTTGGTTTTCAACTAATTTTTAGCAGTTTTAGGCTCAAAACTATACTTATTGGATGCAAGTTTGTTATAAGAGAACTTGACAAGACAGTAAAAAGACACCTGGTTCAAAACCTAAACGACTTTCCTCTCCTTTCAAATGGTTCCTTTACGTATTCAAAACTTTCACTTTATTCATGTAAAGAAATGCCTCTGAAAAAACCCTAAATATGACAATTTTTTCCCCAGGATTGCTTCGACAGGTTGGGACAATCATGTCATTGTTTGGGATACTATCACCGGAAAACCATTGGTATAAGTTACTTCTGAAGTTTTATTCTTATTTAGAAGTATTGTGCTGCCGGGAGAACAAGAGTGAGGCTCTAACAAGAATATCAATAAACACTTAAGAAGGAATAAGTTGACACCTTTTGCCCCAAACAAGGAGGATTAAGCCCCCTTCCTAGCCTTATAACTTTGCAACCTTTGATTAAATTTTGTGTTGATTGATTAATTATTGACTTATGATTGATTATGAGGCACACATAAAAACACTTTCATTCGGTTTTTATATACATATCTATGATGGTAGATATTCATTATTACACGAGAGAACAAAGTTAAAGAGAAGCCTCTTCTTTAACAACCCTCATTTGCACAAATTTTCGTCAACTTGAATAATCCCAAAAGCACGGTATCTAAGCAAGTCCAGGGCCGGCGAAACGTGTTTGAAAGTGGATGGGCCAAAATATGAAAGTCTTGAAAGTGATCAATAGGGCTGCCACCATGATTGGCGGGAAGAAAATAGTTGGGATATTTATTTGTAAAAGTGTTTTTAAAGAAAAGACTCTAGATTTGAAAAACTTTGAAACCGGGCATATCAAAACGAGTTTTAATAGAATTTACAATCGGGTCAATAATTTTCTTAGTAGGAATGAATTAGTGATCAAACTTTGAAGTTTTCTTGATGATACTTTTTAAGAACAAATGTGCCCGTTCTTTATTTCTCACATTTTCAAAATTTACATTGCAGCTCTTTCTTTTCCTTTAACAACTGATTTCTCTCTTTTTGTAATGTTTCTGAGATAGTTTTTGTTAACAAACAGACCTTGTTTGCCAAGATTAGGCCATGGCAAATAACGAAAATCCGTCAATTTGTGCTGGCACCAAGTTATTCTGGATCAGGTTTCTAGATCTATTTCCTAAACCAAGCTGTTACTCGTTGTAAAACTTGGACAATGACCGATTTCTCCGATCAAATTCCAATATTTAATTTTATATATGTCTTCTCTGGTAAAGACATAGCAACAAAGCTAAAGCTAAAGTCATATTTAAGAAATTACTAAGCACAGTTACTTAGAGAATGATATGATATATTTCTTTCCATTTTTGCTTCAAAAGTTTCTTTTACTCTCCAGAAAAATAGGGGGGCATGCCCCCGGCCCCCCAGTTTTGCCGGCCCTGATTAGTCTCATGTTTCGTATAACATTTTTAAATGACAGAGTCAGTGATGCTATTTCAAAGAGTTTCTTATAACAATCTGCTCAAGTGACGTAATTAAGGTACTTGTTTCTGCGATTAATTGGCAACACTTTTCTGGAGAAGCAAAAACCAGGCCCTGTGACGTTATGACCCTGTGAAACCTATAACACTTTGATACTTGACATTAAAGTAACTTAAGCGGTAATCAATACTTCCGCACATCTTGCTCCAACTGTTTTTACATTTTTTAGACCGAGCGATGAAATTTTTTTACGATTTTTTACCAGCAAAAATTTGATAAACTTTCAAGAGACTTATGTCGTAGAACTTCAGTACTGAAGATTTGTAATGGTCTTTCTTATTGTAATTCAGAAACTACGTTCTGTAAGCAAAGTTTACCCTGGAACTTGAACATGCAAAATTCTCTGCCTTTAAAATGTCAGCTCGTCAACCGTTGCTCATAGTTTTTGTGTTAAAAGTAACATTGAAATATAGCGCTGTAGTCTATTTCTCTCAGTTGAAATTTAAAAATTTTTTCTTTTAGTGGACTGGAATCCACGATGGAATTGTCACAACATGTGACTTTTCATTCGACGGGAAATACGTTGTCACCGGTAACGATCTTGAAAATGCTCTCAGAGTTTGGGATGCATATAACGGAAAGCTTATCAAGACAATGAATTGTAAGCATTTTTATAGTTTGCTTCTCCCTCCGAACTATTCTGCTTGAAGGGCTAACACAAGCAGATTCAAAACAGAAAATATGGACTGAAGTCGAATATGGTTAATATAGGTGTAAATTTAAATTTAGAACCATTAGAATTTCCAAATGAAAAAGCCATTTTGGAGGGCTCGGAAGTTTTAGGCCTTAAATCAGCTGGTCCACCGAGTACTTGCCAATTTAATGGCACCCTAAATACAGATCAGAAACGCAGGCTGATATGAAGACCTTTTAAATGAATCTTTTCAAGTCCTATTCCTAGGGTTGTAAAATGGCCAATCACAGAATGTTCAATTAAGTTGCTGAAACTAGGTTACCGATGTTTGATTGGAGTTGAGCCGCTTAAGATTTCAGTGTAATTGAATAGCCGTATCGGCTAAAAGCTACAAGCCATATATCCTTGCTTTTGAAAATTGATAAAGTTATCAAAGCGTTAAAATGGATATTTGAACCATCAGTAATCAAACTTTTTATGAAGAAAGATGAACATTTGTGTTTGATATCAACTGAATTTTTTTTCTTTAGGCCACCAGAATACAGTCACGTGCTGTCGTTTCTCAAAAATGACCTACCGGTTTTGCAGCACCTCGATGGATCAAACAACACGTGTTATTGATTTGCAGAATTACCGTGATGATATATCTCCACACCAAGTACTTAGATTGGGGTAATTTCACGATTTTCTCTTTGAAAGGTCATGTTATACTTTTGTGGGGTTAGCGAGAATGAGAATGGGAGGTGAAACCTCAAACCCTTTCTTTAGCAGATAGACACCTCTATTCAAAGGAGAACAACTTTCTTCCCGAATTTCTTCTTTATAGTTAAAGCTCTCTCGAAATAACTGACACCTCTCCACAGCGGACAGTTGCTTTTACTCAATAGAGGTCCATCTTGTGGAAGCTCTAATATGTCGCACTATACAGGCTAATACGAGATACTTAAAGGGGATTTTTCTATATTACTGAAGGAGGTAGTGACTGTATATGCATCTGGCGTCGCCTACGCCAAAGATGTGAAAGTAATACTGTCTCAGAGGTATTCGTTAACAATCAAGCCTCAAAAAGCTAGTTCTAATGCACGGGTTTCAGGAAAATGGGTAGTAATATGGAAAGATTAAAATTGACTAGATCTAAAGGCAGTTTACCACTTTTGTCAGGTCATAAAGCATTGCGGCCATTTAGCATACACTCTGATAGGAATTAATATTTCTTTGAAGAAAACAAATAATATAATCAATTTCAACATTTTTGCAAAACAAATTACATGATATTGTTCATAAAAGTGGCAATTACAGTTTTCTAAACATTTCATGACAACACATTCTATCTTTTTTTATTTTTCACTATTTCTAATACACAAGGCTAGATTTTCGACTACATCGTAAGTCGCACGCACTTTTTTGCATGGTGTCTTGATAGCATAGTTCTATATTTAGATAAATTGCTTTCAGTCTTACTCACTCAATTTCGATGGTGTTGGTCTTTAGATAAAAGCTTGTAGAGACATTGGGGCAAAACTTTTTTGACTTTATACATACACACCCCTGTGTAACAAGCCCGGGGAGTTTTTTCACGTGGGACAGCAGGTAAGAATTGCAGGGTCAGGAGATGGCTGAAAAAAAGGGAACTTGAAATTTACTAGGGAAAGAATCTTAGCTTGCAGGGGACTTGAGCCAAGGAAAAAAAGTTCCGGCCATTAGATTTCCGGGTCAGAAATTTGATTTTGGAGAGTTGTGAGCTTTTAGAACTTTTAACTTCTTATTAAATAATTACAGGTTTCCTTTATTCCAAGAAAGATATTTATGCAAAGAATATTCCACACTACACAGTAAACTCGGGACCTTATTGATATTGCAACGATCTTGTTAATATTTATTATGAAACATTAGCTGACAAATAATATTCCACCTTGTGATTTGTTTGACGTCCGAAATTTGTAATTGGGTAACGTTTGTATTTGCTGCAGATTTAATGTCATAAATGTTCAAACTCTGCAGCAAAAACTAGTTTTAACTTAATCAAACATAAGAATTTGATTTTAGTTGCCCCTCCAAGGATCCAAATAAAGGAGACTGCGTCTGTCCATTATAATTGTTGCGAGGGGTTTCATGTTCACTGCCCAATATAATTGTCAAACTAGATGCAGTATTAAAACATTCTTTTTAACATACAGTGGCCACGAAAACATCATATCATGTGCAGGCTTTTCTGGGGATGATCGACGGCTTTGCACAGGATCATGGGACAAGACTTTAAAAATGTGGGATGTAAATGCTGGTTCCTATAGGTTTGCGATGACTCTATTTCTAAGCCTATGTAATGTAATGTTTAACGGTGCATTCTCGGTAAAAAAATTTGCGACACACTTAAGACGATATATAAACAATATGCATGGTTTTACATTCCATGTTTGTATCTTATTGCAATCGTTATAAGGCTAGGCAGTGCCTTTAGATTCTTATTCTAATATAAGCTATGTTATGCAACTGGTCGACTAAAGGTAGCGTACGTTATCATCAAAACATGTTGAACTGCATAGGTTAATAGGACACTGCTTGAAAAGTTTTTGGACAATCTGTTATCATATACTGTGGTGTAGAGGTTTTGTAACAGCCACCGCATAAGGTCTCTGGATGTGTTCTATTTTTCATCTTATTATCACACAATAAGTCCAATATTGTCCAGCCATGCCATTGAAGGTTTTTGGAGAAAAGTTTATCACATACTGACGTGGAAGTTTTTGTAACAGCAAAATGCACTGGCAATCAAATGTTTTTTATTCTATATTATCAAGATTATTTAATTAATCGATTTCATATACAAAAAGTGATGTATTATATCAAAATTTTGTCTAACCTTTAGCTCATTGTCATAATCTTACATCACTTCTGGGAAAGTAAAATCTGCTGAAACCCCCTTCAAACTAGTATTGACATTAACATTCTACTTCTGAAGGAAAGAAGGCCCCGTCCCACTCACAGAAGGACACGAAGGATCGATCAGTTCGTGCAAGTTCAGCGATGACGGTATGAAATCAGTTTTTCTTATTTGGTATCCTTTAAGTTTCGTCGTTATTTGGATGGCGTTATCATTTTTGCTATAGTTGGCCGCAACGTGATCTTGGCAAGCCATCTAACTCTGGATTTAAGTTTTGCCAGGCACCATATTTTTGCTAATTCACAGCTTCTATTTTTATGCAAAAATCGTTCTTATTTTAAAATCATTAAGATCAACATGGGGGTTCCCACCTTTCATGAGCGTTTTATGCAGTTACATGAAGGATCTTATTGCGCTAGGTAACAAAAAGGTTTATGTTTATGAAAAGCAGAGAGCCCGTCAAGTATCCTTGTAGGACGCATATAGGTGGACAGCACGTCTAACTTTCGCTGCACAGTGTTAAGGTTGATTGCTTGCTGCTTTGTAAAGCTTTTTTCGGCAACGCACAAATGCCAAACTTCAGACACCAAAATGTACGATATATAACAAGCCGTGACACCAAGCAACGGCTCTACCTTGTATGTTCAACAGCAGTTCGCATAATAGACAACTTCTTATCCATCTTAAATAGCATCAAAAGTGTTTTTTTCATTCTCCAGGGCTACTCATTTGCTTATGCTTGATTCTTGTCCATTTAATTTTCCTAATAATCACACTCTTAGTGAAGTAGTTTCCTCTCACCTGACGATGATGATATAAATCATATTTTTCATTCATTTTCTTTCATGCTGTGTTTACATAAGATTGAACATTACAGGGTTTTTTAATCTTTTATCAGGGACTGTTCTTGTTTCCGCTTCCTATGATCAGACTGTTACGATATGGGATGCAGATCTGGCTTACAAGAAGTTCTCTTTACAGGTGATCTTTGCTCATATAAACAAAAAACCTATGGTATGAACACTCATTGACAGTGAACACTTACAAAGGTCATTTTTTGAAAAGTGAACTAAATCATCAGTTTTTTGGAGAATCTGATTGAAAAGATCTTAAAATTTTATTGCATCAAAGCTCGCCAAACGATACCGCCAATCAAATCTTTTTCTCCTTGCTTAAATTTAGCATTGAACTCTTCCTATGTCCCGCAATAAAAATTTGTTAAAGCATTGAAATAGTAATTATTTAGTTCATTTCCTTTTAAGGACCTGGTTCATTTAGCAGAAGATTTGTAATAAAGTTCTTGATCTATATTGTATTAACGGCGGGTCCGTGGTTTGTAACTGATAGGCGCATTCGTGATGGTGTGTTGTGCCGTATGCATCCTGTCATCATCCTTTGAAACAATGTGCATTAAATAGCGGTATCACTGAAAAATATTTAAAATTTTGGATAATTTCCTTTGAAATGAATAAACCGGTTTCCTTAATCAAATTATACATTATGTATATGTAGGATCGAACGTCGTTACTTAACTCTGTATTGCACGTTGCAAAAAGTTTTCATTTTCTGATCTTATTGCCCTTCTAGCTAACACTCTTATCAACTTCCTTTGCATTTTCAGGGCCATACAGGCTGGGTCACTGATTGCGATCTCAGTAAGAATATGGCACTTGTTGCCTCATGTTCGAAAGTAAGCATATGTCCTAAGATGATATAATGTTCGGGATAGTTATTAAACTTTTGCAATCTCTTTCCTTTTTCAACCCTATTAATTATAGACTTTATAACTATCTTATAGTTTCGTAAAGTAAGAGAAGCAAAAAGGCGAGAAAAAGTTTCAAAAGAATGCAGCTTTACTTTTTCACACTATCTATTGCATATCTTGCCTATCAAAACTCACTGTTATTTATTTCTGATCCCTTCGTTTGTATTGTTGGAGAGCAACTCCATTGTACTGTCAGTTACCAAACAGATTAGAAAGAGCCCTTTTTTGTATTATGCGATATGATCATATCATGTTCGGATGTTACGTATTCGAAGATTTGATCAACAATGGCCCAAGAGAATTCCTTTTTATTTTGTAGGATGGCACCTTACGCATTTGGAACATTGAAAGAAGCGAAGATATTCCAATAGTTTTACAAAATAAACTAAGCATCGGGCTGCAGATGCTCAAGGTTAGCTTTTCTTTTGGAAACATCACATTTCGTCCACCTGATTTCTTTAAACCCGTCTTTCGTTTACGAGTTTTGATTTACGAAAACACTGAAAGGCGAATGTTTTTTGAAATAGTTACTCCGTCGTTTGTCTATCGGCTGTGAACTTTAAAAACAGAAATATTGCAAACAAAGTGCTTGTTTATCTGCACCTTTGTCATAACCTGTTCTTACTGCCCTCACTCCCCTCATGCTTGAAGTACCAAATTTTTTATTTCTTGTACTTGATACCATCCTTCTGACTCAAATTGACCTACTTTACAGAGAGGTATCAATTTTTGTTTTTTTCCAATTCTGTCAACATGTCCTGATATTTTGTTTCTTAACATAATTGGTTGGACCTTTTGAATTGCTTACAGTTTGAAAATACATCAACCTGCTTAATTGCTCCTTGCATCATTGTCATCCATAGGCTGATCAGTATAGTTTGTCCATTATTTAGACTGATCAGCGTTTATTTGGAGCAATCATAAAATGTTATTTGCAGTTGTTATCTCGAACAGTAACCTCAGAGAACAACTAGTTGTTCCTAGCAAGACACATTACTTTATTAGTATCAGCTTTTCAAAAACTGCTTTGTTGACGCTAAAATACACCTTCCTTAATGGCTCTTACATCATATCCAATGGAATTATCTGAATTGTTCACTTTTGATATTAAACCATCCAAATATTGAACCATCTGAATCGAAATTTCGAAACTTATATCGCTAAGTCAAAACATCCAAAGTCATCTTTTACAATTCAACAATTCTCATTTGCCATCTTCTGATAAACATTGTAGACTCTAAATTTCTCTTAATACCTTAGAAGATTGTATGTTTCTTGTGGCAATTTATTAGGAAGCTATATTTTCTGTTCTGAAATTGTGTTATCAACAACATTGGCTTGGTTGTTTTTACAATCACGATACCATGCTTTATAGAACATTGCTTTGCATACCATCACAAGGTAGCAAAGTTAATTGATCTCATAAGTTGGTTTCATCAGTACATGTAAGGCTTTGCATAGGTAACATCAAATATATTTTTGAATTTGTATTTTATATTTATCATTTGACATATGATAGTCTTTCTTGTCACTTGAATGTTGAAAATTCTACTTCAATGTTCGATGATAAAATGGCATCAATTGTTATTTGTTACAGTTTTATATTTTTATTTTTAGTGCCAGAAATGCGGGAAAATGTTCTCTATATCTAAAGCTCAAGACCCCGATTCCTTCAAGTTCTGTGTATTTTGCCGTCTCAAAGAGCCAGTTAGGCCATTCTCATCTGAAGAATTCATTGGAGATGTATCACCTTTACCACTTGTTCATGACAGTTTGAAGTGATCGAGATACGTAAGTTTCCTTACATTGTTTTATGGGTTACGTCTTGCGGTATTTTTGGCTGGTTTAAGGAAAAGATACTGGACGAGTTTTAGGTCAAGGCTTTGCGAGCATGTAAACCGGATGCAAATTGCATAAACCTGGAATGAAGAATATCTTCTAGCAAGCATATCTGCACATAGTTGAAGTGGTTTGAGCAGTGTACAATGGAGAGGCAAATTGTAAATATCTGCTGTAATGAAATGTTTTGTGAAGGCCGACGAGGTGGGTAATATTTTCGCGTAGGTCCACGAGTTAATGAATTCTACGCTTGCGCATGCTGATGTGGAAACAATTTGAATAACTTGCATTAGAATTTATGGCAGATACAACCAAACTGCTTTGGAGTTTCCGAATCTAGACACGTATAAAGGTAGCAGTAAAAGGAGCTATTAAGTTGGAAGACTTCACAAAGACAAAAATATTTCCTGTAGGTTTTTCAATACGAAACAACGAGATATTCATCTTGTCTTTTATATCATGAAGCTATGCTAGGTCTCTTTCGGGTAGCAAGCAGTACCATAATGTTAATCTCATCATTGCCAGTTAGAGGTATATTCTTCTCTTAACAAGAACTTAGAAACAAAGCTCTCTTCTTTCATTACTTTTGGGCATCTTGGAGTTTCTTAAGAAGCTGTACCACTTCTTTAATGGTTCATCTTTCAGAAAGCCGTTCTGACCGTAGTTTACTGTAGCTTAGTATCATTCTGTTACGTAATGAATAATTTATCATAAATCTTAGCTCGGGTTTAGAATGCTTTTACCCAACTTTTGGTTTCTCCAACAGCCTACTTTGACATTGTGCAACTACTTGTTTATCCGCCATGCCAAAAAACCAAAAAATCCTAAAAATAGGCAACTTATACAACATCGTTGCCAGTGAGATCAGGATAAGGAGACAGTGAGATTTCTCTCGAATCCAGTGGTGATAATCTCATATTTTGCCCACGTAACTTGTATCTGTCTCATCCATACCAACATTTGTTCGGAGTCAAAATCAACTTAAGTATCATTTACAAAGCAAAGCAAATAGTTTTATGACTTTTTTTAAGAAGATGACGGTGTCACTGATCAAGATATTGTTGTAGATAATCCGCATTCCATGTTTAAAAAAATGGCGTCTCGCTGTATCTATGTATACGCTATATCGCGCATAAAATTTCCGCAGAAGTTTGCGCGCAAAGTTTGCGCCCAAAGTTGACATTGGTAACATCAAAATTGACAAGGATGAAATTAAGAGGGCAATCAAGACAAAATATTTAGGTCTTACTATAGAGGAGAGTCTTTCATGGAACCAACTATACAAAATTGTAAAAGGGAGACTGAAGGGGGGGGGGGCTCAAATCACAGTTGTGTTTAGTATACCAAGCACTAGTAGAAAGCCACCTGAGAAATGGAAACCTGATATCATATCTTATCCGATACGAATCTTGCTGATACGGGGTCATTTGCCTGAAAAAAAGCTCTGTTCATTGCAAATGATACAGAACAGGGCATTTTACCTTATTGAATCAGCTACTATTTAAGAATCAGATACCAACCGCACGATTAAGTGTGAGAAGGTTATGACATATGACCGGGCCACAATGGTGCACAAAGTTCTCAAAGAAATGTGACCAGAAATTCTCAAGGGGAAGTTCCTAAGGAGATTTCAGATCTCCAAATACGCAACTCGTAGAATAAACGATCTCCAAATACCTAAACTACAGCTTGAACTCTCAAAGATATCCCAAATGACATATGAAATGTGGAATCTACTGAACATTTTAAGCACAAAAGGAAAACCTATCTCTTGGGTCAATAAAGTAAAATCTTTACAGAAATAAGACGTCTTTAGCATGGCCTCCTGGTTGACCAGTTTGTTAAAGTTTTTGTTTTTGTTTCATATGCAACTAACTTTATTTATTTTTTAGTAAATCTGTAACTGAAGGAGTATCAGGAATAATATGAATATGAATGAATATGACAGTTCTCGCACAAAGTTCTCGCTCAAAACTGGGCACAAACTTTGCGCACAAACTTCGCGCACAAACTTCGTGCACAAAGTTTCCGCACAATGTTCCTGCTCAAAGTTTGTACAAAACGTTTACGCCCAAAGTTCACACACAATAATAATTTGTTTGTAATATAGTTGCTTTGGTCTTGACAAAATATGAATCAATGTTCTTGTAAATATTCACTAACAGAAAATTAGTCAAAGCAATTTCTTGTGAATCGTCAAACAACTTTGGAAATAAAAACTGTAATATCGATCTGGCCTAATTTAGTACACTTCTACAATACGTTAAAATAAAATAACCAGATGAGATTCACAAAGTTTTTGTGACTTAACAACTCGTCTGGGTATTCACGCACTTGTACAAAAAGTTTGCGCCCAAAGTTCACACACAATAATAATTTGTTTGTAATATAGTTGCTTTGGTCTTGACAAAATATGAGTCAATGATCTTGTTAATATTCACTAGCAAAAATTAGTCAAAGCAATTTCTTGTGAATCGTCAAACAACTTTGGAAATAAAAACTGTAATATCGATCTGGCCTAATTTAGTACACTTCTACAATACGTTAAAATAAAATAACCAGATGAGATTCACAAAGTTTTTGTGACTTAACAACTCGTCTGGGTATTCACGCACTTGTACAAAAAGTTTGCGCCCAAAGTTCACACACAATAATAATTTGTTTGTAATATAGTTGCTTTGGTCTTGACAAAATATGAGTCAATGATCTTGTTAATATTCACTAGCAAAAATTAGTCAAAGCAATTTCTTGTGAATCGTCAAACAACTTTGGAAATAAAAACTGTAATATCGATCTGGCCTAATTTAGTACACTTCTACAATACGTTAAAATAAAATAACCAGATGAGATTCACAAAGTTTTTGTGACTTAACAACTCGTCTGGGTATTCACGCACTTGTACAAAAAGTTTGCGCCCAAAGTTCACACACAATAATAATTTGTTTGTAATATAGTTGCTTTGGTCTTGACAAAATATGAGTCAATGATCTTGTTAATATTCACTAGCAAAAATTAGTCAAAGCAATTTCTTGTGAATCGTCAAACAACTTTGGAAATAAAAACTGTAATATCGATCTGGCCTAATTTAGTACACTTCTACAATACGTTAAAATAGAATAACCAGATGAGATTCACAAAGTTTTTGTGACTTAACAACTCGTCTGGGTATTCATGGGAATCTTTTATATGGCTACAAATACCCTTCCAGGGAACAAGGATGAAAAATGTTTTGAGCCAATCAGACTGTTTGTTTACAATTTGAACCAGCCAATGGTATAGCGTCAAAGACAATAGAAATCTGAAGAGAAAATAGCATCGAATCAGCCGCAACTGTAACGCTCGCACCTCCTATACAAAGCTGTGGGGAAAAACCGGCGCCACAAAAAGTTAACGCTGAACGCGAAAATTGTCATTATTGAAGTGCTTCATACAATTATGCATAGCAAAG